ATCTGTTTGAAAATGGCAAATACCCCCAAAATTGTATTTTGAGATTAAGAGGGAACATAAGTATAAAGCCACTAAATTTAATGGGTACCATCTTTTCACACGAACCCAGACAATCATTTTTTTGCGGACCACTATTTGGTGATGATACCCACGGTTCCCTGAGAGCTTTAGCACCCTTGGACTCTTGTCTCAGCCCATCTGCCTGAGGAAGACAAGCTTCAGAAAATGCTGTAAGTGTGTCTTGCCCGCAGATTGTGGACCCAATCACGGCCCACATTTGGAAAATCTTGGGAACACCGCGACGAACGGGTGTTGCTTGTTCCTCCGCAACAGACATTGTTCGTTATAGTTAGCCTGGTGTCACTGGATTCCATCCATGATCAGCTGATCTATTCAGGAATAGTTAGATTATAGAATAGATCCATGATAAATTCATGATTCCATCCAGGTTATAGACTGTTGATGGCTGAATTCAACCTGGATCTATTCCCGGATCCCTACCTCCAGGATTTGTGTGAATGGATGGCCGCAAGAAAAGCGAGCAAACGCAAGTTCGCGCCGCCGCTTGGAGACAATTGGTTCCATCTATATATATATATCATCTATATGTATGTATGTATGTATATATATATGTATGTGTATATATATATATATATGTATGTACATGGGGCGTTCGTACAATGGAGGGTACTCGTACCCTGAAATCATTCATTTTAGTGGGATTTTCCATCATAAACCATCCATTTTGGGGTACCTCCATTCATGGAAACCCCATGAAACCCCCATATACTTGCAATCATAGCCAGTAGCATTACCAATTCAACAAACGCTAACTCATGTATGAATGTTGTGGCTTTGCCGGAGAGGGAGGGATCTTTTTCGCTGCGGCTCAAGGAATTTGGCCATGAGACTATGGGCTTCTCTGAAGGTTTGAGGTCCCCAAGAAATTGGATGGCTTCATCTGATAAATTGCGACAAAAAGTGTGAGATTGTTGACCACCATTGAGCAAAGCCATATAGATCATGCCCCGTGAATAGGGAATCTCATGATAGTTGTATGAGCCTACCCTGTGAATTCCACGTAACTTGACCATGGCACATACTACATTACATATCATCTAGTACATTCTAGTACTATGTTCATCCATTTCTGCGACACGCAGAGATGTGTACCAAATCAGAGAGGTGGCCAACATGTTCCAAAGAGCAGATACTTTGAATCAACCATGTCGATGAATGTTGATGGCTAGTTGATGTCAGTTTCAAGTCATATGTTGTTTCACATAGGGTGGGTGGAAGAAATCCTGCACCACCAAAAGGACGGTTGAAACTCTATAAATCATGGGATAAAGCACCGTTTTCAACTGGTGCAGGATTTCGCAACCATCCACCGTATGTTGTTGATCCACGCATCTTTTGGTCTCCATTTCTTGCGAAATCCTGGGCTGTGACGCCCAGGGAGAACTCGGAAGCTGACAAATGTCTCTTGTCGATTTTCGTCTTCGAGACCCCGGGGGTCCCGCAAAAGGACGGTTAGGACACCAATCTCCTCACCAGAAAGAGGTGAAAACCCTTCAAAAAATAGGGGTTTCACCGGCGCCACATTGATAATCGTTATATTTCACAACTTGGGAATCAACCAGCAAAAAATATTGGATGAAACATTGGATTTGTGCATAAAGTATGTGTATATCAAAGGGGTTTTGTAGTGTGTAATTATGTATATATATATAATTATATATATATGTACCTACTGAACCTTTTACCTATGTGTTTAAGGTTTGAACATGAAAAAACATAGTTTTTTCTTCTGATTGTCAACAAAAAACCTAGGTTTCTTGGAAAAACGTAGCCTTTTTTCCAAACCCCAACTTTTCAGATTTTATATAAGCTGAAGTAGGAAATGGTTCAATAGGTATCCATTCATGGGTTGCTTCATCCAAGAAAGCTGGAGTTTCGCTTGAAACCAAGTGGTTCAGGGCTTTTCCGATCACAAAACTAAAATACGCTGCGATCAGTTGAGTAGAGATTGATTAGGCGACTTTTAATAGGTAGAATATGGCTGAAATCGACCTAACAAGATCTGCGACCGCAACATTACGGTACCAATAAATCTTACCTTGGATGGGACTAGCAATCATGAAAAGGGCGTTTGCAATATAAACCAAATTAAATACCCAAAAGATAGTATTAAACCAACTATATGGGCTGATAAGGGTGTAACAACAACATTATTACGTTGTTGTTCTGACCCCAAGGTGAACACGTCACATTTTATAGAGCCTAAGGTTTGGGAACTTAGCTTCCTAGGCCATTAAAACCTTTTCTACCCATAGTTGCCCCTAATCCGTAACCACCCGTAATCTATGGAGAAAAACCGCAACCAAAATTAAGAATAATTACCCATAATCACTCGGGAAAAACCTATGTGACAATGTGTTTTGATGCGTAACGGCGTAACCCATATTCAGCCGTAATGCAGCGTAACTGACCCGAAACCAATATAAAAAATAACCATAATCTGGACCTGTAATTTACCCATAATTTAAAGACCCGCAATCAACCCGTAATTTACCCATAATTTCCCATAAAATACCCACAATCAATTATGGGTATTTTTCTGACAAACCTAGGTTTTTCTCATTCATTTTGTTGTGTTTTGTTGATGTTCTGTTGGATTTGATATGGATTTAGTCACTGTCACGTCCGTATGATCACCCATAAGGACCGAACTTTTGACAACATACTTAGCTGGTGCTGGTATGCGTTGTTGCAAATTCAGAACAACTTGGATCTCTTCGTGCAGGGCCCCGGGACCTTTTGGGGGTCGGACAAAAGCTAATCTTGGATCCTTATCTTGTATACGCTTAGATGGTTTTCCTCAAGAGGGGTTTGTTAACCTAAAAGGTTGGGAAAAGAGTGCAGATTTGCACCACCTTGTGCTGCAACATGGTGGAGTAGAGATCCTGTGACGTGTTTGTATATGTGTATGTGTGTGTGTGAACCATTTGTCATGCATGAGTCAAGTGACAACGCATGAGGTTATGCTACATCATGACATCCAATGACCTTTTTTTTTAAGGTACCGCCCCATGGCGTATTTTTAGCAAACAGTTGAAACCTAGTTTTTTTTTTAAGCTAGGTTTTTTTCTTATACCCACAAAAAAGATGGTAATGAAGAGGCACTAGGTATAATTCTGTGTGTTCTAAATATAGATTGATTGCTGGTCTCAACACATACATAATTGACCGACCCTTTTTGGGGTTGTTGGTGGTTTCAGCTATGTTCCTGGATGTTCCTGGGGATGATGAAGCCCAAAATGACCTGCAAAGCCAAGAACTTCGCTAAGAAGAACTCAAGAAATAGTCAAAGAATTGGTGGTTGCGAACATCGGCGAGAAACCATCCCAGAATTGGTTGTTTACCCAAGAACATGTTTAATATATCCGTATTTGATTTGTTGCTGGGTAAGAGACAACATGTTCAACTGCAGATAGGCCATTGATTCCGGTGGACCCTATGGCGGATGGAGCCTCACCACATGGGGACGTACCGAGATACAATGAATCTTTGGGTTTCTAGGCATCAACGGTTTGATAGCTATATCCATCAGGAGTAGAAAACAATCAAACTTAGAGGGATGCATGGGTTTGTTTTGATGTTTGATTTCTTTTACATCATCTATTGTAATCTATTATATATAGAAGATGGCTTGCCCAAGAAAGCTTGGATATCCACCAACTGGATAACCATACGAGGGTGCCCCAGGCCCCAAATGATAGGTACTGGTATATGCCATGTTGAACTACGGGTAAATTTGATCCCATTTACGCGCTGTTTTACTAACCATTTCATCATTTAATATTAGTTTAATCATGTTTAATCATTGTTGATCCCATATTTTTGTTCCCATTTCCCATTTTTTCTTCCCAGAGTTCCATAGATTTCCCAGATTTTTTCTCTACGATTCTTAGATTTCTTTGTTCCCAGATTTTTCTCCCACAGATTTCCATAGATTTGTTTCCCAGGCATGTTTTTTTGCCAGATGTCCAGTGTGTTAACCACAGGTAGCAGCTACATCAGCGGCGAGTTTGGCGCCGTAGCCATCTACGATGCCACGAACTCCACCAAGGTGGGAAGTGGCCACTCGGGTGGCCAAAACAGATCAACGAGCTAGCCAAGAAAAACGTTCAATAACGAGCATACTTAGTAAATAGTATTAATTGTACAAGATCATAATATATATATATAACTTGTATAGCATACATGTATTAGTAGTATAATCAACAAAAAATATATATATATATATATACCGTAATGGAGATTATAATGTGATATAAAATATATAAAGAACTTAATATCATTGGGATCTATACATATAGCAAATTTAATACATGAGTGGGATATAACAATATGTTTTGGGTTTGTGATGGTTTGTGCTAAAATGGCCGTCACATGTGGCCATTTACGATCGATTTATGTTCATAATGTATAACGACTGTATTTTATAAGGCATGATCTTAAATTATGGTAGTCATATGGGGTTTCTTAAAATACGGAATCGAAAAGCCTCCATGGGTTTCACTACTAAAATGGTCATCCATGACTTGGATGATTTGGGATACCCCCATGACTTGGGAAACTTCCATATGCCGCAACACGTAGAAACAAGCTAAACAGAGAGGTGATGTGACCCTATAGTTGATGGGACTAGGCCTTGCAGCTGTGCTTGCAGTGTTTTAACGCTTTCTTTGGTTGAGCAGGTTGAATTGGTCAATGGATTGGTTGAAGGGGAAGTTGACAGGAAAACCCCATAGTTCATGGGAAAATCTATCTGGTTGGTGGTTTGGAACATTTTTTATTTTTCCATATATTGGGAATAATAATCCCAACTGACTTATGTTTTTCAGAGGGGTAGGTATACCACCAACCAGCTATGGTTTTTTTTTCATTTCGCGCGACAAAAGGGGTCAACCCTTGCTGCGAACTCGCACAATGAATTAAAGGTTCTGGAAGTCAGGGAGCCGCTGTGCGTTGGCTCGGATTGCAGCACTGGCCTTTGCAGCACAATCAATCCATGCATCCAGTTCCTCAGGCTCCCCTGGCAGGCCAGTGCGTAGTCGGTCACAGCCAAGGAGACGGTTGAATTGACTGGCAATTGCAAAAGCCAGAGCAAAACAAAATTGGCCCGGATACTCTTTATGTCGGGCGGTTTTGAATTCACCATTGAGGTCTTTGCCGATAGCAGCACCTGAAGGTCTAACCGCGTCACTGAGAGACTTTTTGTACAAATCACAGCGAAAAAACGGCAGAGCCCAGGTCAGTAAACCCGTAGGCTTAACAGCGTCTGCTCCCCAGCAATATTGGGCAATATGGTGAAGATGTAGGTCAGGCAAGGACAAAAGCAGTTGAACAATGGGACTAGTCCAGATACTTGGACGAGTATCATCAGTCGGTCTCGCAGGGTGTTCACCGATGAAAACTCCGCCACATGTGATATGGACACAAAGCACCCAAATGCACTGCAGGAAAAATTCACTCCCCACAGCACACTGCTTGAGCTCCCTCATGCTGAGGCCTTCAAGGCCAAATAATCTGTCTGCCGAACGTAGTGGTCTCGGCCATCGCACATCCTCCGAAGGTGCCGGAGTGTACCTGGCTTCACTGAACGTCTCACACGGTGGCCCACAAAGCGTTGCGGCCACACGACCTGACAGATAAATAGCCTCAAGTGTGTTCCACGAAACTGTGCCCGTCAATAGATTGCCATATTCCACAGAAACAGCGGTATCCAGTGACAGCACAATGACATTCCAGTTATGCGACTCGGCAAGCTGATGGAGAGCATGATGAAAATCCCCAACTCGTCTACGACCACTGAACAGATGAACCACAAGAAATAAAGGCAACTCCGCAACAGTCTTATACCTAGGGCAAAGAACGGAAGGCGGGAGATCAACAAATGCACAAGTGCGTAGATGCTGGAGCCAATACTCTTGGGAGCCATAGGCTCTTTCAATCGGCTGCCGCACCCGAGAATTAGTCTTTGGGTGCTTCAGGCCAGGACGCTCAATCTGGACAGGTCGATGCGGGGCAGGTGGGGTTTCAACACAATGTCTCAAGCTGGATTCCAGAAAGGCCACTCGGCTAAGCACTTGATACCTCGGTAACTCAGTAGCAAAATCTGCATACAGTTCGTCAACAATCTGCTCAGCCTCTCCGTCTACAAATCCAGCTATAATGTCTGGAAGCCAGTGATCGCCCCAAGCAAGAAAGACAAAGGCCAGCCAATTATCCCACAAGGGATTATTTTCTCCAAAGTCAATACAAAGGATCTGGATCCAAGTGTCAATCAGCTCCTGCTTGGCCGCCTCAGATGGGCCACTAGGGAAATAGCGACAAAACCATTGCTGAGTAGCATCTGATAGTGCATCCCCAAGCAGCGCCCCTTTGTCCATTGCAAACTCCGGTTGGTCAGAGATCACCAGCTGCGCACGACAGTTCTCTAGTTCTTCCTGCCAACATTGCCTCTGTTTGGCGAGACATGAGATTTGCTCTCTGCGGGGACCAAATGTAGGAAGGGATTCCCTCCTAGCCAAACCAATCACTGTCTTAGGCATTTTTTCGACTTGATAAGTCACATTTCGCCCTTGTGAAGAAAGTGCATGGAAACATGGATTATATCCAAGGCTTTTGGGAATATAGGCCAAATGCTGCTGCAAACGCTGAGTTGTCCAACAAAAACGTCCACAATGCAGACAAACGGCACCTTGTAGATAAGGTCTTTCAGTAGAAAAAATCTGGTGCTTTCGACGTTGGTGTGCCAACAAACCCCGGCTAGATGCAAAGCGGGCTCCACAAAAGCAAGCATGTTCATTGACGTCTGATCTGTGTCTGAAGGGTTCTGGCTGGAAAGAAGCTCCGGCATTTTGCAAGACAGCAAAAATTTTCTTGTGCAAGTGAGTGACCTTAGTCATGATCCGCTCCTGCATCTGATGCTTCTTAGCCACAGCCCTAACTTGCGATTTCCAAGGAGATCGTTCGGTCTGCCAGGCATCAAACAGCGACGTCAAATCATCCTGCCAATTGAATGGCAGAATGGTCGCATCGACATCATGCATCCACTGTAAATCCGCTTTCAAACCATCCAGCCATGAATCAGATACTGCCGCCGCTTCCAAATGAATCGCATTTTGCAGGAAAAACGGCCCGACAGCAAAGACCTTCTGAGCATAGAGGAGTCTGTCCACTGCCAATCGCGCTCTAACATCAAGAAACTGAGCCTCTGCCAAAACCTGGTCATTACTCTGTGCCCACTTGTCAAGTGGCCATCTGAGCGCCTTTTTAAGGCAATTGACATAAAACCCCGTCAATCGTTGCAATTGTTTGGGAGTTGGAGTGTGCCAAGCTCCAAGTCCAAAAAACAACTTTGACAACACCAAAGAATGGAGGAGTTTTAATCTCAGCTGAGTAGGTAAATGTCGGTTCGTCAGCAGAGGACGCGATAAATGGGTAAAGGCAGAGCTGGCAACCCCTATACGCGTGGACAACTCAACGTCCAAACCATGATCAGAGGTAAAGATTGTACCCAAGTGTTTATACGCAGGGACAAAGTGGAGCCAGGCCTCAGTACCATCGTTAAAGACACATGGTACTCCAGGTTTGGAGATCAGCTGAAACTCTTTACGAAGATTGCTGGCACCGGTGCCACGAAAGGAGACAACTGCGTTAGTTTTTCCCAGAGCAAAATTCAAGGTGAAGCCTCGCTCATGTAGACAATCCCTTACGGCCTTTAGGAGGTCTAAAAGCAAAGGCACAAGACTCTCAGGGTTATGTGTGGCCACAGGAACCGCAATATCGTCCGCCCAGAGAATGCTTGGGAAAAAATCATCAATAGCAGGGAGAACAGGCTCATGCACAGCAAATGCCCTAATCCACTCATCAATCTCCTTTGCAACCACTGTCATAAGAATGTGGAAGACAATGTCTGCAAGGGGACTACCAGGTCGTGTCCCACGTCGCGTGTGTACATATTGATGAAATGGCAACGAACACCAGGTTTCAGCATGGATATCACAAACCAATCGAACCAAAGACCTAGGCGCACCCAAATCAGACAAGAGACCAGGCAGCTGACAGGCGGCATCCAGTTTCTCTGCCGGGTGCCCCGAGTTGCGCAGTACATCCAAAACAGCAGTCAAATTGTGGGAGGAGGAAACTCCAGTGACCAACTCTCGCACAAGGTGATGAAATGCATTTGACAGGTCCAGAAACAGAACTGCGCTACTAACTCCTCTTGCATCGGCAATGTTACCGAACAGTCGCAATGCTTGCGATCCAAACATAACCTGCTGACCGGGAAAGCCACCTAGTTGTCCTGGGGCTTTGGCATGTTCAAGATGGTTCATGATACGGGTCCTCAGCACTGAGTGAGTACGCTTAGCCATGTTGCCCAACAGCAAGATACCACGAAATTGCTTTGTTGTTGTGGGAGCAAGGCATTTAGGTATGATGGCAACAGGGCCTCCTTTGTATTGGAGCGGTTCAGTCTGCCACACAAACTCCTTGAGGAGCAGGTCATGATAACCGGCAGCAAGGGGGCAGGCAGCCCGATGGAATATGTCCGAAGGGAGCGGATCATCTCCTGTTGCACGTCCTGCTGTGGTTTTCCTGAAGGCGTCCTCAAGTGCGAAAAGGGATGGCAGTTCCATGCAATCCATCTGACGCGGGGCATCAAACAACGCACAAGATTGTCTCTCAATACAGACTTTCAGCAGCTGTGGGATAGTCGTAGGAGTACCTGCCTCCAACTGGCAAAAATGGTCGAGCCATTGATCTTCTAAACCCTCAAGCTGGAAAGGTGGAGTCGTCATCCGCCTTTGTTGGAATTTGGGTAGAGACCTGCGCACAGTCCTCCACAACTGCTTCACTTGGGATGGTCCCAGGTAATCAGTGCAGTCCCGCAACAATCCATCAAAGAAAACCACATCATCCTGTCGCAGTCGCTTGACGACCTGCCGACCCAGCGTGCGGAATCTATGATACTCAACGGCAACAAGACAGTCCTGCTGGTGCAGCAGGTCATCAAAAGCCGTAAAAAGATCAACCTGAACAAAATCAGCTTGTGAATGCTTCCAACAAGCAAACCAAGCCGCCAGTTTAGTACGATACTGCGTTTTCTGTTGCATCGCCAAGGCATTACGAGCATCACGCTTTTGGCACACCAACTCCCAAGTCTCAGTAGACATGGTGGTTTTGCAAGGCGTGCGTCCCGGCTTGGTGTGCAAGTCCCACAAGTTGGTGACTAAGTCATATTGGATCTGTTGTGCATGTGTGTGTACATCCAAGGACCAATCGTACGCAGGCAAAGCAAGGACATCAATGGGCAAAGACTGTTGTAGGTTCAACTTGAACGGTTTGTTTTGTTTCGAAAATTGCTGTGTAACTACTTGGCGAGAAAATGACACAACAGGTGCTCGGTGATCTTCCTTTGTGGGGCCAACATCAATGCTGGTGCTGACCCATGATTTCCACGTGTCATAAACCCATTCAGCGGGCAGCCCCACAAAGTCGTTCCTGCACCACACTCCATTAGCATGGAGCCATGTACCACCATCGCCAGCATGACATGCTTCGAAAGTTGCTGGGAGGAACAAACCTTGCTGCCTCACAAACTGGACAAAACCTTCTTCTTTCCCATTGGCCTTTTCAGCTTGGAAGGGTCCAATGTGTTGACACGGTTCGGTGCCAATTCTCGCATTAGCGTCACAAAGCAAGATCCGTGGCCACAAACTGTACTTCCCGGGGATTTGCCGGGCAACATTTGACCACCAAGAGTTGATTTCAGATAATGATGCCCCTGTATGGGGTGCATGGCAGGCAATCAGAATGGCTTTGAAAAGACAGGTCTTGATCCTTAAAATGAGAAAACGGGGGTCAGCCACTACAACTGCCACATCGTCTTGTGCAAAGAAGACTTTCTGCACAACCCCATTCTTGTAAAGGTGACCAATCGGCCGGTGTCGAGCCAATCCAATCAAGATACCATATTGCCCTGCCGGAGTGGCTGCTGATCTGTAGAGCCAAAATCTTTCATCATGTTTATTCGAGGGGCGCTTCAATCGAGTTTCTTGCAAAGCGAAAATGTGGAGTTGAGCATCCTCAAACTGTTGCATCACACTTTCCTGCCGAGCCGGCCCATTACAAGGTTTGAACCCATCCGTTTTTCCAGGCAGGAGAGTAAGAACATTACATGTGGCAAGAGTCAATGCAAGTTCACCAACAATGCTAGGTGTGGCATCAGCGCCATTTGTTGGAGCAGGAACAGGTTCATCCAGAGTGTCTGGAAACGGGGCTGGCGCTGCAGGCAGAAGGAGATCAGTTTGGTCCCATCTCACATCGCTTCGAAAGAAAAACCAAAACCATTCCGCATATGAGACAAAGGTCTTTGCCGTCATCTGTTGCAGCCAGTCCTCCAAATCATGCAGTGGTGAACCTAATGCAGCTTGATGCGCCAACGTATCGACAAGCTCATTACCTGGTTCCCCACTATGGGCTTTCACATGTTTGTAATGGACCTGACTACCAAATCTCTGTTGAATGCACTTGTGCAAACTACGAAGAAGATGACCTGCTTCCGGAGAGGAAACTGCTTGCCAGGCTCCCTCCGTTTGTTTCCCTGCTGTGAGGGAGTCATAGCAGAATTGGACCTCAGTCAGTGCAGTGTCATGGTTAGTTCCAATCAGTTTCAAAAGGTCAAAAGCAAATTTTGTCGCAAGGATGCTTGCAGCAATTTCTGCTTGATAGGCGGTCTTCGCTTTTTCAAGTTTGGTAGAGAGAGCACCCGCAAATTGCCAACAATTCTGCACCCAAATAAACGCAGCCACTGCCGCGCCAACTTGAGGTCCCCCGGCAGTTTTGAGGCACGAGCCATCAAAGTAAAGACAAAGATGGGAGCCACCTGTATTAACCTCCCACCAATCCCTTGTCCACTGTAGGCAAACCGGCAGGAAAGGAAATGAAGATGGAAGATCATAGGTTGGCAAAAAGAAATGCGTATCCATCCAGTCAAAAGCAAGAATGACTTGGCGAAACGCAATTCTGATATCCATTGCGGACAGCTTACATTGATCCAACCAAAAGGTAATGCAGCATCCAGAGGAGATTTCACATGTGAAGTCGAGTGGACACATACGACCTTGCACATAGCAAGTTACAGCCTCAGGTGTTGGGTTACCTTGTCTGCCTAACAGGCAAGTCCACATTTGCGTCAAAGGGCACTGAGAAGGTGCAAGCAAAGCAACATGCTCAACAAAGTGCTGATTACTGACAAGTACTCTCTCTAAGACCAAAGCAACCTCATTTGTATGACCAGCCTGTCCCTGTCTGCCATCTATAACAAAACAGGTTTGGTCCATACTCTGGTCAAATGGGACACAATTTCGCATGGTCTCAACTGCAAAAACCTGGCACGGTCTTCCAGCTAACAAATCAGCCCAAAGAGCTTCTGCATGTCGCACCAAGCAGGCAGAAGCAACAACGATCTTGGTTCGAGGAACTCTACAGATTCGATGAGTATCATCAAGATACCAGGACAAAAGCTGAATGCGATGGTCAGGCCCGGCTTTGTGCTTTGTTGCAACTCTACTCTTTTTAAAATCTGTTTGAAGAAGATTGAGCGCACTTTCACTCGAAACCTGTGGCGCAAATGGGGGTCGCCAGTCAGCGGGCAGAAATGCTCTAGTGATCTGGACATCAAAGCAATCACCATCCCGAACAGGCCAGCGCGTATCACCTTCCCAGGTGGCTGATGCAGCATGGACCTGACAACTAGCTCCCTGGAGATAACACTCACGATCATAGCCCAAAGCTTGCAAAAGTGCACTTCTGACCGCGTTCTCAGCGACAGTAACAACACTCCTAAAAGGACGACTATGTTCTATAGCCACATCTCTGACCGTGACAAGGGCTGAGGACATGGTGTCCAATGGATGCTGTAGCAAAATCACATGGCCGGCTATGCCTGGTTCAAGTTGGTGGGGCGTAGGTTGCACAACATAAATCTCAAGCGGTGCACCAGGATCAATCCAGTCACCCCAAAGCTGGCGGAGATTATCTTGCCATTGGTTGTAATCTCCAGTCAGCGTGATCTTTCGTGAGAATCTGCATCTCCCGTATCCCGTACCAGGTGAGACAAACCAAGTCAAAAAACATGCGGCTCGCGCTTGTCCATTCTGGGTGAGTGCTGCTGCATCCCAAATCGCAAACAAATCTTGAATGGATTCAGGCTGGCCTTCAATAGGGACCGCATTGGGTATAAAGACACTCGCATGTGGGTTCAATTGTGAACATGTAGATGACGTTTGCATCAACGAAAGGTCTTCGAAATGCAACTCTGCGACCTCATTGCCGTCTGATGTCTCTTCCACAGGTTCAATACGAATCCTCAGACTCTGTCCAGAAACAACGTCAAACCATTGATCGGCATGGAAGTGTTGCATCTGCTGGACTACTGAACATCGTCGACCAGCGCAAAAGTGGACAATCTCCATAGTGCGTATAAAAGATGGTAGATTTGTCCGACTATTGATGGAGAAGGCACCTTGGACAACACCATCATGAGCGAACCCTTCCAAGAGGGCTGTAAGCACCAAGGCTGCTTGATCCGGTCCTCTCCTTTGTTCAAGCAAAAGATGACATGTGAACCTTTGAGCTCTAATCTGGGGCGGTTGTGGCTGTACCAGAAAAATTGAGAAAGCACTGTGCCGGTCCAAAACATCGGCCCATGCATGACGCAAGTCTTCAATCCATGTCGCAGCATGTCCATACATGCGAACCACTCTCGGTTGGCGGCAAGTCGGTCTACGAACATGGTCAACATACCATGTAATAACATCCATGGAAACAGCTTCAGACCACGGATCCACATCTCCAAACTGATGCATTAAAGTTCCAAACTGCAGGCTCCATTCAAACTCCCCATCATGAACTGGCCGTGAACGTGGTGGTAAGGTTGGGTTCGGTAGCGACATCGCTAAGTCATCTGGCTCCTCAAAGGGAGCAGGCTTGCATGTGACAATCTGTTGGAACATACTGACATCATCGGCAATTTCATCCGTGTACAAATCGATTTGGTGCGGTGAGATCTCTACAACTAAATGACTCCCTGTGTGCAACAAAATGTACTCGCCGGACAAATATGTACAACCCTCATATTGTACCAAAGCCGGTCTGTGCGCATGTTCAGCTGGCACCGCAAGCCTGAGTATTGCTCTCACAGATTCACGAGCCCGAAAAACATGGGCAAATCTGCGGGTACGCAGCTGCAAAGGCGCAACACCACGTAGTGTGATCAAGACCGCAAACAAATCCTCAGTAAGCCCTTGGTGGAAGAGAATGTGAACTTCCTGTGGAGCATGCGATGAACCGGATAGCAATCCAGGTAACACATAAAAATCAGCAGGCGTGGCACGCAAAAACTGTTCTCTCCATGGAAACATAATCTCCGTCCTCCACATAAGCGGGTCATCTGAAATTCTTGCATATTGCGGCAAGCTGCAGTGATAATTAGGGTGCACATTCAAGTACCAACTTGAGACCCTTAAAAAGGGGCCAGAGTCAAGAGAGTCTCGTTCATGAAACCGGTCAAAATGTTGTTGCAATACTGCAATCCATCCAGGCCGTCCGTCTGGTATCACAACTGGCAGATGCGATGGCAAAGCATCATTATCAGGGTGAAGGAATGCAGGTTCAACCGGTCGAATGAGAATCTCAGGTGAGATCGCTCGCTGCAATGTGTCACGCAACGTAACATCATCCATATTCAGCAGACTCGTAAGGTCGATGGGCACTCCACGGCTGATGATAAGACGAAAAGCATGCCCCATGTGGACATTCACCACATGCGCTTCATCAATGGGTATCCGACCAAACCACCAGCTGCAATGATTTCTTCGATTTTCAGGCGGGCAATCAAGTGTAAGATGTAGCGTTACCAGAAGCCGTTCTAGATTAGCCTGCCTAGGCAAAACTAAGGCAAAGGTATGTGGTGACCGTTCCATGTCGGGGTCCGAATCATACACCGAAAGCACAGCTGACCTAAGATCATGTGTAACCCTCTGAGAAAGCACAAGCTGTCCAATGATTCCTGCCGCGGCATCCTCAGTTTCAGGGTTGACCAAATGAAAATTGATGTCTGCATTGTCAATGATCTTGTCTCTCCACGTTTCAGTGAGCGTAAGCTTCCAAGTCCTCACATCATCAGAAAGCAAGGAAATGCGTGAAGCATGGCAACGGTCAAAGCTAACATGATCCAGAAACCAACTTTCAACTCTACGGGTGCGTGGCAAGTGTGCCGGCGATGAGATTTCTTCCTCTGCAAAGCTATCCAACAAAACTCTGAATGCTTCAGGCAAATTGAAAAGCGCAGCTTCATCATGAGCAGGCATGTCTTGTGGTTCCATCCTAGCCGCTTCTTCGGCAGCAGAGATGGCCTCAAGAAATTCATCCGTAAAGCTACATTGCGGGGCGCTGTCATGTGCAGAAACTTCAATAGCTTTGCTTTCAGATCGATGTTTTACCACAGGCTTATTCAGGTCGATCTGTACAAGATTCGTGACATCTTGCAACGGCACATCATGTGTTGGAATCTGTTCAGGCAAAACTTGCATCGAAATACCCAGACCATTCCTAATCCCAATTTGCTCTTGGGAAGGGTGCACAACCGGATGCAGCCATCGGATTCTGTCGTCTGGGAAACGTGCAAACAATGGAAAGACATCCCCAATGTCTTGGCGAGTGCATGGATTTGGCAGAGCAACTGCACATCGAACAATAACATGGGGGGTTGTCGGAGCGATAAACTCAAGGGAAACCAAGACTGTTGAGAGCCTACTAGTCCCTTGTGAAAACAGGACATGAGCGATATGTTCTTCCACGTCTGCGCGAGGAGTAAAAGGAGAAACCATGTCAATAAACAAAGGCAGATCAGGTCGAATATGAAATCTCCAAGGATGTCTGAGGTCCTCTTCCCATTCCGTGGGGTCTCCCCCAAGGATCGCTATTTTGGGTGTGAAGCAAGCCTGATGGGAACTATGGTCGATATACCACGTATATACAGAGAAAAGGAACTCCTCCTCAGCATTCTGATCCAATGGACATTGGGAGATATGACGGTCGACCAACCTTTGAAGATCAATGTTCCACTCTTGCAAATCTCGATTGCCTGAGCTACTTTCACTCCTAGGAGTAAACAGTATATCCTGGCCAGTGTCACTTGACAAAGATCTTTGCATGGCGTGAAAGTGGTCATCCTCAACTTCTGCAATCACTAAGTGTGGCGTGGCTAAAACACGAACTTCATCATCTCCCAGAAGACTAGGTGAATAACCGCCATCAACTTCAGGTGCAGTAGTAATTTGTATGATATCTTCATCCGACATTCCACGTTGTGTCCAGTCAACAACCTGCTGTGTCCCACACAGAAACCTTTCAGTGGGTGGTACTGCAATTTTGAAATAGTCGCCATGTGCAATCTGACGAACTTGCAGATCAGTATCTTGCCACCTTTGATTACCATGCCACACAAAACATCGGTCCCGCTCTTTTTGGCAATAGATCTCAACATCTCCCAGCACAAGGATAGAAGCACGATCAGTCCATTCAGGCACAGGCAAAACAAAACGATGTGTCCTGGGCCCTAGCCTAAAATTCGGCTCCGTATTGTGCGCATGATATTCTACATCAAAAAGGGCAAGTTTCGCTGCATGTGCAACAGCAATGTCCGGAAAAAGATGCACAATAACCGGCACAGCATCTGGTGGGATTCCTGGAATGTCGGCATTGATCTCATATGCATCAACAACATTTTCAACAATTGTTGAGTAATGTCCAGCAATGTCTCTAATCATTTGGTTGTAGCTGCTCCAATCAAGAAATGCTCTCAAAGGGGGGTCTCTCCAATGAAACATGATGACTTCTTGGAGGTCATTCGTGGAACTTGGAGGCTGGATCCCAGAGCTAGCGGAGGGACTAGGATCGTCCAATGATGAAGCATCAAGACCATCTGGGTCATGGTCCCCATGGATCAAGCGCTCAGTGTTTGTTTGACCTTCCCCTAAAGCGTCCAAAAGATTGGTTTCTTGCTCAGTATGGATATCGTGTTTCATCTGTACAGTCTGCATCAGTAGCAATGCATCAAAACTGGAATCCAAATCCCGGCTCGACACGGCCACTTCGGACAGCGGTGCCACAGAGATGGATAAACACGAATGTTTAGGTCGGATGCGTCTTCTGCTCCAAGGCTTGTCACGCCAATTGGAAATGGCGGCCTGCGTTACCTGAACGCAGCTCATATTTACCTCATCATCATCACCAAGAAACACATCAATCTGATCCGCAAACCTGACTTGTTTAGAAACCGCAAGCCTAGAATGGGCCCTCTGAGATGGAATTGATGGATGACAAATCGGATCAACTGCCAAGGAAATTGGATTCAAAGTAGAATGGGAATGAAGGAGATCAACACCAACTTCCCATTGCAGGTTTAGTGCGATCAAACTAGCTTGAAATGGACTAACATACTTCAATTCCTCCATGATGGAATGAGTCCATGACAGCATTTGGCTAGGAAGGTGGTCCCAACAATCGCATGCTGCACCAGGTGGTTCAATCCCCAACTGATAGGCCTCAGCGATGGAAGCAGTGGACCTCACAGTGCCGGCCTCGTGCCATGAATTCTTCAGAACTTCATCAACACGGCCGCTACTCACTGTTGTTTGGAAGGCGCAAATGGCTCCAATGAGCGCTGTCGCTTTGGAGGCTTGGAATCGTCTTCCAGTGCGTCTTCTTCCTGGACTTCGATGACCTTCTGGGTGTCCAGATCCAGCCCCAAAGAAGAGGCGCAATTTTGAAGCACACCCTGCAGCTGCTTCCGTAAAGCTTCCTCTTCTTTGTCTATATGATCTTCTGGCAAATCCTCGGCCTCCGGCTGAGACGTCTGAGGAGGAGGTTGCGAACTCCCAGCTGTAGCACTGCTCAGCTGTTGGATCATTCGGCTGGTGGATGTAATTTCCGATCTGGCTTTGCCCGCCAATTCTGTCAACATCAATTGATGTTTTCGGAAATCTTCTAATTGTTTCTCCCAAAGTTTGATGCCACTTGAGAGATGGGCCATCCAAAGTGACCGATGCGCTCTGCGCTGGTCGGTGACCTCGCCCAGGTGTTTCTTCACCTTCCCCAAATGTTTGGTAGCTTGATGCAGGTTCTTGATTCCCATCCTCCCCGTTTCTTGCTCTGTCTTGGCAATGAATTGCTTGGTTTCTTCCGGCATGGTCGTTGGATCCGGATAGGCCTTGCGAAGATGGTCGAGGAATTCCTGCTTTTCGTTGCTTGTACTGACTGGTAGTTGATTTGCAAAGGGACTGACAGGGGGTGCTGAGATGAGCCCAAACTGCGAGGTATCCATTGGTGCCCAAGGCGCAAAGCCCTCTCCCGGCTGGAAGGGTGATGCCATCTCCGCTTGGGTGTTCTGTCCTTGGAAATTCCCTTTCACAGCTCCTTTCTTTCCAGCTCCCTTGTGCTTCCCTTTGCCCTTTTTGATAGGCTGTTGCTGATTGGACGTCGCATGTGGGCCATCCGGTCGATACTTGGTAGAGGACCGGCTGGCTGACCTGCTGGATGTCCAGCTCTTGTCGTCCTCCCAGTCTTTCCAGGAGTAACCATCCCATTCCTGGGTCTTGGGTCGAGTAGGGTGACGAGTACCCTCTGTCCACGACGCCCAGCAAATGGCACATGTTGTCGCCCACTTTTTGTTGATGCGCCCACAGCTGCATCGCCATGGGTAGTACGTTTCGTTGGGATCTTCTTCTTCTGGATTCATTGCTTTGAAAATGTTGGTAAGGAATAAATGATCTCTGCTGTGATGTCGACTCAAAATCTTCCAAATCTTTCCCAAAGCAGGCTTGGTTAATGAAATCCAACCCCGTTTGTGTAAAAACCAATTTCTCCTGGCTTTGGCTCTGTCTCTGCGATCCTTCCGGCGTGTAGTTGATCTGAGCGGCGTGGTCCCTAATGAATGTAAAAAGGACAATGAATCCCAGAAACACGTGGAGGAAACTGCACATAAACAGGCTCGCCAGTAAACAACCCCGATGATACGCTCACCGGCAGAAGCGAATGGAAATTACCTGCTCGACAAACTTTGGCACCAAGAGACACAACCAGGGCAAGCCAATGCAGTAAATGTCAGGTTGATACCAAAGAAAGAGGTGAAATTAAATGTAAAAGTGTGTCACCAAAGGTCCAACGACAGCTGAGGTAACAAAACAATATCAAATAGATCGAATTGCAAATCACTGAAATCCACTCACCAGTGGTCCGAAGACAGCAGAGGTGAAGCCCAAATCGCAAATAACCAAAATGCCGAAATGTAGCCTTGCAAAGAAATCAGATCCCGCGGGTAGAAGCAATGGCAACCCGCTAAGGTCGGAACAAGTAAGCACGGAGCGGGGGGGTGCTAGGCTTGAACCAAAACCTTCTGGCTGGAAAACCCCCAATAAATGGAAGTTGATTGCTGGGAAAAATGAATCCATTTTCATGGGGGATAGCAGGGGATAGCCCCAAGAATAAACCTCCAATACGGATAAACCTCCAATTTTGGAGGCTTTATGCAATTTTCATCCATTTTATATCACCCATTACTGGTGATATTCATTTTTTGGTCTGAAAATCGGGGCCATTTTTTTCTGCACCAAACCTGGTGACCGGTGCCAAATCCCATGAGTCCACCATAGTCCAATGAGTGCCAGCGATGTTCAAGTCGCCAAGTCCCTGAGTCAAAAAACTTAACGCTGACAATCCAATCCAAGCAGCATCTGGCAGTGTGTCAAAACCATTGGAAAACCCCTTTTTAGTTCACATCAAGTCATAGCTGGGATTTATATGGATTCATGGATGTGAATAACCCACTCAAAATGGTATGAAATCAATAGGTTATTGATCCATAGATCCATAGCTTCCAATTGGGATGGGATTTATGGATGTGAGTTCATCCCACTCAAAATGGTATGAAATCAATAGCTATTGATCCATAGATCCATAGCTTCCAATCCAAGCAGCTCCATGGGAAGAAACTCGAAAGATGCTGAGAATGTCTTCGTGGGGATGAACCGGGATGCCTGAAAAGCCAACGCCGAGGCATGTCTCTGTTGTGTCTGTTGAATCTTTGAATCTTTGATACTCCGTAGAAAAAAATGATGTTAAATGGTTGTTCTTAGTATTGGTTAAATGGTTGTGCTTAGTATTTCTTATCGTTGAACTTAGTATTTCTTATAGTTAAATGTGATCTTCTCATAATGTTTCATGTTAAATGATGTTTCTCTAGCACTCTTTTTGGCATTCCTCCGTAGGAATAAATGGTGATGAACCATCGGTGGAAACTCCACTAGGATGATAATTCAGCGATTGCACTGTTGGTCAACGCTATTTACTAAGCATTTGCAAACGAAAAACAATGAACCGTTGACAAAGTTTACTAATCAGCGACACCATCATCTAACAATTTCCATTGATCACTGATCATCTAACCCTCTGATCATGTCAGAAATTCATTGGTGTCACGAATCAGTGTACTCATTTCCAAATCATCTTACCCTCTAACAGTTTGCTAAACCATGAGAATCAGTTTGGTAATTTGTAATGAGAAAAAATATGATCACTGATCATCTAACAGTTTGCTCATGAAAATCACCATGTCAAAACCTGGCGAAAACTGGCGCCTGTGTGATTGGCGATCCGCTCCTCCAGCCGCGCGACGATGGGATCTCGTCGCGCTCCTCGCTATGAGAAATCAGTCGGGGTGAGATTCCTGGGTCAGTTCTCAAGATTCATATGGATTTGTTCTGTAGATACACAGTGTATATATATTATATATATATAGTGTATATATATGTATATCATTTTAGATATTTCTGAACTCTGAACAAGTCACAGATTTGATTATATACATGTATCATCATCTACTATATATAATATTTATGTATGTGTCATGATGTTTCCAGTTACAATGATCCATATGGAGCCTCCGATTTCAGGGGCATTCATGAATTTGAAGCCATAACTCATCTGCTGATGTCGGGAGTTGCGCTGCTGAATTCCTGACCCTTGTCACCACTGCTTGCCGATTGCGGGAGAGATATTACCTACATGGTGGCTTCCATAAATGGGGATACCCCAATAGCCGGATGATTTATAATGGAAAATCCTATCAAAATAGATGATTTGGGGGCCATATGTGCTTTCCTTTGGAACTGGTGCCAGTCACGGGCTAGTTACTAGTTTATGCCTAGTTTATGCTGGTGTCATCTTTCAGATTTGAATCGAATTCTTGAGTTCCATTTCTTGAAATGACCATCTCCAGCGCTTCAGACCCTGGTTCGCACCCAGCCCAAGGGCTGCCTGCAACGTAGCCTTCCACGGGCAATTCCACCTGATCCATCCCATCGCTACTTCCCCATCCACCCAAGTGGTCGATGAACTGCAGCAGGTACCTGCGATGGCTATGGCATGCTATGGCCATCTGCCGTGGCACTAAAAATCGACCAACCATGGCTATCTGCCGGGTGGCTAAGGGTGGCTATCACCCATCATTGGGGGCCTTGAAAATCGCCCATAGCTGCTGGCAGAAAACCATAGAAAACCCGTTGCTAGAGATGGACATTTGTCACAGGACCATCCGTTCATGGGTTATGAACATTGACGGCAATAAAGGGCTATCTATCTTATCTAATCTAATCTAATCTAATCTAATCTATCTATTGTAGATGCAGCAAGCTAGGTTGAGTGATCATCAATCCATGATCTCCTCTGAAAAAGCCAAGGGCACGCGACTTCATCCGCAGAAAGAAAGTGGTCATTTCTGTAGATCTGGCTGCGGTTGTCCACCTCAGTTGGCCAGCCACATCTGATTACAGGCTAGGAAAGAACTGGGATGGGTTTCTTTAAAACCGGGGCTAAGCCTAGGTCGTGTATTTAAAATCATGTTCAGAGGATTATATTGATATATATATATATATATACATAGACAATTGATAAACCATTCAGCTGGGCTGGGGTACCCCCATTTTGGGAAAAGCAACGCTGAGCCCCCAGGCAGCAACGAAGGAAGCGTCCGTCGGCGCGACAACATCTTTGGCGTCGAGCACCGAATTTCTCCTGGTTTCAACTCATGAACTGGGGGTTGTAATTGGGATACCCTGGTCTTTATATATATATATATTACTATATATATATATTACTATATATATATATGAGAGAGAGAGAGAATATGTATGCATATATATATATATGATAATTATATGATAATTATTAAGGTGTAGCAATTTATAATATGTATGTCTACGTGTGGTTATGTGCAGATATATATATATATGTATAGAGATATAATATTTATTTATTTAGTTATATAAACCAAACAAGGGGGACATATATATATATATATACAATAGAAAGAACTCGGAAAACGTTGTTGATGTTGTTGGTTTGAATCAGCCATAGTTGGGCAATGAGTTTAGTGATGTGTCCAGGTCCATCTCGGATCCCAATATCTTGGTTCTCACAGCAAAATAGCTGGGATTTATGGTTGCTCACCCGAAAGAACATATGGTTTTTCATAGGTTTGCTCCATCCCCATGGGCCCATGGTTGAAGTTAAGCTTTACCAACTGATTCAGAAAAAAATCCAGCATGTTTACCATAGTAAGAGCCTATGTCAAAATGGGTTAAATGATCCATACCGGTTGGCTCAATCCCCTTAGGTTGGTACCAACCCCACCGGGATCGACCCTGCCCTGCGCAAAGCCATGGTTCCATTGGATCCAAGCCGCCACCGCTAAGCCCAAACCTCGTCTCTGCCGAAGAAATCGCCATTCTGGGGATGGCCAAGCCAACAAAAATCGGGGATTTGTAGGGATATCATAGAGATATCATGATATCATCATAGATAACCAGTATTAACCATAGAAATCAGGGAGATCATAGGGATTTAACCACTATTAACCAGTATCATTATAGATCATTACTGGTTGGTGGTTTCAACCTACCCCTCTGAAAAATGATGGAGTGAAAGCCAGTTGGGATGATGATTCCATTCCCAACTGAATGGAAAGTCATTCAAAATTCCATGGTTCCAAACCACCAACCCGTAGAGATATCATAGGAACATCGCCATTTTTGAGAATCAAATCGAACTCAACGAGCCATTTGGCGGTTAAACCAGGGTACCTTAGCAGACTGGTATAGCTCGTATAGCTGAATCATCTCAAAAGTTGTTGAAAATTCATAGCATCTTAACCCATCCCAACTTTACGGGCAACTTTCGAGCTCCAAACCGCTTATCAGCCCACCAAATCAGCCGAGATACCCATTCGAAGCACGGTCTTTCCCATGCTCCTGGACCTTGCCGCCATTTTCATGGGGGATTTAGCTCACAAAAAGTTACTAAATTCCCATGGGATATAAGGAATCATGTAGCCTATGGCACTATGGGGTCATGTATCCCAGTAGTTTTTTGGGATAAATATGGATAAATGGGATATAGACCCACCCCATATGGTTCGCGCCTTTCTTAGCTTGATGTAGGCGAAGCCTACATGTGGGAAAGAATGGGATATACTGGGATAAATGACCAACCGTGTGGGATGGGTCTGTCCAAAGCTGGTATATACCACAATTTATGGCCAGACAAAGCCGTAGAAAATCCACTGAAGAGAAGTCATGTTCCCCATTTTCTGTGAGATATCTACCACTGAACCCTCCAAGCAGCCATGAAAATAGGCGTACCAAATCAGCGGGCGAATTTTGGTAAAATAGCAATGTTTAAGCGTACTTGGAGAGTTTAAGTGGTTGTTATTGGTGTTTGTGTTTGCACTGGAACCACTATTAACATCAATTAACCACAAGAATCTACTAGACTACTTCTTAACCATTATTAATCACCATTGGATTGACCACTAAGAACCATCATTCACTATAGACCACTAAGAACCACTATTAACCAGTATGATTATATAATATTATATATCATTATCATACTCATCATGTCTCATCATATTAAAATTCATTATAATACCACTATATATTATATATCATTATTATACTCAGAATATCACTAATAGTGATTATATTGTATAATAATAGTGATATACTATAGTGGTATACTATATTAGACCAATATATCACTATTGATTATTATCCTCAGCATTATCTCAAAATCACTCCCAGCAGAGCCCCATCTCGGAGGCCATGGCATTGCTGCTGGGGCAGGGCCCGGAGGGCCCGCCTCCGGGCCCGCAGGGGCAGCCTCTGCAGTCTCGCCTCGGGTGAAATCATGGGGATTTGATCATGGAAAATCTGTGAAATGACCTGCCACGTTCGTGATTCCTTTATGAAGACATGTGTTGTGTTTTTTCTGAATCAACAATGGTGGTTCTAGAATGGTTCTACCATCAAGAATTGGTAATGAACGACTGGGATTTGAAGCAGCAAACATCAGGGTTTCACCAGCGAAGGTGAGGATTGAACTCACACAATGTACCAACATTTTTGGTGCAAAGAGATGGTTTTCAGACACCAAAACCATCCTTAAAACCTCTATATTGGGCTCAGCACATGGCTCCACCATCCCGATGGATCTCAACAGCTGTGCTCCCAAATGTGTTGTGCCAAACGTGAAAAACGCTGGTTGAAAAAAAGACCAGCTTACTTACTGTAGATATAGTTGGTGTATCCAGCACAAAGCCTAGTTATAGTTGTGGTTCTAAAACCAACTTAGCTATCTTGGCGTGTGTTGATGCATGAAGAAAACCACGTGTTCTGTTGGACGTAACTCCTCAGTGTACTCTCTCCCCTTGGCATCTGACCCTGTGACCGCCGGGCGCGCGCAATGGTGAACATGGCAGCACAGAGGGGGCGCCAGATTAAACAGAAGCCATCAGTGGCTGCACTCTGGCTGCTGGTTTCACCTTTTTGGCAAGATCAACATAAATCGAAACGCTGGAAATGACCTAAATTTCCTAAATATCCCGGAAAAACATGTGTTTGTTTACCCCGAAAATTTCCCAGGGAACCATCCGTGGAGATCAAGTTCCAAGAACATCACAAGGGAAACCTGTTTTCATCCATAAATCCCCGCCTATTGTGGGGTTTTCACAGAAGGTTACCAGGGTGTTGACCCTGAGTCATGTGCCTATCTTGCTGCATCTTCATGGTTTGAGATCCAAGTGCTTGCGGTCATGACAAAATGCATGTGGCGCTAACAAAATTGGGAACTCCCAAGCGCTCACTTGCAAAAGCATGACTTTGAATTCAGTATTGGTCTCAAAAAAAACTGATTCACACGTTCTTAGTGCAATTACATATATCATATTCAATTGAATAATCCAAAACCAGAAAACAATCATCTAATGTGGGTAAAGCCAATGCCAGTTGCACCATCCCCCAGTCATCACCATTTTTATAGGTGGTATTGCTACCGTTCCCAGTCATGGGTGGTTTATTATCATTGTTTTACCAACATTAAAATAAACTAAATAAACCTTTGGTAAATGTTGTAAATGCCATAGTTTGTGTTTAAAAAATACAAAAAAATACAGGGGTTTCTATCAATAGAAATGTACTATCCTCCGGTCATCAAACATGGCTTGCTGGACAATTCCGCCTTTACTGCAGGCACTGGTGGCCGCGTTGCACACCACACTGGAGGTTTCCTACAAGCAGAGCTGGCCCCGGGGCAAATCTCAAAGATGATCTAGATTTAATTGAAAATCCTATCTTTTACTAGGGTTTTACTGGGGGTTAAGTGGGTTTTAATGGAGTTTAATAGTGTTTTGATGGGGTTTAATATGTTGCAATGGGGTTCTTATTGGGAAAACCAAAGAGTTTTCATGGGTTAATTGCCACATGTCCAAAACCGGACAGTAATTTAGTCATAGTTAAATATATGTATATAGTAATTATAATATATATATATGTGCATCCATTGCCAAAAATTCTTCGCCAGTGAAACCAAGGTGTGTCCAGCACGCCCCATAGGTACCAGGTATGTCTCGCAAGCCCAACTTTCATCCCAATCCTCCATGGAGAAATCATCTACAAATCGAGATTACCCTCTGGTTATGACTAACATAGCCTCTGGTTTATCATAGGAAAATGGTGATTTAATGGTTAACAATGGTGAATAATGGGATGATAATGGGATATACCCTCTGGTTATTTAACAGTTTGCCATGGAAAATGATGGCCCATAAAAATAGATGGTTTACCTATTAATAGCATGGGTGGATCTTTCCATGGCGAACTGTTAAATAACCAGATGGTAGATCATGGAAAAACAAGAAATCAATCATTGATGGATTTCCATGATGATCTAATGTTTTTCCATGAAGGATTTCTTGCTACAAATCATGTTTTTCCATTAGATCAGCAACTTGTTTTTCTTCCCATGTTTCTGGTTTCGCCCAGAGACAGGGAGTAGGATCTTTCGCACCCGAGCATCGATCTTGGATGTGTATCCAGTTAGTGATGAAAACCAAGAATCTGTAAACAATCTGTAAACCACAATCAAGTGACAAATGGGATGTTTAAGGTTGTGTAAACCCCATACATCAACTGTTAATGGGATATGACAACCCCATACAAATGCTTAATTAACCCAGTTGTGTATGGGTCACGAGTCCTTCCATCACAACCATCATTTAGGGATTTAGGGAACTTCACCCGATTAGAAACCAAGTCCTTGCCATAACAAATCTTAGATACTCAAATGGAACATCTTTTAGCTAGTTGGGAAATAATTACATACCTGTATGTTGAGGAAAGAACTACATAATATTCTGAAAGTAGCATATGTTAGCTCTTTGATGTCCATGAAGATTATCGAACATCATCACATAATTATCATATATCACAGGTTGGTGGTTTACCTACCCCTCTGAAAAATATGAAAGTCAGTTGGGATTATTATTCCCAATATATGGAAAGTCCTAAAATTCATGTTCCAAACCACCAATCAGATCATATATCAACATATCCATGGTCAAGTGGATCTAACTAGTCCCATTGGTCAGAGGCCTGTGCCAGCGAGTCATATATCATATATCATATATCTGGGTAAATTATAATATTTCACTAGCCTGAATAGTTCGGCCCACCAACTTGCGATCTGCCGTGCCCCCGCGGCTGCAGAGCACGACAGCGAGATGTCCGAGGGAGTCCAACTAATGGTTACCCGCCTCCACCAATCAAGCAACCGAGAATGAAAAATGAAAAGGTCCACGCCTTCCAGCAAGCCGCAACCTAGAAAACCACGACATAATGGAGGCAGGTCACCTTATTACTATCATCGATACAAAACCCACAGTCCTGGTCTGGCTTGTTCCCATGGTTTTCACAGGCAATTGGACCTAAGTAGCAAAGTGGGATTTCAGAAACTAATTTTCTGCCGTTTTGACAGTTTCATTCATCGCCACCATCCAAGTCCTGATTCTCATTGGTGGATCTGATGTTCTGGTGTCTCTCTCTGTACAACTTCTCACGTTGCTTTTGATTAAACTCATCTGCAGCTGTAAGTTCTGAGCCCACCAGTGGATCCATTAACGGTATGTGAGGAGTAGCAACGAAGCATGCCTTTCCAAGCTGTCCACGTGTTGCGAAATACCCTTGCAAGAGCTCTAGCGTTTCAGTTTGAAGTGGTAGTTTAGGTCGTAGTGGTAGTCCCTGTTTCATACCCTTTGCACCCAACTGATACAGTGACTTGACCTTAAGAGGTTTGACATCAGGAAAAATTGATTTGTTGACCAGAAACTGGTTGTGCATGAGGATATTCCGAAAAGTGTTGGTTCGTACTGTAAAGCCTTGAGATTCTTGATGAGATAGGACTGGTATCGTTGTCTGTGCAGAAAGCATGAAGCTGACTGTCTGACTGTCATCTCAACCCAAGTTATTCCCAGTGGCGGTGTAACTTCCTCCGGTGATGTAGGCCAGACCAATAGTTGGAGCCATCGTAAAATGAGATCCGCAAGTCGTCGTCCAAACTTACAAGACCTTACATTATGAAAATCTTCCGCAGTGAAAACAAACTTTTGTCCCTCTTCCAGTGCATAGCTGTGCATGTGCTCCCAGCGTTCAAGTTGTCGTTCGGGTGCTCTGTCATGTTCATTATCAAGCTTAACTCTGTGCATTGCAAGGTCAATACGCAAAGCATACTGCGCTTCCAAACTTTGTTGTTGAGCACGTGCATCTGAAAAAAGCCTACGCAAGTCATCTGTGATTACTCTGTGAAGTGTGTTACAAGCAATTTTCGCCGCTTCGTCAGCTACCGCATTTCCCATGATATGCTAAGTTTCATGTGCCGGTTGTTGTTTGATGCTCTGGTGTGCCTTGATTTTTGCAACTGGTATCGGATACTGCTTTTGCCAAAACAGATTGTGCAATCTCTTGAGCAAATCCCAGTTTGGTAGCTTATGGAGAACAGACACATCAACTTTCTTGCGAATCAAGTTGTGCGCATCAATTACATAGGCACTATTAGTTACCACTGTTGCATGGATCATCGCTTCATGTGTGAGAATCGCGGCAGTGAGTTCAGCTCTGTTTATGGTTTGGGCCCATGACTTGTGATCACCCATCGCATCCAGGGGGGGATACAGGGGCCCCCAGATGCAACGGGTGATCTCCCCCTTCAAAGTTACGGTGCAGCGACGGGCATGCTGGCCAGACATTCCCGTATCCACATCCGTAACTTTGAAAATTACCCGTAAAAATACAATCCCTTCGGGGCTATTAAATTACACCCGCCCGCGACCGCAATCCGTCACCGAGTCACTCAGGACGACCGGCAGTGGTTGCACCACCACACACTGCCGGTAAACTGGGACGCACCCACGTCCTGAAAAACGCCTTGCCCATACGGCTGACGGCGGTGGCAGCGGTCGCACTCCACGAGTGCTCCCGCGCGTGGCACCCAAAGATCCAGATTCTTGCAGTTCTGGATCGGCACCTTCACCGGCTCCTCCTCCTGCGTCGGCAACCTGAATAGTTCGGGCATTTGGGGATGATTCCCCCAAAAAATATACCATGATTCCCAGTGAGGGAGAACAGTGAGGTTGTTATAATTTACCCAGATATATCATATATCATATAATTAGTAGAGTACTGAACTCCGTCCGCCCCATCCACCCCAGTCCGCCCCAGCGTCCAGGTGTTGCCACTGTGCCCGTTGAAGCCACTGGAGAGCCTGCGCTAAGGTGAACATCTTTCGGGTAGCCTAAAGATCCACTGAAAAATGTTTGAAACTATAACCCATAGGATCCATGTATGGTATATATGCTAACATTGGGGGTATATTGGTAAATGTTACCATATATAGCATACATGGATCCTATGGGTAAGGAAAAAACATGGACATGCTTGAAATTGGATGAACTGCCATTTTCAGACACACCCGTTTTGACAATGTAAACTACTGGCTAGCTCGAAGATCCCCTATTAGAATGACAATTTTAGTGGTAATCCTCCAGAAATGATGGAACAGTAACATAGTAATCACCATTTTTAGATCAACTATTTCTATGGCCTTTTTTTCCATGGTATAAATGATGGACCAACCATTGCCATGGCCATGTGGCCTGAAACCAAGCATCACAGCTGCCGAGGGCACTGCTGCAGGTGAAGGAGTCCATTTCTAGAGATCGGGCCTGGTGTGAGACATGAGATGGGGGCTGTACAACAAACCCAAGGCTTGTCATTGGAAAAACAAGAAACATGGACATTTGATCAAGAAAGTGGGAGTTCATAAACACTGACCTAGTGAAGAAGCAAGACTTGGGATAGGGCACACCAAAAATTGAAATTAACCAACGAAAACATACGAAAACATGTGTTTCACTCGCACAAAGTCTGGGACCTTTCACCAACAAGAATGGAATTACACTGCGATTGGGTATTTTGACGGGCGAATTGTATCCCCAACTTGAATTGATCACCATTTTGATCAGGTGATAGTGACATCAGTGACATCCCAAACTTTGAAGTTTTTTTGTGGCATACAGGGTCGGTTATAAGTCACAGTATACCGAACGGGCGTAACTCGTTACAAGATCATACTGAGCTTCTGGTGGATGTCGTCAATATTGGAGATAAATTCTCTGACAAGTCCCTACAGCCAACAAAACTATGAACTTCCCCCAACACTATGCTGGGTAAATTATAATATTTCACTAACCTGAATAGTTCGGCCATTTTGGGATGATTTCCCTTATTAACCATGATTCCAGTGAGGTCGCAGTGAGGTCGTTATAATTTACCCAGCTATGGGTATAAGAAGCAAATCTAATTGGAATCGAAACGGCCCTGACCTGAAACTCCGAAATCTCCGAGATAGCCACGCGCCACTGCTGGCCTCGGTCATGCACAGTGTTTTTTTGATTCAGATTTTTGACTTGTACTGATACTCAATGATTCCCTAAATGTGTATATTATATGATAATATATTGATTTGTGTTTCGTGATGTTTCTTTGGATGGTATTAAATTATCCCGGGATCTATTCCATAGACACTATATGGCAGAATGCTTCGGATATGGCATTTTTCAGCGTGGCCTATCTTCCCGCACCTTGCTCGAGCGCAGCCAAAGCAGAGTTGTAGGACACTGCATCTGTATCCTTGGCCAAGATCCAAAACGACCAACACTTCAAAGCATTTGGCGGTCAAAGCCCTGGCAAATCTCTGGGTTAAACCACTCCAAGATCTCCAAGATAGCTGGTTTATATTGGAGTTCATCCACCAAACAAATAATGTGGAATATCTTTGTACCAATAGTACAGGTTTTTTGACTAGAGGCCGCATGGTTTAACTTTCAACTACTTTAGGTTCATTTCGGACACATGTTGGGTCAGAACAAACTAAACCTTCCACAACTATCTGTAGGTTTCGTTGCCCATTCTTTAGCCCAAAAATATCAACCCTTTCCCGCAGCTCATCCCATGATTTCTCGCCATAAAGCTTATCCCCAGTCTAAGACAGCGAAAAAAGACACGAATATCATGAGTTCACACATAGAATTCTTAGTTTGACATAATTTAACCCAAATAAAAAATGATTTCCCCAAAATACCCTCCAGTAAATTAACATAGACCCTGCCAGATACGGGTTGGAAGATTGGTTTCCATTAAAAATAGGTAATTTTCAGGGTCTATGTTTATTTACCAGAGGGTATATGGAATGCCTAAAAGCCTTGGTGGACTCTATCAGATTAATTCGTTGCTCATGGCCCATATGAGCAGTTTTGAGGGCTGGGATTACCTCTAAATCAACTGCTGAATCATCATTTTCCGTACAAACTGTATTTAAAAAAAAAAACGAAATTGGGAGGATAATCCTCATTTTCAGACAGACACAGCAGGAAAAAAAAAGGTGATACAGTATATCACACTATATCCCCATGATATTCCCAATTTATCCTCCAGCAAGCTAACATAATATATGTGGAAAACCCACCATTTCCCGAACACGAAACCATGGGTTTTCCACGTCTATGTTGGCTTACAAGAGGGTCACCAACAAAAACCACAAGAAAACCAATATTAAACATAATAAGTAAATCAAGATATAATGATGGGACCCAAAAAGATATAAATCACTAAATCACTATTAATCACTATTAAATCCAATTGATTCATAGTTAGATCACCATTAATCACTATTAAATCACTGTTATAATATATTATAATCCCCAATAAATCACTAATAATCACTATAATCGAAACAACTGGAATAGCACTATTAACCCAATTATAATCACTATTAAAATTGGTATGATCACTATTCAAACTCACTTTTTAAAAATGATCACTATTGGGATAATCATTATAATTAAAAATAAAATCAGTTAGTTTTCCATTAATAATACTATTATCAGGGTATCTCACTATTATAATTTCAATAGGTAAACCAATTATAGTCACTATTAAAATTGGTGTGTTCACTCTTAAAACTCACGAATTATGATCACAAATAAAACGAACTGTTAGTCATAACCAGATGGTATATCCCACTATCATCCCATTATTCACCATGTTTTTCACCATTAAATCACCATTTTCCTATGGTAAACCAATAAGACTAATAAAACGAACTGGGATGGAAACCCTCAAAGATCATCGCGGCACCTCGGCCGCGTGCCAGGCGTGCAAAAGCTCCAAGGAGAGTTGCCAGTGACCTCTGCCCACCGCGATGCCTGGGCGCGAACAGCAGGTCTATAACAGGGAACAGGTTATCTATATATATATATACAGTATGTATGTATGTATGTATGTATATGTATATATATATGGATCACTTATATAGCTTTATGTCATATATCATTAAGTGATACTTATATATATATATATTATTGTATATATTGTCATTTTATAAGTATATATTATAAGTTGTATAACTATTATGTCAAAAGGATACACAATTATCATAGTCACCATATAAAAGCAATAATAAGCATCACTTTTGGTTCGAATGTTGGGCACCATATGTAAGTTATATACATAAGTTATATTTCTAGGATTTTCTAGTCATATAGTGTAAAAGGTTACTAGACATGGTTTTAATGGTTACTTCTAGTAATAGATTTGACTACGTATTATAAAATCATTTCAAATAATGATTTTCTTTATATTTAACAACATGATATATGATACATCATAGTATACAGTATTAATATGTGTATTTGTATGTGTATGTATGTTACATTTATTCAACATGATCTTCCCCGGAAATTTCAGTATTTTCCCGCCATGTTCAAATCTCACTTGCAGCCTGTGCACATGCATTGCTCTGTCGGGCATCCAGCTGCAACTGCCGCTGTTGCGCCTTCCTTGGCTGAGCCCAGGTTGGCTTCGGGTTGCAGGGAAATGGATGATGGTTCTATTAACTGGCTATCATCTAAATGTTATATAGCTAGTTAATTGATATATCGGCTCCTTATATGGCTCCTTATACGGCTCCTTGCAGAAAATTGACAGAACGTGACAAACTGTTGTGAAAAACCTAGCAATGCTTGGTCTTGGGAACCTATTGGTCTTGTACATCTACTCTCTGGCAATTATACAAAAAGCTATTGAAAATGGCCCAGTCAGAATAGTTGATTTACCCATTTTCATAGCATGGTGATCTTCCATAGTTCTGTAAACGTTTACCAGAGGCTAAATTTGCGGGCTAGGAAAGCTTCAACCCAAAGCCATGGCGTTTGCGTTTGACTCATCCTGCTTTTCGACAGCCTTGCAAGGTATTGGAGGTGTCATGATTGTAGAATTATAGAAGGACTGCTAACTACCTAGACACTCCATTGACCGAAACTTCTTCAAAAAATGCATGTTACCCCATAAGTTTAGTACGTTCTGAAAAATTTGTATGGGTATTTTAAGTGTCTTGGTACCCAAAAATGGATGACTAGCAAGTCAACTAGGCAGCTGACCCTCCCCATGTGAGCCAAGAATATCTATATCTATATCTATATTATATATATATTAAGTACCAGAAGATCACAGATGCTGGCTCCCGAACCATCCGAGCAATTGTTGCCCACATGACTTGACCAATACCCAGTATGCCATTTGTTTATTCAGTCCATTGCCCACTGATATCCCACTGTTTGCAATGGGTATTGGTGATGAAAATGGATAAATGAAGATGAAAAATGGGTATTTATCCCACTGATATCCCCAATATCCATACCCATTTTCTAGTTCAGTGTATTGGCGTTTTGCTGATGAAAATCGGTGATGCTCCATAAGTTCCATCATCTTTGGCTGACAAAGTGCAGATTTTTGCTGGTTGGTGGTTTTAACCATCTTGAAAAATACTAGTCAATGGGAAGGATTATCCCGTATATTATGGAAAATAAAAAAATAAATGTTCCAAACCACCAACCAGTTTGCCAATTGGGTCCACATGTTTGGGCGAACTCCTCCATGTCTACTGCCTTTTCCGCCATGTCTCTCCAGGAACCCCATGGCTGAGCTCCAAAAAAGTCCAGCACCAGAAGCACCTCTGGTGGTTTATCAGATCAGAGGTAACCAAACTGAAATGATGTGGTAAATCCATTGATGATCATTGATGATCACTGATGAACATTGATGAACCTTGATGATCAGTAATGAACGTTGATGATAATTGATGAAGATTAACGAAGATACAGTACCCCATGTGAAGGTGATCATAAACGACTCACTTGGGAGATATGGAGATTGGGTTTACCACATCCTCCAAGAGCATCGCATTCTTGGGTGGTTCATATATAGTATGTCACAAAGCAAACGGCGACTTTGAAACCCCTATTTCTAGGGGCCAAAAACGCGAGCTCTGTAACAAGCAAATTCTACATATTATTTGAACTGTATTCCTTGTTCTAAATTGGAAAACCAGCGTGACCCGCTGCTTTTTGGGGGGATGCCATGTCAGCATCCTCTCAGACTCGATGAAACCTCTGCTGGCCCAGCTATGCATCCAGTTTTGGTTTGTTATTGGATAGTGACAAAAAAGAATTGGCTTTACCACAAAAAATACCGTTTCTGGGAGCTATTCCATAATTGATGATTAATTAATCTGTGTGTATATATATATACATATCATTTGTAGTTTTTTTTAAGGCTATTACAGCATGTTTGATGGTGAATACCCCATTTTTCATGGCTAATATCCCATTATTGCTGTCTAATTTAATAGCTATATAAAATATCCACCATTTATACTTACATATATATATATATATATATCATATCTATATATATAGATGTATGTATAGTTGTAAGCCATATATTATATTAATATCCACAATCTATATTTAATAGCAATATTAAAATCCCCCATTTCTTCTTGGTCTCGCGTCAAAGGTCCATGTCATCGCCGAGGAGGCAACTGATGATGTCAGACAGCGTAAGGGCATCAGATTCCATCGAGAAGTGCCACAGGTCTTGGTAGAGCCCTAAAGCCTTGGGCTGTGAACCAGATTTGCTGGTAGATGTTTTTTTTTTTGCCGAGGGGTTGGAGATACTCCAACTATTTGTCCAATTCTTTGAATTGTATTTAATTGTTTTTTTTCAGAAGAGTACCTCTTTTTTGTTGCAAAGACTGACGTAAAATTGCTTAAGATACACGTCCACCACACGACAGACCTAAGTCCCAAGCTCGATACCATCGGCCACTTCGATGAGCAACACCTGGGACCAGCTGGCATGGCTGGATGTTTCTCCCACCATTTATGAGCTACTACATGGTAGAACCATGAAAATCATAGGTTTCATGATGTTTCATGTATATAATCCCCAGATGAGAATGGGTCCCACAAAAAGAGCTACCCAAAGAGCAAACAATTATTACCCTCTGGTAAACCAACATAGCTATATTGAAAATCACATTTTTTTTAGGTAAATCATTTATGAACGGACCACGTTCCATGGCTTTGTCAACGACAAACATGGCCGATATAGGGGCATCTCAGTGATGCGCAAGAGAAAGATTAGCCACTTGGGGTGTTATCATCCCAACTGCAATAAGAAGTAAAGTATTCTTCACACATACCATCATATACCATCATATACCTATCTATATGTATGTCTATGTGTATACCTATTTCTATCTTTATACATGTATATCTATATCTATTTGCATGCCTACTCATGTATTTCTATGTGTATATGTATATCTATATCTATATGTGCATATATATATATGATTATATATGTATACGTATACGTACACATATATATATATGTATATATATATATGTATATATATATGTATATATATATATGTATATATATATATATGTATATATATATATATATGAGTGTAAATGTATTCATATCCACATATGTATGCATGCATGCCTGTCAGTTGCATCTCCATGATATTCACAAGAGTGTATATATATATATATGTGTAATATACGTATAGACATATATAAATATTATATACTATTATAAATATCATATACTATTAATTATATATATATAATGTGTTTGTAGTTGAACCATGTTGGAGCCACCATGCCAGTCCAAGCTTTGTTTTGGCACTGGGGACCTTGCTGATAGCAGTGCCAAAAGAGATGCCGTTCACCTCCAGCTGCCTTCTGCGGATGCGACGTCGCGGAGTAACGCGGATGTCGTGACTGACAAATGGCGATCTGGTCAAAATGTGTTTTTTGTTTTTAACATGATAGTGATAAATGATCCCAAAATGTCAGTGATAAATGTGATTTGATAATGATCCCAAACTGAATTTGGTTCAATGTCAGTGATAAATGATCCCTAAATTATCCAATAATGGTTCAAAACGGTAATTTAACATGATTTGATGGTCCAATGATGGTGATTTAAGTGTCAAAATGATGAGTTTGGTTCAATGTCAGTGATAAATGATCCCAATTTTATCCAATAATGGTTCAAAATGGTGATTTGATGTGATTTAATGTCAGTGATTCAATGTAATTTAACCATCATGTGATTAATGATTTAGCCATCTGACATTCATGGTTCACCATCAACCATCGTTCACCATCAGACTGACAAGTGATCTGACAAAGTGTTTAACCATGTGACAAGTGATTTGACATGTGATTCAAGATGACTCAACATGCTTCAATGTGATTTAACATGATTTAACCATGAGATATAGCGTACCTGGGTATATACTGGTTGATGGTTTCAACGCCATGAAACATAGTGACTAAGTGTTTTACGAGGATGTAACCATCAAGCACAAGGATAGCAATGGGGATAGTGGGGATGCTACAATGGTAATATTTGGGTTGGTCTGAAAATGGGGTTCTCCCCACTAGCCACTTCAATCATCTTCAATCAGGAACATGATTGTCAAAAATTAATGATTTATGGCGTTCCCCTAAATGTGAAAACAACACCAAAACATACCAAAACTTGAAACAATTGAATTACCCTCTGGTAATTTGTTACGTAGCTATTTTTCAAATGGCCAAAAAAAAATCATAGTGGATTTTCCCATGAAAAGCATGGTGGATCTTTCCAGTTCGCTACGTAAACGTTTACCAGGCCGGGTAAGATCATCCTACTTTGGATGAACAAAAATTGGTCCAATGGAGTCCTGCCGTTGATCCGTGCGTTTTTTCAGAAAAATGACCCGAATCTGGAGTGAAGGTGGATACCTGGTGAACTTACAAAAAGCTATGGAAAATGGCTATAGAAACTGGTGAACATACAAAAAGCTATGGAAAATGGCTATAGATATAGTGGATTTTCCCATTGAAAATGGTGTTGATTTTCCATTGCTATGTTAGTTCACCAGAGGGTAATTATGAAGGACGGTTTTGAGATGGACACGAACAATGACCAAATTCTGGTGCCAGATGAATGTTGGCCCATACGGCCCATAAAATACTTCAATTTCTTCCCACTGACGGTTGCTTCCTGGGAAACCGCAGGAAATGCTGGGACTTTTATTGTTCCAGTGTTTGTCGGACCTCGGTTTTAGTCATTTCTCAGAAGCCTTGAAGGAATATCATCAAAACATCCGGATGATTTTGGGCCAAAATGAACCATTAAAAATACACCTGCTGATACGTGGTTGCACGGGGGGCTAGATTACCTGGGTTATTAGGGATAATCGGGATAATTATAACCAATGATAGTGATACCTATTGACGAACCGGTATAATGGGATGGGATAGGATGACATTTTGATGGCAATAGCTTTCTCAAAAATGGATGGTGGATGGTTTCACGTCAAAACTGATCCAACAAAAATGACATTTCAGGGATTCATGGATGGTTTTGAGGAGATATGACTCGATGGTTTGCTGATTTTTTTAAAAAAAAACATGAAACAATTTTTTTCTGGTTCGACGAAAAAGTCACATGACAGCGCCTGGTTCTCATCAGACGGAGCAAGTCTTCAGAATCCTGGTCCTTCGCATGGTTCTCCTGAGCAGCTTCCAACCCCAACATTTTTCACAACCGAGATCAGCGACTGGGGATGCGACTGGTGACAAGCCATTCCGGGATGACTGGAAAACCTATTACCCTCTGGTAATGACTAACATAACTATGGAAAATCACCATTTTTAATGGGAAAATCAACTATAAATGGCCATAGCTATGGAAAGATCCACCATTTTTCATGGGAAAATCCACTATTTCTATGGCCATTTTCAATAGCTATGTTAGTCATTACCAGAGGGTAGGGAAGAGGTCAAAACCGACCTGTGTCCCGTCCCCCAAACTAGCTGAAGTCGATGCTTCTCCTGCCAGTTGATCAACCAACTTGGTGTATTGAGGCAGCGAATTCCCCCAAAATAGAAGCCCAAGATGCAATCCACATCTGTCAACATGGTTGGAGCTGTTTAGGGAAACCCATATATATATGTAATGTCATGTAATGAAATGAAATGAAATGTAATGCAATGCAATGCAATGTAACGTATGTATGTATTGTTTTGTTTTGTTTTGTATTGCATTGTACTGTATTGTATTGTAGTACTTTGTATTGTGTTGTATTGTTTTGTTTTGTATTGTACTGTATTGTATTGTAATGTAATGTAGTGTAATGTAATGTAATGTATGTATTTATATTTATATATAATTATATATATAACTATATTATATATATAGAGATATAATTAAATATATAATTTGATTATATATATAATTACATATAATAATATATAATATGTATATAATAATGTATATATATATATATACCAATCTTAATACATCCAGAACACAATGATTATCATGGCCATATTCCGGAATCGGGTTTAACCAGCTTTAATCATGGTTAATCATGTTCAACCATCAGTTGAAGTACATCATGACCATCAATTCAGCATGGTGATACCCTCTGGTAAACTAACGTAACTATGGAAAATCACCATTTTTAATGGGAAAATCCACTATAAATGGCCATTTTCAATAGCTATGTTAAATTACCAGAGGGTAACATCCATACAATGGACATACCATGGGCCCTACCAGCGCTGCCACCAGAGAACACTGAGCTTCCCACCAACGCCCCCAGAATGCTGCCGAAGACAGCGTTCCCCATCTCCAGGCCTTGTGAATCAGAGATGTCTGGTAAATGTAAATACACAAGACCCCAATTTGTTGACATAGCCATCGAAAATTATGGATAATTGTTGACAACTCTGGATATGTCTAATTCTGGTTAATGATGATTATCTGGTTGGTGGTTTCAACCCTCTGAAAAATATGAAAGTCAGTTGGGATGATTATTCCCAATATATGGTAAACAAAATCATGTTCCAAACCACCAATCAGTTATGGTATATGATGTCGAGTCGATATTGGTCGATGCGCACCATCCATTGGGGCATCTGGGATGCCCCAACTTTTCTCCAAAGCCTCTGATAAGAAATCCAAAGAAATGGCCCACTGCTGACTACGCACACAAGCGCTGATGGCCGCCACATAGCCTGAGCTTCGGATCGAGGAGGTACACAGAACTCAAAGTGGTTGATGGTTTCAAGTGGTTTCAACTGGTTTCAACTCATTCCCAATCTAGCAATGAATGAAGGGATATATATATATGATATGTATAATATATATATTTATTTATCATATAATGTATAGAATATATATATATATGATATATATATATATGATATATATATATATATTGTTTGCCATCTTCCCTATAGAAAGTGAGATCAATGAGGCTGCCACAAGCAGCATCTGGCACGATCTCATGTCGAAGGCGCCTTGATCTTCGGAAGGTGTCATGGTGATGATTTGGGAATTGATCGCATGGCCCTGGTGGTGTATTCCCTGGTGGTGCTGAGTTTACCCATGTTTACTCCGTCTAGAACAAGCAAAATGGAGCTCGCAACGGCAAACACTTGGAAGATTGGAAGAGTCTACACTCAAAAAACGGAATCCAGTCGCTTCTGAGTCGTGTATTATTTTCAGCGCGCATTGTTCGAGCGGTACACGTCCACGCCAATGTTTCTTTTCAGCACGGATGGAATCCACATGGATTGCCAGAATGCGGCTACCTAGACACTCCATGGCTCGCCAGAGTATTTCAGAAATTGTGAGTCCACCATGACTTTCTGATACTTTGACCATCTTTCATCAATTCTTGTGGGAACTCTGAGTGTCTTGGTATAGGTATTGAAAAGGTTTCTCAATACCAAGCGCTGCGTCGTCGCCGCAGCGGAAGCCGATTTTTTGGACCAATGAAGCAGGGGATTGCTACTCGAAGCCACAACTTTGGGCGAGCCGTGCTATGCCATGTGTTCCACTCGTTCCCACGTTGGGGCTTGGTATGTCTCCTGACCCTGACTCTTTCTGCGCCTCGGAATTCATACCACGGCCCGTAGGGCCGAAGGACTCTGTGCGAACACTCAACCCATCTGCCGTGACAAGAGCTAAGTTGCTGATCCAGTGATTGCAAAGTTCTGTACAATCTTAGATTTCTGATCAAATCTCCTAATTGTGAACCCCCAATCAATAAACCCTGGTTGATTAACTAGGTCCTCCTACCCCCTAGCCCCGCGAAGTGATTTCGTCCAAAAATGCCAGCCCCAGGCATTGCCATGAACTCACAGAGCGCCAAGAGACACGATCTCCACCGTGGGCCAAAACTCGAAATCAGGCCTGCGCTGCATATCCAGATGGGGCTGCTTGGATGAGCATCCCACTTGGCAAGTGGCTAGAACAATCTAATCTGGTTGGTGGTTGACGTACCCCTCTGAAAAATATTATTCAGTTGGGATGATAATTCCCAATATATGGAAAAATAAAAAATGTTTGAAACCACCAACCAGATTGTTTACATACCAACAATATGGCACGTACAAGTGGGAAATATTTTCTGATACAGAGGGTACTCCAAGGATCTTGCAAAGGCTGGTTCAGATGCCACGCATCTGGGATATCTGGTATTTCACTGGAAATGTCTGAATCAACTTCAAATATCTTCAAATAAAGGTGTTTTGCTTTGTCGAGATATCTGGAGGCTACCTGAAACCTCCAAACCAAACAATAATTTCATACTACGGGCTGCAAAAAGTGTCACTCATCCATTGTAATGGTTCGACCGAGTCTGCATTGCCCTCCGACTTTGCTGGTTGCCCCCAAGACTCAAACGCCACATCGAAAGCAATGCTGTAGACCCAATATTCCCATCCCGCAATATCACCTACATCATCAAATACACCCATACCGACCTGCAAAATGAAGAGATTCAGTACTAAAGCAGTGTCTCATGTGTAGATACTTAATACTAGGGGAAGGGGTTCACAAACCTTGTTTTCCCGACATGGTAACCTTGGGCCAATAGGCTCACTACATCCTTCAAAGAACACACCCTCTGATGACTAATCCTGGCAATGCACCTATCTTTAGATGATCTACCCAGTGAATACGATGATATATGCTGATGTCCCATTGCCAGAAAAAGATTTCCGAATGGCAAAGCCAACGAATTAAGGTTGGTAAACCCCAGAAGAACTGTGCTAAATTGGGTCTAGAGGGGAACTTTCATGTAAGTTTGTAGTTTCAAGATGCCCTGAGACTTTGAGATGTTTCATGGCCAAAAGGTATGGGGTATGGTCATCCAACCAGCATGAGGGATTCCAGAAATAGCGGGTACATTAACCCCTCTTGTTGTATGAACGCGGAGCGATTACCATCACCTTTGATGACAAAATATAATGTTTTGACCATAGTAAATTAGTACATATGATGCTCATCCTTTCTGATTGGTGGCTTCAACCCCCCTGAAAAATATGCTCGTCAATGGGGATCATCAGCAGAAATACACTTGACAATCATATATCGGTACTCTTAAAAGCCTTTTTTAAGCCACATACCAGATCAACTTCGGTATATACCCACATATACCCATTCTATCTTCCCCTGTTCAATGGTTAAATCTCTGCGAAATCCTGATTTAAAATCAAAGAATATGGGGATGGGTCAAAACCCTGGTACCCCTGGTGAACCTCAAAATAGCTGGTACATGGATGTTCATCACCCTAAAAATGTATCTTATAGGTATTGATCCATAGCCATATGATCCTGATCTCCAGCCCTCACGGATCCTCACGGATCCTGGCCTCAAGGCCCGCACAGATAACCTCCCCTCAGCATCCATCACGTGGCAGCGCAGCCACTCGCAGCCCGACAAGGCTCCCGAGTGAATGATCTCAAGAAGCCGGTCCTGGGTGGGATATCGATGGGATGTCAGCGGGATATATATATATATCCCTATATTATATTTGTAGAAATCAATAGGGATATATTATATATATAGTGAAATCAAGATATTAATGGTATATATATATATATGGGATATTGATGGTATATATCACCCAGAACAAGCGGGATGGGATATTCATGGGATGTCAATAGTAGGATATATAATGAGGATATAATTATGCTGAATTTGGATTGATAGTTGTAACATGTTGTAACCATTGGAATAGTCCCTTCCCCTGACTATTATACACCTCCCAGAAAAATCACATATTTGGACCATACAATGGGGATGTCGAATATTAGGGGGATGGGATAAAATTGGACAAAATGGGTTTAAAAAGAAGACATTCACTATGGGGATAAGATTCTTAAGAACTTAAGATGATGTTTTACTCAAGATGCGGAATTAACATGAAATTCAGCCACATATTATGGTTTCAAAGCTGGAAAAATGTTAAACGATAGCTTCCCTATGATTCCAACAGAACAAATGCTCTTAGTTGTCCAAAAATGGCTTCAATCTGAGGACGAAATATTGCTTTACCCGGGGATTCAGTACTTGAATGATTTCAATGAGGTAAATGGTGCTTGATTGATGACTCAAGTAGCAATAGCAGGGGTCACTACATAGCAACAACCGCACCACCGGTCAATTTATGGGTCAATGGAGTGTCTGGCTATGAGAATGCTTACCTTCTGGCAATCAAAGCTAGCAAATCCCCCTTTCATCGATGATTCACATTTCCCCAATCTAAATTGTGGGGAATTTCTCAGCTGGCCATGTTTGATTGATGATTTTCCCATTCAAAGCTCGTTTACTGCAGAGACCAAATTCCTGAAATGGAGGTACCCCCAGATCATCAATATTTTCGTAGGATTTTCCACAAGAAAAACCATCCAGCTATTGGGGTACCACCATGCCACCATGACTATGGAAAATCTCCATTTCCCGCAGCTTGCCACGTTGGATTTTACGAGGCAACCCTCGAAAACGCCCAGATTCGATGCTGGGTGTCGGCTCATTGTTCAGCTGCACAAGCCAACCCAAATTTCCTGAGCGTTCGAACAGCGAAAGAACGTGCTTCATGACTGGGGGGTTTCCCATAGTCATGGAAATAAACCCGCAAAAACGCTGGATGGTTTATAGTTTATAATGGAAAATCCATCTATAAATGGATGATTTGGGGGTACCTCCATTTTACGAAACCTCCATATGGGTTTGGCTTAATATGTAGGATATTCCCAATGTTCTTGCTCCATATATGATCTTCCCGTTTTAAAATGGCAATTTTTAGGTATTCCCCATGTTCAGACCCATCTGGGTGTGTCTCAAAATGGGGAATACCCCAAGCTAGTAATCTTTACAGCCAAAAAGGATGATCTGAGAGGCAGGCCCCTCAGTTCAGGCAGGCCCCCCATATGCGTTTTTCCCATCTGGGGATGCCAAATGCTGTTGAAACTCTGTGTGTGATCCAACACAATGGGACAAATTTCATCTATAGAACCACTCAAGTGGAAACTGTTCTGAGACACCCTGAAATGGTACTTGAAGGCTTATCCCAGTCAGTAACTGGTCTCAGCATGTTGCAGTGATAATAGTCATAGGCCTGGTTGCTAGCAGTCCAGTGAAATATCATGAAATATCATCGAATGACATTCACATATATTAGATGTACAACATTGTACAAGTATATACTTGGATTCTCACCCCATAATATATATATATATATATTATATACATAATATATTATATATATATTATATTATATTATATATATATTATATATATTATATATATATATATATTCAAGTATATATTATATTATATATATATATATATCATATACCATTATATACCCATCTTATTTTCAAGGATCCTCCTAATCCTCCCCGGTAGATCTCCCATTTCCGGAAAGCTTCGCATGGCGCGACTGTCGGCAAAGCTGAAGGTATCGGCCGGCGAACCTGGATAGATGTACCTGGGCCAGTGGGAATTGGATAGCCTCTGGTAATTTAACATAGCTATGGAAAATCACCATTTTCAATGGGAAAATCCACCATAAATGGCCATGTTCAATAGCTATGTTAAATTACCAGAGGGTAGCTATTGACCAGCCATCCCCTTACCCTCTGGTAAACGAACTAACATAGCTGTGGAAAATCACCATTTTAATAGCTAAATCATCCATTTTCATGGTCCATTTTTCAGAGCTATGTAAACGTTTATCAGAGGGTAAATGGAATTGACAAGCAACTCAATCATGGGATAATTATTTTTCGCGATCCCAGTTATCAACTGATAAATCTGATAATTCTAATGATAATGGCTAGTAGGAATACAGATAGGCCCTTGGCAACCAGGGCATTCAACCACTTTCAAATTGATCAATCCACACATTCAAAATGTGCTCAGTAGCCTTGCGCTGTCCCCCACATTTTTGCCAATGCTGCAAAGGCACCAAAAGTACAGCCCCTGGAGGCCATTGTGGTGAAGGAAATGAATCAGAAAAAAAAAGTGAAGGATTATATAATGATTACTGGTTGGTGGTTGAGCCACCCCTCTGAAAAATATGAGTCAATGGGAAGGATTATCCCATATATTATGGAAAATAAAAAATGTTCCAAACCACCAACCAGATTAGAATGTCTGAGAATTTCTGCAAACGTGCTGTCCAACCAAATAAATGAGCAGTCCCTCCTTCTTAGTGGTCACATAATCAGCAGGCTTCTCTTTCGAATCTTTGGAAATTCAGCCCAAGCGGGGAATATAAACACAGCCACTGCATCCACCATTTGCTATTTTGGCACATGTCCATGCAGGGCATGTGCCAAAATGCGATTTCTTCCGAAAGCATGTTCTTGGCGGGTTTTGCCCCACATAAACCCCAAAATGGGAAGGCCAAAACCATCCAAAACCATTGGTTCCCTGGAAAGACCACCAAAAATATCAAGCCATTATCCTCTGGTAAACGTTTGCAAAACTATAGAAAATCACAATTTTTAATGGGAAAATCCACTATAAATGGCCATTTTCAATAGCTATGTTAGTTTACCAGAGGGTACCAACAATGATGATATTAAGCCATGCTTCACCGTTGTTCACCATATGAACCACATTGAACCACCCACTGAAATCATCAACCCATTCTGAAATCAACCCATTATTATCAACACATTATCATCAAGACATGATTATCAACACATACAAGTCTGGTTGGTGGTTTCAACCCCTCTGAAAAATGATGGAGTTCGTCAGTTGGGATCATGACATTCCCAACTGAATGGAAAGTCATAAAATTCCATGGTTCCAGTCACCACCAACATTATTAATCCATAATTAAGTCACTCTTCTTTAGGTGAACCATTCCTGGATATGCCATGGATATGCCATGTTGGAGCTCCACCAGTGGCTTCCTCGCGCCTGCCCAGGTCGGGTGAAGGGCAAGGTGGGCCCCCCACGCTCCGCCACGGCTCGGGGGGTGGGACGCAGCACCACCCCGTTGAAGACCTGAACGGCTTAAGGGCCGGGGTGGGAGCTTGGAGCTCTTTGATATGGGTGTTGGGAACCTTGGAAACATTAAAGTCATGGTTTAATTGATGTTAGTTGTTTTTGGAAAGTTATTTTCGGATTATGATATGATTATATGTATGATGCATTAATTGTTGGAGGGCTATAGCTCAAGAAGAACTATATGCCTCATGAATACACATAATGCTCGCAATTTCATCAACAGGGGGGTGATTTGCCTGGAATTCAGATGGAAATCGAAATCGAGTTCCGATCTACCAGTTGTGAGGGAATGCATAAACTTGCATAAAACCTATGCCAGTTACAATCTGATCTATGCCCCTGGTTGGCATCTCTGCGATTGGGGTACCCCGGGTACCTAAATGATCTGTGGGATTTTGGGTGATGACTCCCGGACGTGGATGAGAAAATCGATGGATGGAATCCCGGAAGTATTCGATGGTAGACCACATTGACATTCCCGTTGACTATTCCTTGAACCAACAACATGATTTTGATTTAGTAGATGTTACAACTGCTTGATGCTGATTATAAGACTGTTGAATCTTGATTGAACCTATTTTTCAATATTGCTTAACTCTATCCAAACAACGATTTTGAGCCGTCGGAAACATTGACTTTGGCTCCCTTTGGCACAACCTTTGGCTCCCTGGACCAACCTGGACTCCAGGGCAAGTTGCTACAATGTGTTCCGTGCCATCTGAATGAAGAAGAGTGGGAGTCAGGTCCAGATCCATGGGTTGTCTGGATCTTTGCACGCGCCACCGCATGCTGCTGACACTCTCTTCCCCATCACAAGTGTGGCATTTCCGCATCTCTCTTTCGATTTCCTCGGCTGTTTTTGCATCAATTTGCCTTTTTCCCGTTAGGCCGGACCTTCAAAACAAACCAAAAATCTCAAGGACTTTGATGCAAAATAAGCACTACATAGCATCATAGCACTATTTTTTTTCAGATATCCTTTAGGAACTATCTGGATTTTCAGCCACGTGTCATTTTTCAGATATCCCAGTTCCATCCAGATTTCCCCAGTTCACGCGTTCGCATTTTTCGCATTTTCGGCCAAGCATCGTGTGGCTTTGTGACTGGCTTTCCATTGATGCTCAACACTAGATCACCTTCCAACAGGATACTATCGCATCCACCACCTGGCCAAGCATGGCCAAAAAATGATGTGGGTGTGTAACAATGCCATTTTTTCCATCCCCAGTCATCACGATTTGTTAAAAAGGTGGTATCCGCCGACCCCGGCTGCGCAAGGGGGAGCGCGAAAGGGAAAAGGATTTTCTGACACAGCATTGGTAGCAATTTTTTCTGTTCTATATCCGCCGACCCCAACTTCTAGTAGTACTACTACTACTACTACTACTACTACTACTACTATTACCACTACTACCACTACTACTACTACTACTACTACTACTACTACTACTACTACTACTACTACTACTACTACGCCAGTAGCAGCCAGCGGCCAGTAGCCAGCAGCACACCAAAAAATCTAGATTTTTCTAGGATTTCAGACGACACGTTAGGCACTTTTTTGGCGTGGTTCTGGCACTCGCTCGTCCTTCAGAGCCCTGGTGTTTTCCCCCCCGGGAGGTGATTTTTTCGAATCTGTTTTACTGCTAGCAGCCGCCAGCAACAGAATTTATCGAAAAATTGTGTTTACCACTACTACTACTACTACTAGACTACTACTACTACTACTACTACTACTACTACTACTACTACTACTACTACTAGCCAGTAGCAGCCAGCGCCAGTAGCCAGCAGCAGCGTACCAAAAAAAAAATCTAGATTTTTCTAGGATTTCAGACGACACGTTAGGCACTTTTTTGGCGTGGTTCTGGCACTCGCTCGTCCTTCAGAGCCCTGGTGTTTTCCCCCCCGGGAGGTGATTTTTTCGAACCTGTTTTACTGCTAGCAGCCGCCAGCAACAGAATCTATCGAAAAATTGTGTTTTTCTAGGGTGTCAGACGACACGTTAGGCACTTCTATATATCTTGTATATATTTCTATAAGGTTTCAAACGTGACGTTTGGCAGTTTTCTCGTTTATATAGCACCAATGGGTGTCAAGAACATGGGCAAGAGCACGCAAAAGGTGCACATAGCCAGTAGCTAGCAGCCAGCGCCAGTAGCAGCCAACAGCCAGTAGCCAGCAGCCTACCAAAAATCTAGCTTTTTCTAGGATTTCAGACAAGTTTAGGAGCAGGAGCCGCAGCAGCAGCAGGAGGAAAAAGTAGCCAAAATCATCATGTTCTATGGGTTTCAGAAGTTACGTTAGGCATTTTCGGGGTGCAATTTTGGGGCTTATGGGCAAGAGCACGCAAAAGGGCAGCAGCAGCAGCAGCAGCAGCAGAAGCAGCAGCAGCAGCAGTTGTTTCTTGCTTTGGAAGCTGTTTGATTGCAGCAGCACGACAGCAGCACCACAGCAGCAGCAGCCACCAGCAGCAGCACCAGCAGGAGGCAGCAGGCCGCCGCAGGCAGCAGCAGGCAGCAGCAGGCAGCATCAGTAGGCAGCAGCAGACACAAGCAGACGCAGCAGCAGTAAGCGCAACGGCAGCAGTGCAGCAGCTAGCAGCACGAAAAATTGTGTTTTTCTAGGATGGCAATGGGTGTCAAGAACGTGGGCAAGAGCACGCAAAAGGTGCACATAGCCAGTAGCTAGCAGCCAGCGCCAGTAGCAGCCAGCAGCCAGTAGCCAGCAGCCTACCAAAAATCTAGATTTTTCTAGGATTTCAGACGACACGTTAGGCACTTTTTTGGCGTGGTTCTGGCACTCGCTCGTCCTTCAGAGCCCTGGTGTTTTCCCCCGGCAAGTGATTTTTTCGAACCTGTTTTACTGCTAGCAGCCGCCAGCAACAGAATCTATCGAAAAATTGTGTTTTTCCAAGCAGACGCAGCAGCAGTAAGCGCAACGGCAGCAGTGCAGCAGCTAGCAGCACGAAAAATTGTGTTTTTCTAGGATGGCACCAATGGGTGTCAAGAACGTGGGCAAGAGCACGCAAAAGGTGCACATAGCCAGTAGCTAGCAGCCAGCGCCAGTAGCAGCCAGCAGCCAGTAGCCAGCAGCCTACCAAAAATCTAGATTTTTCTAGGATTTCAGACGACACGTTAGGCACTTTTTTGGCGTGGTTCTGGCACTTGCTCGTCCTTCAGAGCCCTGGTGTTTTCCCCCCCGGCAGGTAGCCAGTAGCCAGCAGCACACCAAAAAATCTAGATTTTTCTAGGATTTCAGACGACACGTTAGGCACTTTTTTGGCGTGGTTCTGGCACTCGCTCGTCCTTCAGAGCCCTGGTGTTTTCCCCCCCGGGAGGTGATTTTTTCGAACCTGTTTTACTGCTAGCAGCCGCCAGCAACAGAATTTATCGAAAAATTGTGTTTTTCTAGGGTGTCAGACGACACGTTAGGCAAGAGCACGCAAAAGGTGCACATAGCCAGTAGCTATAGCAGCCAGCGCCAGTAGCAGCCAGCGGCCAGTAGCCAGCAGCGTACCAAAAAATCTAAATCTATAAATTTTTCTAGGATTTCAGACGACACGTTAGGGACTTTTTTGGCGTGGTTCTGGCACTCGCTCGTCCTTCAGAGCCCTGGTGTTTTCCCCCCCCGGGAGGTGATTTTTTCGAACCTGTTTTACTGCTAGCAGCCGCCAGCAACAGAATCTATCGAAAAATTGTGTTTTTCTAGGGTGTCAGACGACACGTTAGGCACTTCTATATATCTTGTATATATTTCTATAGGGTTTCAAACGTGACGTTTGGCAGTTTTCTCGTTTGGTGGTTAAGTACATCCTCCAACCATCATCGACTTGAGATGTCACATCTCAAACAGTGGTGGAAAAGGAAAACCGAAAAGCTCCCATCATGATCATCATGCTTAGCTTCGCAATGTCTTGCCAAGCCATTCTTGGGCTGCGGCATTGGTACTTCTTGCATCTTCTTGTGTTGTTGCTGCAATGTTGGTCAGCAACTAGCAAAGAAGAATCTGTTTTCAAGCTAGGTGTTGCATCTTAACTGCCCAGAATCACGTATGGTGGATCAGCTACATTTGGCTACTTGTTGAACCAGCAAAATCCCTATACCAAGGGCCCAGCTTCTTCAAAAATTGCACCCCGGAATCTACGACTCGCAGGGTGCAATTGATATATTTCTTAGGTTGGTACCAAGATTTCCCTGCTTCAACAAGTAACCAAATGTAGCTAATCCACCATACTTGCTTCCGGGGTCGGCGGCAGGGGCGGCAGCCCTTAAAAATAAAATGGTATATGGCATTGTTTTACATTGTGACAAACCATGTTTTACCCACAAAAAATGGGTTTTACAATGGTTTTACTGAAGCAGGCATGTTTTTAACATCTCAGAGCCTTGGATCCACCATGGTTTATCAGCTTTTATAGTATCTGATCGTCTCAATTCAGGGGACCAATTATTGACTCAGATAATTGGGGTCTTTGTCACGATACTCAGGAGCTGAAAATTGACTCTAGACTCTAGACATCTCTAGACTCACTAAATCCGATAATCCGATGTCTTTTTGTCTGGCTTTGAAGAAGAATCCTAAGGAAACCCATCAATTTTCGATAGAACACACCCTGGTCCTCCAAAAGAAAATGCCTGAAGGTTTCAAGTTTCAATTGCATGAAAAATAATGGTTTGAAGGGGTCATACGCCTGAGTTTCTGGATTGGAAGAAACTCGCGGTTTGGTAAGATCCTAGTGTAGTCCGCCCACCATTACTTCTTAAAAAACGTCCATGTCGTTGTTTCCTGCTCTCAGAATCTCCTCATATCCAATCCCCATCCAATTTTAGTCAGCTATATCAACTATCAACTATAAGTGGTTGGTGGTTTTTCGCCACCCCTCTGAAAAATGATGGACTTCGTCAGTTGGGATGATGACATTCCCAACTGATCCCAACTGAATGGAAAGTCATAAAATTCCATGGTTCCAAACCACAAACCAGATAATGAATGATAATGACATATCACATAATCCAACAAAAAAAAATGGTGGGTCAATCCCTTTAAAACCCTTTAAAATTCCTCTTTTATCCATCCATCCCCCCACCCGAACCAAGGCGCGCCTGACATGATCCGTCCGACCCTCAGAATCTGTCGCCGTCCGCCAGAGCTGCAGGCAGCCAAGGCCCGGGCATTCTCCAGCGGCACGCCGTCTTCGCGTCGGGCTTTGGCCAACGACACCTATGACCGTGGCGGCACAGTGGCATTGGGCAAACATGGGAAGAGATGGAAAGATTGGGAGAAAACAAGGGAGAAACGTGTTTTTTTCATGGCTGTGTGCTTCATGATGCTTCACAACTTTTTTGAATGGGATAATTAGAATAGAATGGGTGTTTGTAGTATAGTGATGTATAGTGCATATTATGCATATCAAGATTCAGTTGACAAGAAAATGCTGCTGATCACCCAGCACCTCCTCGAATTCACACTCCAAAGCTGCCACCGCCAGAGCTGGGTCCTAAAGTGTAAGTGCCATCTGGGTGATGTCAAACGTTTCCAGCATGTTGAGCAACTTGGACGAACATATCTTGGGCAACTTGGACGAACAAAAATAGAGTAGCCTCTCTGGAAATCAAAATTTCACCATCAAGAAACACAGAAAATTGATGATCTACAGGAATCTACCGCAAAAAAAAGGGTGATTTTCCATCGCCACTTGGCAGTGTGTCAAAACCAATAGTACCCCTGTAGTTCACATCAAAATAGCTGGGATTTATGGATGTGAATAACCCACCAAAAATGGTATCTATAGGTATTGACCCATCGCCACTTGTGACATTTGTCACCCTGAGGTGATGGCCAGTGGTCTCGCCACTCGCTCGGCCCACTTGGATTCGAGTCCCAGCGAGGAGAGGACCGCGGCAAAGACCTGGAGTCTCGTGGCCAAAATGGTCATTTTCGACGTGGAAAAACAAGGGGAATGTTTTGAAAAAAGGAAAAACTTATAGTTTTTTCATATTTTCTATATGGAAATGTGATGAAATGTGATGAACTATAATATTGAAATATGCGAACATATGAGAAGGAATTCGGAAAAAAAGATAGGCTTTGACATGGTTTGACTTGGTGCTTGACCGTTTTACCAACCCAAAATCTATGGGGAAAATTGTTTTCTACTTGTTCCGCGATTCTGGGTGTTAGAGGTTCTGGGAAGATCATGAAGTTTTAGAAGTCTTGGACAAAGAACAGGTTTCGGTAGGAAATTCATGTTCCAAAGCGGATTTCGGACAGTTTTTTTGCTTGGGACCTGCTTGTCCCTGCAGACTTGAAGTGAAAGGACGTCATGTTGTTTTTGGTCATCCCGCCATGCAAAAAATGGAAAGGAAATTTTTGTTTGATCACAAACAAACAGTTCATATGTGACACAAACAACCCCGTGTTGTCACATTTAAATACATTTAAGGTATCTGATATCAACATATGTTAACATTTGACTCAAGACATTTAAGACACCTACTATACAATATAATATTTAATATTGGATGTAGAATTAACATAATTCAACAACTACTTCTGGGTCGCAACATGTCGCAACCAAATGATGCACAGATTGATAACATGCCCAAGCTGCCTGCACAGGCACTCCAGCCAAATAGCGAAGACTGCCTATCCAGGTCACACAGGATGATTGTGACCCATTGTTTGGGGCTACTCGGCTACTTTTCCGACCCAAATTAGATTGAGCAACCAAAACTGGTTGGTGGTTGAGCCCTACCCGTCTGAAAAATCATGGAGTTCGTCAGTTGGGATGATGACATTCCCAACTGAATCGAAAGTCATAAAATTCCATGGTTCCAAACCACCAACCAGAAAACCAATACTACTTGTATCCAATTTTGGATATGTCAGGCTCAACCCAGCGCGACTGGGTCATATTTCAAACTCCTGCCTGCTGGAAACTGCGCAAACCACGCTCGAATGCGGTAAGACCTTTGGTTTTGTTCAGGTCCCGGTATCAACCACTGCATGGAGGGGGGTGGAGCTCAAAGGAAGGGCCCTGGACAGGCCCATACCGTTGAGAAGGAACGAGAACCTGCATCCAATCCTTTGATTACAGTCATACTTCCAACCTTTGAGGACCTACAGGTGCCTTTCAGGTGATGTCGATGGTTCTAAAATTAGGGCCACATCTCAGCATCAACTGGCCATGGCCGGCTAAGTTTCGGGCGGCGCCGGCTCAATCAACAGTCCACCGAGACCATGCAAGGTGTCGTTCAAGTTGCAGATTTCCAAGTTCCGGCCACGGTAAGCCTCGGCGTTTTTTGCGGCTGAAGCGGCGAGCCGCGGCTTCAACCCGGTTAGCATTGCGTTCATCACTACCCTATGTTAAATTAACATAGACCCTGGCAAATAGGGGTTGGAAGATTAGTTTCAACCAACAAATGGTGATTTTCAGGGTCTATGTTAATTTACCAGAGGGTAAGATATACTAAAATCACTGAGGGGGAACATCCACGCTTGCTCTGCTGAATCACCAAGGGGAACATCACTAGCCAATCAAAAATCCCAACAGAGAGGGGAACCAACCAACCAAAAATCCATGTTGGGGTATCACCAACAGAAACATCACTAAAGATGCTTTGGCTTCAGAATCCCCAAAAAAACCCAACAGATCGCTGACCACCAAGTCACAGGAGGCTGCGGAAAGGGCCAAACTTTCAGGCACATACTTCCCACGGTCACCTTTCAGAGTCGTTCGCTGAAGGATCAGCTGTAGGTTCTTAGGATTCCACCGAAATAAAACCTCATTGATGATGTTGTATAAGCCAAGAAAAGATAGTAAAAGCATAGGATGTGACTGTTCTATCTGTTTTAAGGGGTTACTATATGTTAGCTCCACGTATTTACATATTATATATATAGTGTCATATTATATATATCATACACATATATATATATATATATCATACATATATATATATTATATATATCAATATTATATATATATATATATCATACATATATATATATCATACATATATATATCATACATATATATATATATATCATACATATATATATATATCATATATATATATATCCTTTGTGTTCATTGCTTCGAACTGCCAAGCCTTCATTTGTGAACTCACAAATCAGCTGTGTGAAAACATCTCCACATTCGTTTGTCTGAACAAAAAGAGTACCGGGATGTATGGGGTACCCTATTCCACCTCATGGTTGTAAAACCTCAGTTTCCCCATGAAAATAGCTACAAAGCTGCTACAAATCTCATGGAAAATCGTTGTAAATCCCAGCATTTTTGAGAAAAAATGGCCTGCTTGGCGCTGAGTTGGTGGTCGGAGTGAATGGACACGAAGGACAGCACTTGGCCTCGCTGAAGAGCCCAGCCCAAATGCTGCGGATGGGGCGAAGTGTTCACATTTTTGGGGACAAAGCCATCTCATATGTTTAGTTCATGTTTATTTCTATCATTACAGTTATTCGATATCCCGGAGATCCCATATCATTTCCCCATATATAGAGAATTTCTAGGGATATATATATATATATATACATATATCCCTGTTTTCGTTGCTGAAATCCACCACTTTCTGTCCATGAATCCTGCCTGCCGATAACTCCTCAGTCTTGGGACTCACATCACCCAAATCGATGGCTCTCACCGGCAAGTCTGGCGCGCGAAAGCCATGGGGGGATTGGATTCATCATGAATATCACCAGTTGAAATCTCAAGAATTCAGATAAATGAGTTTACAATATATAGTTTATAGCTTTATATAAATTTATATCAATTTATAATAAATCCCTGGATTCCTAGATAAATATAGATAAATGAGTTATAAATCCCTAGATTCCTAAATGTTGATGCTTCAGTTCCTATGGTTTTGGGATGATTTAAGGCACCCTGGGTCGCAGCAAAAAGCAGCATGCTGTTGACCCATGGGATGTTCATCCTGGTGGATGTTGGGGTATGGCAACTGGCAACTGGCAACTGCTGGGGGAGAACTGGTGTCCATGCTCAGTGGCTTCATCACCCCATGTGACTGTGTACAGGCAACCTCACATATCACGGGAAAGGTTCCCACTGACTTTGTGACGACAATGTGTCAAAACTGCTACAGGATTCCTGAAACATTCTCTCCATCGAACAGCTGTTCGTGTTGCTTCATCACTATTTACTATTTAACTTATTTAATCATCATTTCAAAAGTGGAGTTGAGTTGAACCCGAACAAAAAAAAATGCATCTTGTGCCTTTGTGATCTTTGTGGCACCCCCGGTGCTACAAGCGCACCTTTCACTGCAAGCGGGTCGTAATGCAACAGGACCTCGGTGCAGGTCACGAGGGATTTCCCATCTGCCAGGAACTCAGATGGTAAATTTGCCATGGGAAATAGATGATCTTCCCAGCTATAAACCTCCATTTATAAGGGATTTTCCATGGCTATGTTCAATAACCAGATGGTATATTCAGTATCATTCACTGGTTGGTGGTTGACCCACCCCTCTGAAAAATATGAGTCAGTTGGGATTGTTATTCCCGATAGATGGAAAAATAAAATTCATGTTCCAAACCACCAGCCAGTTAGGAAAGTTTCCAGGAAATTAGGAAATTTGCCAGGAGATTAGGGAATTTGCCAGGACATATACCATCATATCACCATAAAATTAGGGATTCCATGATAAATTTGCCAGGTCATATGGTTAAAAAAAGCCAGGTCACCAGTCACTCGTCAAGTTCCAATAAATTCCACTGAACATTGACCCAACATGATCCAACGTGACCCAGTATCATCGGCGCGGCCGTGCGCTGCAGTTCTTATCTTTGCAAAATGTGGGTGTCAAAAAACATCAAACGTGTCCAATCAAAGGGTCCAAACAAGCTCGAAACATCAACAATTAACAAAATTAACAACAAACACTGCCTTGTTCATCCTTTTTTTATCAACTTAGCAGTTCAAGCCTTCCTGCCCTTGGGTATAGACAAAAGTTGGGTACCCAAAAAGTTGGATGGTTGACTTCCGGGCACCGAGTGCCAGATCGCCAGGGTGCCATGTTGTGATGTGGGTGCATGAACAAGCAGGTGGCATTCACCGTGACCGTTTGACCAAAGGTCAGCTCCACTTCAACCAGAGGTTGTGGAACCTTGGAGCCAACCAGAGTCAGTGACAGTCACAGGAACATGGATGGGAGATTATGGGCAACTGGGTATCTCATCTATCAACATGGGTATGACCCACCTAGCAACATGGGCAGTCTATACAACTAAGTTGTGACTTGGGGGATCACTGACATCCTGTGAAATTTAGAGCAAGCACTTCTGAACCCCAGCTTCAAGTTCTTGGAACGGCTTTTGCAGTTCTTCCCAGAGCTGGTCCGCCGAGGAACGGTATAACGATCTGTCAGCACCAAGCCACTCACGGAATCGATCACTAGACCAACACCAAAGCGTCTGATCACAGTGGACTTATTTTCCTGAGAGCCAGCATTTCTGGTGCGAAAAAAAGAGCCCTGGGGCCCGAAAATCAAGGCCTAAAAGGTTCACCACCTACAGAGGTTGTGTCCCAAGTGGATCCAAAAGCCATCCCCAGAATACGAGATACCAGCACCACATCTCAAGAAAACCAATGAACAACGATCTATGAAAGTTACCAGGAAAAAGGTCAAAGTACTCACCCTACCCCAAATCTATGGGTCAGTGGAGTGTCTATAGATATTATACATATATAATCATATATACATTATTATCCTTTCGAACCACTATGAACCAGACCATACCATACCCCATAAACTCTGATGATAGCGTAGCGTCTTCCTTGCTTTGCAGGAAATCGGTGGCATATTCATGTGAGACTTGCGTCACGATGGTGCACAGCATGGGTTGGACCATCGAGATGGCGGCCTTGAAGGCAAGGATCGATGGCAAGGGTCATGGGGATATGGCCATATGGTAAAAGACATGGTAAATGGATGATGTTGAATGGGAAATGACCAATAATGGTAAAATGAAGAATAATGGATCAACACATTCATGGATGATGATGTTGGCGATCTGTTCCATTTACGAAGCATATTCATGGTAAATGACCAATCAATGACTCCCAAATGGCCAACTATGCGGGAGAAAGAGGTGACTGACGTTACAACAGATTCAGCCACCAGACAGAGGACAGAGGAAGCCACCATTCGAAAGAAGAACGCAGTTTTTCAGCAGTCTTTACTGGTTGCTGGTTGAGCCCTACCTCTCTGAAAAATCATGGAGTGAAAGTCAGCTGGGATGATGACATTCCATTCCATTCCATTCCCAACTGAATGGAAAGTCATCAAAAATTCCATGAAAATCCCAATGGTTCCAGTCACCACCAATCAGATCAATCAGTTTATGCCGAGCAACATCCGAATTCTCAGGATAACCAAAAGAGTCTTCTTCTCCTGAGCCAGTGAATCATAGGGAGTCTCTGCGAAGCCCAAATGAGCTCCCAAGTGCCGTTGGACGCTAAAAATGAAGCCCAAATTGCTGGTGGTTGGTGAAGGATGAGTTTCGAAGGTTTATTCACCTTTACAAGCCCAATGGTTTGCACAATGATTGGATGAGTTCCATTCTATTCCATTCTCGGAGTGAACAGTGCTTCCAGCCATTTCCAGCCTCCTTCGATTACAAACTGCAAGGCCAAGACACTCAAAGCTGCGGGCACGGTGTCAGAATCCTGTTCTGCCTGAGTTTCTGCAACGACGAAAAGGTAGCATTACCTTACCACTCTGCTTGTTGCAGCAAAAACATGACTCACCTTTGGGGGGCTGATATGTCCAAACCCTTGAGATGTGCCCAAGTTGATGGGTCAGCCAAGAAGCATTGCTTCAAAACATATAATTATATAGTGTTCAGGCACTATTGAAGTCTCAAAAACATCTTCCTAGACCCTCCAAGTACCCGTAAAAATGATGGTTTTACTGTTTTACCCAGGATTTCAGTACTGTTTCACATGTTTGGCTATTTTTTTGGAGGGTCTAGGTAGGTATTTTCATCACTATAGAAACCACTAACCCATCCAGGCCTCCAACCGAGCCAAACCCGTCGCCGAGCCACAGAGGCGCGACTGCGTGAATCGGAGACGGGACTACATTCCACGGGCTCAGGAGCACTGGCTGTCCTCAGCCACTCAGCCACCATGGAGTTGTTTGCATGAAATATGCATAATCATAGATATCAATAAACATCATTTTCAATAATTAAAGATATACCAAAAAAAATTAGAGATTGATACAAATTACTGAAGGAAAAAAATATGGAAATCTACTAGAAACATTCTAAAAACCATTGTTTTTACACCCAAACAATAGGATCACTTCGATCGTTTCAAAAAATGTCATTCCGCTGGGCGCAGAACCCCCATGCTCGTTCAGTGTGATAGCAATGAACATCCACATTGAACGAGGTCTACCCCGATACCAACTTCATGCCCAGGTTCCATCTCCATGTTTGCAGCTTCAATCAGCATAGTTTGTTGGCTGCAATCCCAAATTTACAGCTCAGAATTCATCCAAACATCTGATTTTAGAGATCTTCTCTTGGCCGATATTTCCGTGTCTATCATCCATGGTCATACCTTTGCTACAAACCGTCATGTTCTCCAGGAATATTGCCAGAGTTGGGGGTCAATCTATGTGAATCCCCCTTTCTCCCCCTTTCTCAGACACCACAACGCCCGTGTTGCGCCCTAAACGGAAAATGCCAGGAGCTTCGCCATCTCCTTCATCCCTTCATCGACCCAAGACCTGCCAAAAATCCACAAAAAAAAGGCGAAAAAATGGATGTTGAAGGGATCAAACATGTGAACCCGATGCTTGTCCGGTGGATGTACCAAACATGTTGCAAAAAAAGGCCAAAAAGGGACGACGAATTCTGGGGATGTCTCAGATGATCGTCGCAAGGGGAAGCATCATGATTCATCATGGCAGAAGTGCGTGTTTTCAAAACATACCCCACAAAAAATGGCTTAAATCAGCTACTAGATTCCATCTGAATCCCCAACTGATGGAGATCATCTGCAGCTGGTCCATGCTAAAAAAAATTTGACCCGTTCACCAATTATGGACTCTTCAAGCTGCCAAAGAAAAGTGCTACATGTGAAAAAAAAAACAGTCAAAAACGCTATCTCCTATAAATCACCATTTTTATGGGTGCTACCAAACCATCCCCAGTTCTGTTATTTATTGCATTGTTCTCCAGGTTGTCAGCTCCCGCGACCTTCTCTTCCAGGTGTTGGGCCGTTTGGGACAAAAGTCCCAGACACGCGCGGGCCACAGGGTCCGTTCCATCCCTTGGAAGATCATCAAGGTGTCCATGGGAAGATGATGAAAAAATCAGCATGTTACCAACATGTGGGGGTTTCCATAGTCATGGGGACACCGGGATACCCCAAAATGGTTGATTAGAATAATGGAACATCCATAAATGGATGATAGCTAGGGGTATCCCTATTTTAGGAAACCCCAATATCTGGAACATATCCCATAATGTGGAGATGAAATGTGGCTATTATATGATATCATGATACATATATATATATATATATGGATCATAGACATCTGGAGTTGAGGTTGATTGAAACATGTGGCAACCCATCTCTTAACATGTGTGGTGAAGTGCCAAGGTACTGCCATGCATGTTCTGTTGTATACCAAGCCAAAATAGGTAAAATTATATAAGTTTAACTTGGGAGATACTAACTAAAAATCATCTTGAATATCCTGGAATTGTTTTCCTATGCATTTCGGGCGTTCCTGTGATTTCTTGCCTTTGCCCGGTCCCTTTCTTTCTCATCAACAAGTGGCGAATCATGGAGCACTTCTGCCGATGCTCATTGGCAGAAGGATTGAACCACCGGACCTCAAACATCTCCTGAGACGACGGTGCTGAAGGAATGACTCGTCGATGAGAAGGACCAAGCAGAAAATGACAGCAAGAGTCGGAATGGATACAAGCATCAGAGATAATGATATCATCATGTTATGCTTGTTAAGAAAAAACAAAGTTTTTATCCAAAGAGGAATGGGGATATCTCCGAACATGGGCAGTGTGGCTTGGACCTGCGCTGTAGCCAGTCCAGCACCCTGAAATCAAATGATGGTCATGAAGAAATATTGGAAACAATAGTGAAACAACCAATCCCAATAGAATGTTTGACCAACTCATGGTAAGGTTGCCTGTGTTGCTTCAAATTCTTGAATTTTATACTGTATTATATACAATCTGTGAAAAGGTTGGGTTCATGATTTTGTGGTGCCTGCCACGTTCCAGATCTATCATGACATTGTCTGTTAACTTACATTTCTTCTGTAAACATCCCTTTGATCAAACACCATTTCAAGTAAAGTTTCAAATGGGAAAATAAAGTTTGAATCCATCTGGGTAAATTATAATATTTCCCTAACCTGAATTAAGGCCCATTTGGGGATGATTCCCCTTATTAATCATGAATCTATATATGTTTCAGTGATAAAAATTCTCCGTTTCTGTTGGGACCAAGTTCATCCCGATGTGTTGATTCTCCATGTGTTAAAAAAAAAAACTCCCAACCACAATTTTTGACCACGACAATACAGAGAACATACTAGTGAAATTCCCATGTTTACTAGTGAAAATCCAGTCTAAATCACCAATTTTTCCAGCTTCAACCCCTCCAAAACCAGTGAAATCAGTGAAATCCACCACTTTTTACCAGCGAAAAACCCTCCATTTTCACCGCCTCCCCTGTTTTTTTCGCCCTTTTCACCGGCCTTGTTGGGGACGCCGGCCAGGGCTTGTTCGAAGTCCGTCAGACTCGTGACCTTCTTCTGCGCCACCGAGGTGATAACCGCAGAGACGGGGATCTGGAGACCAAAACTAAAGCCGGACTGGGACACGTAGATGCCACCTACACGGGCTGACGGTGGAAGGATGGTGGCTGATGGTTGCTGATGTCAATGGATTGGTTTAAGGGAAAAATTACAGGAAAACACCATATTTGATGGGAAAATCCATGGTTTTCCTGTAGATTTTCCCTTAAACCAATCCATTGATGATGGTTGCTGATGGCAAATCATATGATGATGATATTATTATGAGAAATGATGGACCATAATATTAGTGATCTAATGGATATTATCAACCATCATATTATCTCAATCATCAAATAATGCTGATGCCTGGCATAAAATGAGAAATGATGGTTGATATTGGTTGATCCATGAAGTCCATGGTGAAAAATGATGGTTATGATGGACTATAACCAACAATAACGGATCATCCATTACAACCAATAATACTTGGGAACATTGATGGTGGCTGATGGTTGCTGATGGTTGCGAGTTCGTCAGATTGGATCATCATCCCAACGATTTGGGAAAATAAAATTCATGTTCCAAACCACCAAGCGGTTATATTATTACAACCAAGAATTTAGTTGGAACCAATAATCGTTCATAATGCCTACGGTCTGACAGACGTTGGAGTCCGTTGGAGCTGTCTGAGAGCCGACAGACGATGGCTGAAAATGCGCATAGTTCGTTGATCATGGTGAAATATTGAGATGGTTCAGACGAATGACAATATTGTAAAGATACAGCTAAGAGTAGTTAATGATAGGTAAAAGTGTTGTCATAATAGTTATATAATAATGGTGAATAATATAGTTGATGAGGTCTTGATGAATGGTTTGTTAGTGGTTTTTCTAATGGAAGAGATGGTCAGGGGTTTTCAACATGGAGATGTGCTGATCAAGGTTGATGTTTTATCGTCTAACAGGGTCGAAATTGGATGATTAGTGGGTTGATTAGTGGCTCAGAATGATTGATCATGTTGGATGATGGCTAAGAATAAAGATTATTAAACTGTAGTTGGCTGATATCTGGTCCGGTCAATGATAGCTAAGAATATACCTTTATTTAATAACCTTAGCTATATATCTGACTGGTTAGAGGTTCATGATGATAGAACAAGACTTGGATAATGATTGGTAGTAATATTTGATGATGCGTCATAATGGCTCATTAATGCCACCTAAGTACATAGGATAGGTCCAAGATTGTTAATATAGTGATTAATGATGATTAATGACAGGTTATAGTCAAATTTAGTTGGCTGATATCTGTTCTGGTAAAAAAGAAAATGTCATTGAGCGTTTGATAATTGGTAATATTTTTGGTTATTAGAGGGATGTTTGATACTGGTTAATGATGGTTCAAGGATATTCTGTATATATATAATGTATATATCATATCTGTAGTAGTGGTTGAAAATGATTGATCATGGTTAATGCAGGTTTCTTATGACTGATAATGATTGACAGTGGTTAATAAAGGTGAAGTATGATTGACAAGTGTAATAAAGGTCAATTATGATTCAGAATGGTTCATAATGGCTAACAAGATGCATCAATGGGTACTAATAATGCTGGAGAGTGATGTTAATCAGTCAACGGATAGTGGTGTTATGTGGTCTGTAAGTGGGTCAATGTTGGACAGTGAATTGAATAATTAGTGGAGCTCACAATCATGGGGGCAACCAACCAATGAATAATCAATAATGCTGGAAAGTGGTGTTTCAAAACCTGTAACTGTTTGTTCTCAATCGAAAAATCCACGAATGCGGCAAAATCCCAAACCGTTGAGATACCACCTGATCTGATTTATTGAAGGGGTGTGAAATAGTTTTAGGATTTTTTTTTTGAACAGGTTTGGGAATTTTTTTTGGATTTCTTGGCTGGTACCATTTGCCTAGTGTTTGCAACGGTTTGGAACTTGAATTTGTCATTTTGCATGGTATTTGCCACATTTGGGCATGTTCACCTTCCATTTTGCATGGGATTTACTACATGTGGGCATGTTAACCTTCCATTTTGTATGGTATTTGCCACATTTTGGCATGTTCACCTTCCATTTTGCATGGGATTTCCTACATGTGGGCATGTTCACCTTCCATTTTGTATGGTATTTGCCACATTTTGGCATGTTCACCTTCCATTTTGCATGGGATGTTCTACATGTGAGCATGTTCACCCAAATATTTACAGATGCGGAAGCTTGGGATTAGATAAAAAGCGGGTGGGGGGGATTGAGGGAGGGCGCTAGCTATCTATCCAGCTAGCTAGCTATCTAGCTATCTAGCTAGCTATCTATCTAGCAAGCTAGCTATCTATCTAGCAAGCTATCTATCTATCTAGCTATCTATCTACCTATCTAGCTAGCTATCTTGCTAGCTATCTATCTACCTATCTAGCTATCTAGCTAACTATCTATCTAGCTATCTAGCTATCTAGCTTTTCTATCTATCTAGCTATCTATCTATCTAGCCATCCAGCTGTCTATCCAGCTATCTAGCTATCGAGCTAGCTATCTATCTAGCAAGCTAGCTATCTATCTAGCAAGCTATCTATCTATCTATCTATCTAGCTAGCTATCTACCTATCTAGCTAGCTATCTTGCTAGCTATCTATCTACCTATCTAGCTATCTAGCTAACTATCTATCTAGCTATCTAGCTATCTAGCTTTCTATCTATCGATCTATCTATCTAGCTATCTATCTAGCTACCTCTTTATCTATCTAGCTAGCTATCTATCTATCTAGCTATCTATCTAGCCATCTATCTATCTAGCTATCTATCTAGCCATCTATCTATCGAGGTATCTAGCTATCTATCTCTCTAGCTATCTATCTATCTAGCTGGCTATCTATCTACTAGCTATCTATCTACCAAGCTATCTATCTATCTATCTATCTATCTATCTATCTATCTATCACATGTAATCCTGTCAGCTTTCCAGAGAAGGTTAGTTCGCAAAAACCAACTAATGTAACTTGGGTTTAAGTTTAAATTAAAAAAAGCGGGAGGGGGGGATTGGGGGGAGGGCGCAGCGCCTCCCCCCAAAGCAGAATGCAAGCACCTCTTCTCACATGTTACGTTGCTAGTTTTCAAGAGAAGGTTGGTCATGTGATACTCAGGGATGTAAATACTGTGCAAAATGCATCTTACATGAAAATCAAGTATTTAAAGCAGGCAAAGCAAAAAAAAAGCAGAGAAGCAAAAAAGCAGAGAAGCAAAGAAACAGGAAACGCACAAAAGCAAAACAGCAGAAAGGCAAAGAAGCAGGAAAAGCAGAAAAGCAGAGAAGCAGGAGAAGCAGGAAAAGCAGAGAAGCAAAGAAACAGGAAAAGCAGAGAAGCAAAGAAACAGGAAAAACAGAAAAGCAAAAAAGCAGAAAAGCAGAGAAGCAGAGAAGCAGGAGAAGCAGAAAAGCAAAAAAACAGAAAAGGCGAGAAGCAGGAGAAGCAGAAAAACAAAAAAGCAGAAAAGCAGAGAAGCAGGAAAAGCAGGAAAAGCAGGAAAAGCAGGAAAAGCAGGAAAAGCAGGAAAGCAGAGAAGCAGGAAAAGCAGGAAAAGCAGAGAAGCAGGAATCCAAAAATAATTCCTAAACCTGATCAAAAAAAAAATCCTAAAATAATTAGCCCTCCTTATTGAAGCCCCAAACATGCGAAGAGTCTTCATCCAAAATGGAGATGTTTCGGCTCTCAAAATGGGGATTTCACTGATGGGAAGCAACATGAAGCGGCACAAGGATCGAATTTGGGGTACTTGGGGACTCACAGAATTGATGAACACGGATCATTTTTTGAACGAACCATCCAGTTCTGGTCAGAAACCAAAACTGGTTGGTGGTTTTTCGCCACCCCTCCGAAAAATATGAGTCAGTTGGGATGATGACATTCCCAACTGAATGGAAAGTCATAAAATTCATGTTCCAAAGCACCAAGCAGAAAATGTGGGTTTTTCACAAATCAACCTGGCAGACCTGGCACTTCAACACACCCAGTGCCATTCCGCCATTCAAAGTTACTTAAACTATTTGGGGAAAAGCGCCTTTCAAGCCATTCTTGACAGTTCAGTCACACAACAATGCAAGGGAATTGAAGTCATCGACCTACGGTCAAACTAATGCTTGAGCTTGAAGGTGGTTTGGCCACAAGTTTCAGTTGATTTCCAACTACCACAGAAAAAACAACATCAAATATGGACCATCATGATCAAACATGGGACTTCTTAAAATGTCTCCGTAAACAATTGATTATAGTTTCATATAGTTTCCCTCTTCAGAACAGAGAACTCGAACTCACAGACGACTTGACCATTTGACCCGAAAAAACTCTTGCCACCGTCCAGCCAGGGTTTGTTTCACCGAGCAACGGTCCAGGATCGGAATGTTATACGTTTTGCAGGTATGGTATGACAAGACGTGGAAGACGCCGCCGCCACATTCCACAAAGTCGTGAGAGATCCTGAGGCATCGCTGGTCGGAGAAAGATGGAGAAAGATCAAGGTCTACTAGAGTCTACAGGGGAACCACAAACTTCTGATAGTGTTTGTCTTGTTTCAGTGGCTTCTCATCAAAATCATACCCTCTGGTAATTTAACAGTTTGCTATTGAAAATGGCCATAGAAATAGTGGATTTTCCCATTAATAGCATGGTGATTTTCCATAGTTATGTTAGTCATTACCAGAGGGTAAACTCAGAATCGAGCTTGTGGCACCAAGGAGCAACTTATGAAAGTCCACGACTCGCAAGTGGATGTTCATGACTTCTCCGGCGCGAGAGAGCTTGATGTTCACTTCGTGATCCACAGCTGTGTCCAATTGCTCTTCCAAAATCCTGCGATTTTGCTGCGGGGATAGATGGATCACTGCGAAGTGGCAAACTGCGGCAAACTGCAGTTTGCTCTACATGTTCATGAAGCAAGGAAATCCAACCAAGTTGAACATGTCTAGTTTTGTTTTGGGTCCAACTAGTTCCAATCATGTTCCAATCCATCTAGTTTTGTTTTGTCTATTTTGTTTTGGAGGGTCCAACTAGTTCCAATATGTTCCAATATGTTCCAATATGTTCCAATATGTTCCAATATTAGCTACAGCTGGTTATCTATCTGTCGCGACCAACATGTTACCAACCAACATCCCACAACGGGTGAATCATGGTGATGGACTTCGTCGGAAAGGGATGACATCCCATATCTGCAATGGATTTTTTTTAAAAAAAAAACTTTGAAACCACCAACCAGTTCAGCTTGATAAAAAATAACCCACCTAGATGGTGATTTAAAATACACCTATCTATATATATATATATATATATATCGACCACTTTGGTGCCATGTGTTTTGAAAAGATACATCCTCTCATCAGCTTCAGCCGAGCAGCACAAAGTTCAAGCACGGTTTTCCCGCCACTTCCAGCAGTACGTCGCCAGGCTTCAGCTTCCTGAAGGAAGCTGCACCCAATATGTGGAGCTTTCCATAGCCATGGAGATACCCCAATAGCTGGATGGTTTGCAATGGAAAAGCCTTATTAATACAAATGGTGGTTTCCAGGTTTCCCATAGTCATGGAGGCACCAAAATGCATGGTTTATAATGGTTTATAATGGAAAATACCATCTATAAATGGATGATTTGGGGGTACCCCATTTCAGGAAACCTCCATGTTTGGCGTTCTTTTGCGTTCTTACGATGGAGGACTCCAAAGAATCAGCCAACTTGCTCTTGTCATTTTCATGTCATTTTCAATCGGGAACATAGGGAGACCACTGGTTTTGGGTATCCCAATCTTGAAAGCAATGTGTGAGGGGGTGATTGCTCAAATGTGTGATTAAACTGTCACAATACCGGAAACTTCGCCTGCCCTGAATGACCATGAGCGATGCCAATGACATCAACGTTTGTTTATGGGTCAAAACCCAGGTACAGGATACAATAAGCAACATGGATGTTCATACCTACCAAGAATGGATAAACATGATTGATCTGCTGATGCTGGAACCCCTGTCACTGATGAAAAATGCCACTTGCTGACGTGACTCTGCTCAGCTTCTGTTCCACGGATGACGTTTTCTACAACCAGAAGGCCTCACGACAAAGGAGACATCACATCGTGCGCGTGTCGAACACTTGGACAACACCCAAATCCATCAAATAGTCAAATATCATCAATTACCATTGGTAACACCATCGTGCGCGTGTCAAATATCATCTTAAATAGTCTGTCTTGCAGTAGAAATCTGGCTCTGGCGTGGCAATTCCATCCCCATGAACCATGGTTTAGAGGAGGGCTTAGTCACGGGGAGTTACACATCACACATCTTTGGGACCATTAACATCTACCATGGGTAAGTTTATATATTTAGTGTTAAGATGTATTGAGCTGTATTAAGATATATTAAGATGTATTAGATGTATTAGATGTATTCGGATGTATTGAGATGTCATTAAGAGATGTCATTAAGAGATGTCATTAAGAGATGTCATTAAGAGATGTCATTAAAATGTCATTAAGATGTAATGAAGGTGTATTAAGGCGATGGGATTTTCCCTCATGGTTTTACCTCAAGAATCTTTCACATCGCCCGCCAGGATGCCCGGCCTTTCTGTCGATCATTCACTGAAGCGTCAGGGCTCAAAGCCAAGACTTCGGCTTCTTGTTCCGCAGTGAAACCTGCTGTGGTTTAAAGGCGGTTTTTTATTCGACGTTTCAAAACGGTCGTTTTGATCTGGTTTCAAAGTGGAACATGTGACCTTGACAGCCTTGACACTAATGAATGAAGTTAATGTCATGCTTTCCGGTTTGATGTAGTTGGGCCAAACTCAAAGAAAGCATCTAAAAGCCAACACAAATTCCCATCAAATCAATGAAAACCACCAATCTTCCGGACCTCAGGACCTGTGGGTTTCAGAAGTGGTTTCCAGGGCAAGGTGAAACCCCCAGATCTAGAACGTTGGTCCCATCACACCTCCACATATTGCGTGAACGAAACCGATATTTGACAGGGACTTCGGGTTCACTGACAATAACAATCCCCTGAGAAATCAAATATGTCCAACTCTGAAAGTCTTAGCTCTTCATTGCAGATCTATCCTCTTGAGACTTCACTACAATACTCAAACTCATGCGGACATTCACGTCATATCAACCATAAAAAATCATCCAACCGCCATTGACTCCGAATCCAGCAAGTCATATTCTCTGGTCCCCTCCCTTCGATCCATTTCGATCCCAGCGGAACCTAATCTTCGTAGCATATCAAAGGGTTGAAAGAGCCACCTCGCCAATAGACTTCCTCGAAACCGCACGTACGGAATGGATGGGAATGGATAGGAACGGGATGATCGTTAATAGTATTGGATCATTCCCCCTTTCCCTACGCTTAGCACCAGTAAGTTGTTCATCCAATATTTGGGTGTTTCTGTGGAATTGTCTATGATGATTCTTCATCTACCCTGTGATTATTTAATGTGGTTTGCTGGAAAATCACAATGCTATTACAGTAATAGGTAAGATAATCATTTTTTTCTATCTGCCATTTTCCATAGCTATGTTACATAACCAAAGGGTAATATTTGGGTGTTTCTGAAAATGTGGAATTGTCGATATGAAGGCATGAGTCAACAACGGGCAAATGTGATATAACATTATATAACTTGATCGGAATGTAGCTTACCCATACTGTGAAATCACAGAAATGCTGATGCAACTGCCTCACTTCACAACTGCCTAACTGCCTGGCTTCAGGAAAATTTTCCTACAGCATCCTTGGGCTGGGCTGTTGAGTCCTGCCTCGAGGTGGCAACGGAATTTCATTTGGATGACTCTTCAGCCACTCCAACACCTCAGCTGCAGCTACCAAAACAAATGGCTTGACTTCTTGGAGATTTCTCCTAGCTTAGCGGAGGGCAATGAACTACCACTTTCCAAATCTCAAGAACATCTGGAACGGGGGAAGAGTCCATTCCTAACCATCGAGATGGGCCGGCACCTGCCCCACCTGTTCTTGTAAGCGGTTTCTATTCCGCAAGTTTAGATTTCACTACAGTCATATCCCCAGTTTTCATGGGGTTTTCATGTTGCAGGTTGTGATTCAAGAATTTCCCACCAAAACTTCCGCCAAACTCGTGAAAATCATCCCAAAGAAACATCAACTTCGCACTCCCAGATGCTTCAACCAGCTTTTTTTTCAACGTTGGGATTCAATAGCCATCAGAATAGCCATGTTTAGTAAACCAACTTGTCCCAATCCAGCAGCTCCCCATCATCCCCATCTACCGTCCAAGCGACGTAGACCGCCCGGTCCAGGGGCAGGAAGAAAGCGCTGGCAGCTTCGTGCGCGCCCCCCGCGTTCAGCGCGATGCAGTTCCCTGAGCGCGCGATGACGGGCGAGCCGCTGGATCCGCCAGAGGTGTTGGATCCGGCACCTGGGGAAAGCACAGGGGGCCCTTTTTGGGGCCCATTGGGACCCCAGAAATTGGGGAAATCTGATGAAAAAACATGGTGAACTTCAATGAACTTCATGGGTTCATAGTGATTGAGAATGGTTATACTGGTGGTTGCCGCTTTGTGTGATAATTTTACATGTCACATCAGAATGTTCCATGTTAACAACAACTTGGGTAGTTTTGTAGGGAGGGATAGTTGACATGGACCAGCAAGGGTAAGGGCAAAATACACCTCCCAAAAATGCCATGTTTTTTAAATATTTTTTTTGGACCGAGGGCAGTAGATATGCACCCCCATGGGGTCCCAACATCCTTAACATGGACAAATCCTGGGTTTCCCAAGAAAGGTAAAAAAATGCACACGTTCCATGTTAATGGTAAGTTGTGCATTTCAGGTTCCGTGTTAAATATGTGTTTTCCATGACTTTGGCCATGCTATTCTGGGGGAGTGCACCGGAAAAATTACGCTTTAACTTAAAAGCTGCGGAAAAAAAGGTGACTTTGATGGGTCAATAATTGTTAATGGGTTGCAATAGTGGTTAATAGCACTTGATAAGAGAAAGATAGAGAAAGGTATTTTGTTATGTCAGAAGAAAAAATGGTGGACTATGGTGGACTTTTGTACCCCAAAAACATGGATTTATGCAACCAAAAGGACTGCATGCGGGCTCAATAGACCCAAGATAAATTGTCTTTAGAGACTTTATGACTTATAACCAACAAAACTGATCAAAAACTGTTGACTTTAACCACAAAAACTGCTACTGAGGTGCTGTTGCTCAACATTCAAAGAATTACCTCCAGGCCCGAAGCCCGCAACATGGCAGAACATGGCTATGGTTACTATATGTTACTATGCTTCAAGTCCTTAGGGATCCTCACAGCAATTCCAGCCCACTGCCTGCATAGAAGGTGTTCTCATCCTCATAGTTGTCATGGTACTCCGGACAGTTTCTGTCCGTCCGCGCAATGGTCGCAGGAAGAATCTGGATCTTCTCGGCATTGTCGTTGCCGATCACCTCGACCATCATTTGCTGGAACTTCGGACGATTTTGATGGGTACAAACTGAGTGTCTTGATATAGTAATTAGTCTGATCTGGCAACAGAACATCCGCAAAATTAAGATATGTTCCATGTTTATTTTGAACATGTTCCATATATTCCCTGATGTTGTCAATAGCAAAAAAAACGCAGGAAACTCACAAGAGGTATATCATCTACCAATGGGTGGCTTTCCATTGCCATTCGATACCAATACCAGTATGGTACCTAGGTTCCTGACCCTGTGGGCTCAACAATTTCCGATAACTTCATGCTGATCAAATTGGATAGCTGGAGGCTTTACATTCAACAGAGATTGATTTCGTTAGTTTCTGTCAGATTGCCCAGGAAACTCAGGCAACCCACGCCATGAGTCACTAGATTTATCTAATTTTAGAGTTGAAAATCATGGTGAGTTGGCACAAATTTATACCTTGAAGGTCGGGAAGCCATCGATCCAGCCGCTCCAGCCCACGCCCCGCGGCCCGTGTGCGGCCCAGGAGCCAGAACCTCTGTCCCCACGCGCCTGAGCCATGATTCAACCATCAAAATTTAAGGCCTTTATATGCCTTTATATCAAGAAGTCCTGGATTCATCCTAAGGAACTAAGGCTGAATGATGTGGAATGATGTGGAATATTGAATCTGTTCTTTTGGGCTGCTGTTGCAAACGGGAAAAACAGGAAGACTATAGCTGCTATAGCACTTCCTCCACCATCACTTCCCCTCCAAACACCCAAAAAACAGGTGTCCAGCTAGTTCAAAGTCAAAAAAGGATAAAGTTTACCACAGAGTTCAGTAAATCCTAATCATATATAATCCTCATCATATATTATATATATATAATTATCTTATATATATATTATATATATATACATATTATAGATATCCTCACTATGTATATATATATAACACATTAATATAACCATTAAACAACACATCCCCAGAGAAACATCCCTGTCAAGGTGCAGCTCAGAGGGCACCACTGCAATGGCCGTGGGCGGCGTGAAGCGGAGCTCCGTGGCGTCGAATTGGAAGAGACCGAAGTCGTGCACCGGGTCGCGGTAGACCTGGGAATGGGGGGTGAAATTTTCGAACTTCTGTAGCTATTGGTTTTGTGTAGTTCGAAAAGAATGGAGAAGACTGAGATAATCTGTTTAGGGATTTGTGTTCCAGAAATTTCAAACTAGATGTCTTCTAGATTTCAAATAATTTACACAGAAAGGTGTTCTGTAATTGAATAGAGATTAAGAAAAAACAGCAAATGCGTTTGGAGATGAGTGCTAGAGGGATGTTCTGCTAGGGGGGCCGCCAGGTCACTGGCCAAATCGGCAAATCATCATGTTCATAGAAGGTCGCCCTTGCCCGAATGGGCCCGGTCCTTGGTTGTCAAAAACACCGAAAGTTAGGTGACTGGAAAAAGGTGACACTTTTGGGACATTTGAAATGGGGATGGGTCAGACCGTGACCTTCATCCCAGATTTTTTTTGTGTTTTTTTGCCAAGTCTCGTGATGATGTGTCGGTTGGTAAGGATAAGTGCTTCCTGGCAGCATTGCACAGGATTACAACCGTTCACAGGAATAAGTAGTGCTCTTATCTCAAAGCTGACAAGTGCAATATCAACGGAACCCAAGAGACAAAACGCACACTTGCTGCATCTGATAAGTGTATAACTGTATAACATTCAATTACATTCACAAAGTACAAAAACTTACACCATGGTGCATCATAACATACATCTTAAATATGTCAAACGTAATGACCACATCGTAAGTAATACCCTCTGGTAAACTAACATAACTATGGAAAATCACCATTTTTAATGGGAAAATCCACTATAAATGGTCATTTTCAATAGCTACGTTAAATTGCCAGAGGGTATATAACAGTAACATCACCAACATGAACCAACCATCATGGCCCAAGCCCGTCCCTTTCCCCAGCGTCCGGCCTTTGGATTGTCCAGGCTCACCACAAAACCCGTTCCATCCCAAACGCCTGCAGCGCAGTCTTCGAAGGAGCGCACCTCGGAGATGTGGAGATATGTTTGACCCGGGAAACCATGGGGAAAGCCCAATCAAACATAGGAAAACCATAGGAAAAACATGGAAAAACCATAGGGAAACCATAGGGAAACCATAAATGTGTTGAGGTTTAAGGAAAAAATCTGCTTGGTTCTGGAAGTATATGGACAGTGGCATGATTTTTCGGGCTTCAGACCCTCAAATTCGGTGGCTTTAGCATGGTTTCAACATCAAACATGGCTGCAAAATCAGCGGTGATTGTCCAGTGGGTCAGGTTACCTTAGCAGCCAATGGTATCCCAACAGCGGCCATAAACCATCATAAATCGACGACTGATATCGACTTAAGATAACAGTGGACGTAGACCCCAAGACCCCAAGAACTGGCAGTTTCGGGTTTCCTATCTGCAAAGGATCTATCATGATCTACCCTCTGGTAAACTAACATAGCTATGGAAAATCACCATTTTTCATGGGAAAACTCACTATAAATGGCCATGTTCAATAGCTATGTTAAATTACCAGAGGGTATCTATCAGCTTGGGAAACTCTATTCGGAGAACTCCGGCCATGGCAAGACCGGCCGCTGTCGTCCCAATCTTTGGCCGGGAGTTCACCGAAAAATCTGTTCCAAAGCCCGATAGAACTGTTCTGGTGTCAATCCACACATATTGACATAAAAAAAAAACGCGATATCTTATGGGTATCCTTTATTTGTAACATACTAAGAATTACTAAGACAAGAAATTTCATGACATCCTCGTTATGTGCTCATGTTCTACAAGCTCCCACGCGAAATTGCGCTAAGTTGGTTTGTAAACCACTGTATTTATATACATAATTACAATCCAACAATAGTAAGTTATAGATATGATATCTCTCTAAACTATAGTGCCTACTTAAGTAACTACTATAGTTACTATGTTACTAATGTCTACTATTGGACTATAGATAAATCTGGGTAAATTATAATAGTTCACTAACCTGAATTATTTGGAGATGATTTTCCTTTTTAACCATGATTCCAGGGCTCGGTCGCGACGTGAGGTCGTGATCAAATTTACCCAGATAAATAGTTACTATTGCTAAATATCATATATTACCCAGATAAATAGTTACCCAGTAATAATTTACCCAATACTAGTAGTTGGGCTAAATATACTTAAATAGTTACCTTCGGGTAAACTAACATAGCTATTGAAAATTGCCATTTATAGTGAATTTACCCATTGATAGCATGGTGATTTTCCATAGTTATGTTAGTTTACCAGAGGGTATATATAGTTACTATAGTAATATATGCTAACATTGGGGGTGTATATTGATGGTAAATGTTACCATATATAATATATAGCATACATGGATCCTATAGTGACTATTGGTATAGTTACTATTTAAGTCAAGGCGCTGCCGTCACTCGGATGGCCACGATGGCGTTCTTCACCTGGTCGATGACATCGGCCCATTCCGCGGAGATGGCCTCGGCCCGAAACGTTACGAAACGCGTAGGGCCGGTGATTGGTTGGAAGGCCATATACTGTTAATATATGGTTAATACATGGTTAATATACTGTTAATATATATATATGGTTATTATATGGTTAATGATGGTTAATAATAACCTGGTTGGTGGTGCAATGTGCCCATCTTGAAAAATGATGGAGTTCGTCAATGGGAAGGATTGTATATCCCATATATGGCCAATGGAAAATAAAAGCCATGTTTGAAACCACCAAGCAGATTTTTTCTGGAAAAAGTGTGTGTTTTTTTTCTGGGAAAATTTCAGATTGATGCAGATGGATACCCTCCACTGGAAATCTGTGGGTGTTTTGCCCTCCCTGGATATCAGGATCTCTTGGCTGTTTTCCTAAAAAAAAAAAATCTACAACCAATTCATGGATAAACTCAGGATGAGAAAACACCCAGCACCGGAGCAGATCCTGGTTGATTTTTCGTAAGGGTTGCCAAATCGGATCAGCAGAGTTTCCCATATTTTGCCCGGAATTCAACACTTTTCACTTTTCGAAATCTCCATAGAGCAGCCCTAAATCCGCTGGTCCAAATCCCATGAAGAATCAACCTTCCCTGCGAAAAATGCCATCATTTTGGCTGGTCACTCGGAAAACCATTCCAGCCCAGCCATTCCAGCCCAATCCCAGTGGCCGCGTTGGGCGCGGTGATGTCCACTTCATATGACTCAGAATTTCCTGGAGAGCCACTGCCTCTCAGGTCAAGCCTGACGTCGCGAGCTGCCACTGGAACTGTGGCCCTGCGGAAAGATTCGACTATGGTACTTGGGTCAAACGATTGAATGATATAGAAATAAAAACAATACCACTATCAATAAGTCAATGACAACATCAATAAGTAATAATTATATAAGAATATCAATCATGAACAGTCATGATTGTTGCAGTAGTCTACAAACATGCAAACATATCCAAACCTCTACAGGGAATATGAGTAAAAAAACAAGAAATCTATTGGATATGATATAACCAACAACTATGGGTCGAGATATTGGACACTTCCGCAAAAAAAACAAAAACATGTAATTTCCATTAATCTACCAAAGCAAGGTTTTTAATATCATTGAAATTAATATATCATACCATGATGGTATATGGAATTTATGGTATATTATATATTCCATTTATATTATATGGCAGTGTGTCAAAACCTTGTACCCCTGGTGAACATCAAAATAGCTGGTAAATGGATGTTCATCCCCCTAAAAATGGTATTAATAGGTATTGATCCATACCCATATTGCATTAATCTACCAAAGCAAGGTTTTCCCACCAGCCATCAGACGTTCCCCTGGTTTCACAAACACGGATCGATCCGTCCTTGTCAAAGCTTCAGATGCCTTGGTCGTTGTTCTGGCGGACCGGTCATGACCGGTCACATGCATGTGTTATAACGACCCCCATACAGAAAGATGTTCATTTCTGCGAAATTACTAAATAAATATATATATATAGATATTATGCATTATTATGCACATATACTTATATCTATGTCTATAGTATAAATATGTACAAGAAATTGTGTCACAGTGTGTGTATTTATACTGTATATATATATATACATTGAGCAATATATCCGTCCCCACAAGATATGAACGTCATCTCCCATCCGTTCCATGGCTCCGGCTGCACCAAGGCACCATCTTCAGCTTTTTGGCAGGCGGTTCCCGACTGATGAAATCAGAATCACTGAATTCCTGGACGTTTGGCAAAAAGACGCGCTTGGGATGTTGGGGAAACAGATGGTAGCAACAAAATGGGGATATCAGGGAAGATGTTATAAGCAACACAAATTACTGGAATGTCTGTTATCCAATATCATGTTATCCAATATCATGTTATCCATTCCAGTACAACAAGAAATCATATAACACAGAATATAAAACATGATAAAAACAACGTGTAAAAACGATCAACGTGTGACTTGGCCACTCGCTTCGCCGGGCCTCTAGATCAGAAAGTGCTGAATTGCCTCGGGGCGATGGCTGGAGATTATTCATAATATTCTACATCACTGACTGGGGATAAATATATTTATATACATACAAATAAAAATCAACCGCATGTTGTTCATCGTTTTTCTTGGTACTCTACTTATATAATTATATATAATTATAAAGCATACTTCATTAAATCGTTACGGTTTAGGCAGTCGGCAATGGAGCAGAAATAGCTGGTGTGACTCTGCACCTGGACATGGCAATGGATTCGGGTCGCGACGCAAAGAATTTTTCAGGAACGAAATCGGAACCTCATCCAAGTGGCAGTTTCAAATGTGATTTACTTTCCATGTCCATCTCTATATCTGGTATATCTATGTATATCTGGTATTATGAACTCCAACTTGGAGGTTTCCTAAAATGGGGGTACCCCAAAATCCATAGACAATGACCATTTTAGTATGAAATATCTTGAAACCTATGGTTTTGGGGATCCCCCATTTTAAGAAACCCCAACTTGACTATAAATGGAATGGGAGACTATGGGTGACTTAACTACCCATCAATAAACAATTGCCAAGAGACCATCTCTGCGCTTACTTGAGACCGCATTCATCGACGCACTTGGACATCACGCTGTGTCCAGTGCAAGCCATCTATCTCGAGCCATCCAAATGTCGACAGCTGCGCAGAACACATTGTGCCATGTGCCAAGTGTGCAGGCGCCAAATCTCAAAGCACGGTTGGACAGTTTCAAATGAATGGGATGCTAGCACCACTTGGATATGCTTGAATGTTCAAAACAAAGCAGAAATGACGATAAAATATGGATGTTGTTACATAATCATCAATATGGATGTTGTTACATAATCATCAACCAACCATCATTTCTCACTTGAAATCTTCACACCATTTTTTGAGGACCCATTCGCTCCCCAATCCCATTGGCCATTGGCCTTTGAAGGGGACCTGACGGCATCTGAAACCACCGCAGTGCAACGCAACAGTGCTGCCATGCGGCAAGTGCTGAAACAGTGACAATGCCGTGGCCCAATCCTAGGACGAATGTTCGATCAAAGTAGTGGCTGCTCAATGTTGGCTGGAATTCTAGAATCGAACAGAACTTACCCTCCGGGAATCAAACGCAGTTTGCTGGAAATTCTCCCATGAAAACCTCCATTTAGTTCAAAGATTTCCCAGCCAGCCGACGTTTGATGACTGGAGGGTAGACCCGGCCGAGATTCCCTGGGTTGGTTTGAGGGGAAGACTGGCTGTATCCGATGGTTTTTGGTACATGAAATTTAGGACCCAAGACCACTTCTGGGCCCAGAAATGCGACAGAAAGGTGATGCTCCTCCTCTACCACTCATCTCATCCCAATCAAAACGAACGCCATGGACCACTGGAACGGGGCGCCAGGATTTCAGGCGCAGGGAGTTGGAGATGGAGATGGAACTAAAATCAACACTCAGGATTCAACCGACAATTTATACCATTAAAACATATATTAAAACAGTGATCATTCATGGATCGTACCCCCCGTGCCAGATACCCTTTGCATATTAGCAAACGGGGTTATTCAGTTCTTCATCACCAACGGAGCGTCGCATTTGGGTGTACATGGGTCGTGCCATCATAAATAAACATCAAATTGAATCAACATGAATCAAAATTGTAATACCCGCATTACTAATACAATATGCGCCACAAATAATGTTAATCAATATCGAAGTGACATTACAAACCAACCCAAGCCAAGAGTCGTCTCTGGCAGCCGCCAGCGCACCACCGTACCTATTAAAGGCTAGTGACTTTGCAGGTGTCAATGCTGCAGATTTTTCAGCAGCTGCGGGTCGAAAACCTGCCCTGATGAACATCACACAATGAAACCGGATAGTCGATTTGGGCATGTTGGCCAACCTTGACATGTCTGGCGAACTCTTGCGGCCTCTACGTTTGTAGCCAAGGACAGTCGGATGAAGTATGTTGACTATTGATTTCCTCACTTTTGGGGAAGTACCAGTATGACGAATCTTAGCTACTCCGCAAACGTGTCAATAGGTAAGTGAATATCACAAAAAAAAACATGTGTAGCAACAAAACAACTCAATTAATCTATAGTCCACCAGTCAGCTTTCCAGATACACTCTGTTAATGGAACATGGCTACCTAGAAACTCACCCCCATTTGGTTCAATGATTTCCCAGGCTTCGTTTGGCTCACGTGACCAAGGTGGGTAGGAGTTGGCTCACCACCATTTGGTCCAGCAGCCTCCGCAAGAACTAGAAGTTTGGTGACTCAGGGAGGTACCAAGATCCAAATAGAAATCTACTTTGGGCAAACTATGATGGCTCAAAAACCTCAAAGAAAACATGGCTGGCATAAGACCCCCCCCCCGGCTTACGATCTTTTGTGGTGAGGTTATGTAGAGATCGTTGTGACGTCGGTTGGAGGTCATTGTGAGGTCGTTGTGATCTACCTGGTATAGAAAGGGCAATTTATACCATCTATGCCATTGATGTAATTATTTGGTTATCTATGTTCATAGAGGAAAAACCCTCGCTCTTTTTTCACACCCCCGAAACAAGATGCAGCCGCCAGCTTTGGGACCGGAAATCAATGGGCCAATGGTCCTGTCAAGGTGTGCCTCAATGCACTGCCTCCCTCTCTTCCTTTGACCTGCACAGCTCTAAGGCTAGGAGCGAATGGCACGTTTGGCATGTGTCATAGGTTTGATGAGAAGAGATATATACATAGTAGTAGTAGTAGTAGTAGTAGCTGTAGTAGCTGTAGTAGCTGTAGTAGCTGTAGTAGCTGTAGTAGTAGTAGTAGTAATAGAAGTAGCACTACTACTACTACTACTGCTACTTCTACTACTACTACTACTACTACAGCTACTACAGCTACTACAGCTACTACTACTACTACTACTACTACTACTACTACTACTACTACTACTGGTCGTACTAGTAGTACTTGTAGTACTAGTAGTAATAGTAGTAGTAATAGAAGTTGCTGTAGAAGTAAACACCATACTGCAGATCATTGTGGGAACTTGTTGGAATACAGGGGTATCGGTGCTGGGTCGTCCCCTATCGGTTGTGAAGGTTTCGTGAAGGCACGCAAAGTTCAAGGCAGCTCTCTACTACTTTCAATTGCTAACAATTTTGTCGGACACTCATATATTATATATATATATATTACTGAAGAAAGGCTGGAAAGAGAACCAGGGGTGACCATCACGTCCGATGTTCTTCTGAAGCATTCCCACATGCAAATGTCTAAGGCCCAATCACAAGCTATAACCGCAGAAGTGCATGCGGGAAGTGTCAGCCTTAGCATGGGGCCACTACCAAACATCCAAGAAATTGCAGTCACTCCCAAAATGCCAAGAATCGTCAGCAATCTTTCCACCCATGTTGGCCAGCAAGATGCGCAACAGCAAGGGACAAAGGCAGATCTACTGAGACCAGAACCCAAGAGCCAGGTGCATCTCATGAAGGAAGGCAATGGAACCTGTCCATTCGCCGCCTGAAAAAAATCTTTGAAAAGCCTCTGGAAATGGTTCCAAAGTTGCAGCCAAAAAAACAGCTGGCACCTAGTCATCACATGTTCAGGCTCCCACCAAAAAGACCATCAACATTCATAGGCTACATATCCACTGAGATACGAGATGATACGAGTCAAAAATAATTCAACCCTGGCCCAAACAATCACTTTAATCATGGCATCACATCACTCCTTTGGCACATCTTTTGGCGCTGCCATGGATCCGCTTGGAAGCACATCCCAGTGGGCGAGTAGCTCATTGAAGCTTTGAAAACGCTATAGTTAACCACTTCTATATCTAGACATCGGTTATTAACTTATATAAATAAATATACATATATATATAATGTTCTTATCCGGCTACAAAATGGGATGCCTTAGCCGCATCCCAGTTTCATCCTCATTCTCAGTCCCGAACAGTTGCCACAACATGAAATCATCGATCCAAAGCTCATCGCGCTGCGCGGAACGTCCAGTCTGAGCGAAGGATTGGAGATTTTTTTCAACGGCGGCATCTGAGGAAAGTGGTTTCTTCACAACAACAAACTGCAGGTTGAAGGCATAAACAAGCCCGTGGCTCTGGTGCAGCCAATTGTTTGGTTCAGTGTTTGAACCGTCAATCTTGTGAGATCTTGTGAGTATGTACAGAAGGGCGGCCATTTTGGGACAAGTGAAATATGGCTGCTCCTATCTTGCGTGAGTCCAAAAGAGTTGGCTGCTCCCCCGTCTACGAAAGCAGTGTTCAAAACACTCCATCCTACCGGCTACCTTTGTACTTGTTGGCTGATAGGGATTCCAACAATGGATTGCGATATTTTCCCCAAGATATTGGTTAGTAGAATCACCTATAATCATCAACCAATCATCATGTATGAATTATACTATACATATTAGCCACATATATCCCCGTATGGGGTTTCCACAAATGGGGATACTACGGGATACCATTTTAAATGGATGATTTATGGAAAATCCCAATCTAAAATGGATGATAACTAGGGATACCCCTATTTTAATGGAAAACCTCAAATGGTTGATTTATGGTTATAGAAAACCATGAACTCATGGATGATTTATAATGGAAAATCTCCATATTTTCATGGTTTCAAATCCCAACTCTTTTTTGGCATACCCACGGGGGAAACGATTTTTTCAAACGCCGTGGACCAAGGAGATGGCTGCCGCATGGTGGCCAGCTGTTCAACGGAGTTTGTCCAAGGGCTGTCACCTTGGGTCGATCCGTTGTCAAACTGCTGCATGGAAGCCACCCAAAAAAAAATGGAGTGAACTCCCAACAATAAGAAATCATGGGGTTGGCAGGTGATTTTAGATGTTGGCGAACGATGTTATGGACTTGGAAATCGCCGCTGTTGTGGGTTTGCAAAGGAGATTTGTATCTTTTGTGGGACCTTTTCGTGGATTGTCCAAGATCTCGTGCTGCAAAGCTTTCTGGGAAAGTAATGTGGGAAGATCTTCTCAATGCAACATGAAGATTACATCAAATCACCAAAAATCTTGACATGCAAAAGAAAAACATATTACAACTGGCAAATAAAGCACAGCTGATCATAATTATCCTTCACTTCCAAAAAGCTGGCAGGACAGTCAGCATTCCTCCATCAACCATTCACCACTTTAGCCCGTTGCCATATCCCGAGGCTCCTGCCATCTTTCCCTCCTGTGACCTGGATGTCCAGCTATTCATGGCATAGGGTTACCCGAAACGGTAATCAAACATGGCTGGCAACGGGAAATCCGCGAACTAAATGGATACTTCAGCGAACTAATGGGAAAATCATCGAACTATTTGGACTATAGTACTGAAGTATTTTCCAGCTGGTCATGTTTGAATACCATTGGACTATCATGTTTTTTTCCGGGGCCTAAATCTTCAAAATAATTTTGCCAAACTAACCATAATATTATGTATAATAATTACTAAACTATGATATAAAATATGAATTATTCTTGAACCTGAACTGGCGGAACAGGATTTTGGGGCGGTTCCCACTACTACCAAGCAGGACGCATCACTAACAATGAATATGTTTTGGGTCTTTAAATCATTGCCCTTATAGTTACTCGTAAAATCCATGTGTACATTGAGGTAGTGCTGAGTTTCTCCATGCCTTTCTTACACATCCCAGTACTATTGTAGCAATATGAGATTCTCCAACCCCTTCACATCAAAACTCCCATTGCATCATGGCGGTCACGACATACACATGGCCAAACCACAATTATGCACTGTCCAGCTTCAGTGAGCATTCAAACAATCCATGCGTTTTAGTCACAGGCTCAGTCTGCAAACAATACAGTTGAACCCCCTAGATTTGAGGATAAGAAAAACTACAAACCATAGAATTTCAGGAAAAAATCATTAACAGGATCGATGTTTTACTGGATTTCATGGTGTCAACCTCCCAGAGTTTCAACCGTATTTGTTCCCTTAAATCAATCCATTGATTCATTGGGTCCCCCAGGTCCCCCAGCCACTAGCGAGTTGTGCATGGAGTTGTCTGCTCGAATGCCATGGTGCGATGCTGTGTGGAATGTAACCAATGCCTGAGGCGTGGAAGTCCCTTGTGCTGAATAGTAGGATCTTCTATCTATGACTGGGGGTTGTTATATCCGACATATTTCCCATAATTATCCCATAATGTATTCCATAAATCTTCATAAACCCATAATATGATCCCCTAATATATCCTATAGTGAAAACCCATTCATGATCACCACCCCCACTGTATGGTCCCAAAATGTTCCAAATATGTGGAATGCCCCTATTGGACGATGGTTTCTTGGGGGGTGCTCAATATTAGGAGATGGGAATATTTACCGATTTTACCGTACCTATGTATACATGAATGAACAATAATGGTAGCATATGATGGTAAAGGTCCCATAAACTTTCTGTGGGAAAAAGAATGGAAGTGATGAGACAGCATAAGACAAGTTTGCCTTCAGTCGTTCCACTCGTTGAGATAGCTTACGGCTACAGGTTGGTAGGTTGGTAGGTAGGTTGGTTGGTTGGTTGATTGGTTAGACGACTCCAAGCAGTAGCCGTGGTTCACAGGCACAACCTGAACCAGCAGCTTCAGGGTCACCTCTGAGGGTTGTTGGACTGCTTTTAGGGCTGTATGTTGGCAACCTACAGGCCTTATGAGGGCTGTTCGACTGCTTTCAGGGCTGTATGTTGGCAACCTACAGGCCTTATGAGGGCTGTTCGACTGCTTTCAGGGCTGTATCTTGGCAACCTACAGGCCTTATGAGGGCTGTTCGACTGCTTTCAGGGCTGTATCTTGGCAACCTACAGGCCTTATGAGGGCTGTTGGATCGCCTTTAGGGCTGTATGTTGGCAACCTACAGGCCGTATGAGGGCTGTTGGACTGCTTTCAGGGCTGTATCTTGGCAACCTACAGGCCTTATGAGGGCTGTTCGACTGCTTTCAGGGCTGTATCTTGGCAACCTACAGGCCTTATGAGGGCTGTTGGATCGCCTTTAGGGCTGTATGTTGGCAACCTACAGGCCTTATGAGGGCTGTTGGACTGCTTTTAGGGCTGTATGTTGGCAACCTACAGGCCTTATGAGGGCTGTTGGACTGCTTTTAGGGCTGTATGTTGGCAACCTACAGGCCTTATGAGGGCTGTTGGACTGCTTTTAGGGCTGTATGTTGGCAACCTACAGGCCTTATGAGGGCTGTTGGACTGCTTTTAGGGCTGTATGTTGGCAACCTACAGGCCTTATGAGGGCTGTTGAACCGCTTTTAGGGCTGTATGTTGGCAACCTACAGGCCTTATGAGGGCTGTTGGACTGCTTTTAGGGCTGTATGTTGGCAACCTACAGGCCTTATGAGGGCTGTTGAACCGCTTTTAGGACTGTATGTTGGCAACCTACAGGCCTTATGAGGGCTGTTGGACTGCTTTTAGGGCTGTATGTTGGCAACCTACAGGCCTTATGAGGGCTGTTGGACTGCTTTTAGGGCTGTATGTTGGCAACCTACAGGCCTTATGAGGGCTGTTGGACTGCTTTTAGGGCTGTATGTTGGCAACCTACAGGCCTTATGAGGGCTGTTGGACTGCTTTTAGGGCTGTATGTTGGCAACCTACAGGCCTTATGAGGGCTGTTGGACTGCTTTTAGGGCTGTATGTTGGCAACCTACAGGCCTTATGAGGGCTGTTGGACTGCTTTTAGGGCTGTATGTTGGCAACCTACAGGCCTTATGAGGGCTGTTGGACTGCTTTTAGGGCTGTATGTTGGCAACCTACAGGCCTTATGAGGGCTGTTGCTTTTAGGGCTGTATATTGGCAACCTGCAGGCCTTATAAGCGCTACTAGTATTGGACCGATTTTAGGGCTGTACATTGGCAACCTGCAGGGCTTATCAGGGCTATTGGGCCGATTTTAGGGCTGTATGTTGGCAACCTACAGGCCTTGTCAAGGCTGTTGGGTCGCTTTTATGGCTGTATGTTGGCAACCTACATGCCTTATGAGGGCTGTTGGACTGCTTTTAGGGCTGTAATTATGGTGGTTTATGAGGGCTGTTGAACCGTTTTTGTAGCTGTATCTTGGCAACCTACAGGCTTTATGAAGGCTGTTGTACCGCTTTAGGGCTGTATGTTGGCAACCTACAAGCCTTATGAGGGCTGTTGGACCGCTTTTATGGCTGTATGTTGGCAACGCCTTATGAGGGGTGTTGGACTGCTTTTATGGCTTGTATGTTCGCAACCTACAGGCCTTATGATGGCTGTTTTACCGCTTTTATGGCTGTATGTTGGCAACCTACAGGCCTTATGAGAGCTATTGCACCGCTTTTATGGCTGTATGTCGGCAACCTACTGGCCTTAGCTTTTAGGGTTGTATGTTGGCAAGCTACAGGCCTTATTACGGCTGTTGGACCGCTTTTAGGGCTGTATTATGAAGGCTCTTGGACCGCTTTTAGGACACCCTATTGCGGCTGTTGGACCGCCTTTAGGGCTGTATGTTGGCAACCACGCCTTATGAGGGCTGTTGGACCCGTTTTAGAGCTGTATGTTTGCAACCCACAGGCCTTATGAGGGCTGTTGGACCGCCTTTAGGGCTGTATGTTGGCAACCTACATGCCTTATGAGGGCTGTTGGACCGCTTTTCGGGCTGTATGTTGGCAACTTACAAGCCTTATGAGGGCTGGTGGACCGCTTTTAGGGCTGTATGTTGGCAACCTAGGCCTTATGAGGGCTGCTGGACCGCTTTTATGGCTGTTTGCTGGCAACCTACAGGCCTTATCAGGGCTGTTGGATCGCTTTTATGGCTGTATGTTGGCAACCTACATGCATTATGAGGGCTGTTGGACCGCTTTCATGGCTGCATGTTGGCAACCTACAGGCCTTATTCGGCTGTTGGACCGCTTTTAGGGCTGTATTATGATGGCTGTTGGACCGCTTTTAGGATTGTATGTTGGCAACCTACAAGCCTTATGAGGGCTGTTGGACCGCTTTTGGGGCTGTATGTTGGCAACCTACAGGCCTTATGACGGCTGTTGGACCGCTTTTAGGGCTGTATCTGGGCAACCTACAGGCTTTATGAGGGCTGTTGGACTGGGCAACCTACAGGCCTTCTTACGGCTGTTGGACCGCTTTTAGAGCTGTATGTTGGCAACCTACAAGCCTTATAAGGGCTGTTGGACCACTTTTATGGCTGTATGTTGGCAACCTACAGGCCTTATGAGGGCTGTTGGATCGCCTTTAGGGCTGTATGTTGGCAACCTACATGCCTTAAGAGGGCTGTTGGACCGCTTTTAGGGCTGTATGTTGGCAACCTACAAGCCTTATGAGGGCTGTTGAACCGCTTTTAGCGCTGTTTGTTGGCAACCTACAGGCATTATCAGGGCTGTTGAACCGCTTTTAGGACTGTATGTTGGCAACCTACAAGCCTTATATGGGCTGTTGGACCAGTTTGGGGGCTGTATGTTGGCAACCTACAGGCCTTATCAAGGCTGTTGGAGTGCTTTTATGGTTGTATGTTCACAACCTACAGGCTTTTTTACGGCTGTTGGACCGCTTTTATGGCTGTATCTTGGTAACCTACAGGCTTTATGAGGGGTGTTGGACCGCTTTTATGGCTGTATGTTGGCAACCTACAGGCCTTATTACGGCTGTTGGACCGCTTTTAGGGCTGTATGTTGGCAACCTGCAAGCCTTATGAGGGCTGTTGGACCGCTTTTATGGCAGTATGTTGGCAACCTACATGCCTTTTGAGGGCTGTTGGACCGCTTTTAGGGCTGTATGTTGGCAACCTACAGGCTGTATGAGGGCTGTTGGTCGGCTTTTACAGCAACCTACAGGCTTTTATGGCTGCATGGCACTGTATGGTGGCAACCTACAGGCCTTCTTACAGCTGTTGGACCGCTTTTAAGGCTGTATGTTGGCAACCTACAGGCCGTATGAAGGCTATTGTACCCCTTTTGGGGCTGTATGTTTGCAACCTACAGGCTTTATTACGGCTGTTGGACCGCCTTTAGGGCTGTATGTTGGCAACCAGGCCTTCTGAGGGCTGTTGGACCGCTTTTATGGCTGTATGTTGGCAATCTACATGCCTAATGATGGCCGTTGAAGCGCTTTTAGGGCTGTATGTTGGCAACCTGTAAGCCTCATGAGGGCTGTTGGACCGCTTTTAGGGCTGTATGTTGGCAACCTACATGCCTTATGATGGCTGTTGGACCGCTTTTAGGGCTGCATGTTGGCAACCTACAGGCCTTATTACGGCTGTTGGACCGCTTTTAGGGCTGTATTATGAGGGCTGTTGGACCGCTTTTAGGGCTGTATGTTGGCAACCTACAAGCCTTATGAGGGCTGTTGAACCGCTTTTAGCGCTGTTTGTTCGCAACCTACAGGCCTTATGATGGCTGTTTTACCGCTTTTAGGGCTGTATGTTGGCAACCTACAGGCCTTATGAGGGCTATTGGACCGCTTTTATGGCTGTATGTTGGCAACCTACAGGTTTTAGCTTTTAGGGCTGTATGTTGGCAACCTACAGGCCTTATTACGGCTGTTGGACCGCTTTTAGGGCTGTGTGTTGGCAACCGCTGTATGTTGGCAACCTACACGCCTTATCAGGGCTGTTGGACCGCTTTTAGGGCTGTATGTTGGCAACCTACCTGTCCTATGAGAACTGTTGGACCGGGGTTGGGGTTTTATTTTTGCCATCTAGGGAAGGAAGCCCGCCAAATTTTAGCTTTTTCAAACACATTGCAGGTTAGGACTTTTGCACTAATGTCCTCTCAAGTGTAAGTGCTCAATTTGAGCAGGGATACCCCATGCAGGGGGGTTCCTAGTCTTAGATCATCTTTCAACGATAGAATCCCTGCTTTCATGACTTTCCCATCGGACAGCACCTTCTCCCAGCTGTTCGCTTTGCTGCAAATGCTGACCTTCATGCAATCAGGCGGGTATCCTCTGGTAGAATCCCATCTATCGTAGTTAAATCATCTACAATGGGGGCGTTTCCGCTACAGAAATTGCCAGTGGGTACTTGTCAAACTTCGGTACAGCAACAAATGATTAAAGAATGAATCGCTTCTGGATTTTATCATTCACCAGAATCTGTTTTCCTGCGCTCAGTTTACATATGCAAACTAAGGGGATATAAGGTTCCCCCATAATGAACCATGATTTCCACACGAGAGCATGTGGGGTAGCCATGATTTCCCTCCCCTGGAGTCTGGGCTGAGGGGCTGCGGTGGTGCACAGCGACTTGTCCATGCTGACAGCAGAATCTTGCGCGTCAGCCAAGACCAAAATGGCCTCTTGGGCGAAAGAAGTTGACAGCTGGTGACTAATGATGACCTGCTAATGGGGATGCATCAAAAAATGAGCCAAATATGCATCAAATGAACCAAGTAAACATCTGAAAATATGGGTAAATATGGATCGGATTTTTTTTATCATGTGTCACAAATTTCATAGCAAATTGCACATGTCTTCACCAGCCTGCCTCCGGCCACCGTTGCTCTCGCTTGCAGGATGTCATGGCCTTCAACGGAAACGGATGACACAGCGGTGACACAAACATCAACTGAAACCCTGAACCATCAGATGTGACATGAACTGTGATGGTTCAAAGTTGATTCTTAAATCTATATAAATGCATACATGTGAATATATTATATTGTATACATAATTATACATATATATATATATTGTATATGCTGTATATATTAATATATTGTACATGCAAACTGTCCTCATGCATTTGGTTCAGTCTTCCAAGCACCTACCCACACCGTTCATTTGTTTCATTCCAAATCCTTGGGTACGGAGTCAAAATTGGTTCCAAATCTTCAGCGGCACAGGTCTGAAGCCTTGACCATGTCTTTTCTCAGGCCCCGACGACCGTAAAACTAATCACATCTGGCCTCAGCGATGCTGCAGCAACTGGGGTGGCAAGGCGGCTAGGTGCCAAGTGATGGAAAATGGGAGAATATCCACCAGGTAACGGTGAACTATTGGCTGAGTGGATGGAAAGACTCAGTTTGATTATGTTTGTTGTCATGTAGTCTCATATATATATATACACATATAATATATATATATACACATATAATATATATATACACATATAATATATATATATACATAATATATATATAAGGGATTATACCAATGGTTAAATATAAATGGATATAAATGGTTAAAGAATGGGATACTAGTGATTATCAGCATCGGAGGTTTGTCTCGTAAATCTGCACACACGGAAGAACAGCATTAGATGATCAAAAGCCGTTCAAAAGCTGGTTGAGTCACGAAAAAGGTGCAATCTCACCCTCTTCAAAGGGGAAGGAAGTCAGGCTGGTAAACAAATTGTGTAGTTTGCTATGCCTCCGATCTACAGCTCAGGCTGATTCTTTTCTCACAGCGATGCTGCTCAGGGTTCTGCACTAATATCAAGGCGCGAAGAGCTGCGCTGCTGCATGTTTCTTTGACGGTTGGCCATGGTTTTACCCTGACATGACTAAGATACCGAAGGCTGCTGGAAGGTTTCGCATGAGGTTCTGAGGTTTTTCAGAATTTGCAAGATTTCCAAGCATGAAGCCCTTTATATCTGGGCAAATTACAATATTTCACTAACCTGAATAGTTCGGCCATGAATGGGGATGATTTCCCTATAATAAACCATGATTTCCAGCTCGGGAGAACAGGGTTCGGTCGTGATCAAATTTACCCAGATATATGGGCCCTATATTTGAATGTTAAGCTGCTCCAACCCCGGATCATCTCATCCTTCGCTCATTTCCGCGTGGCAGCCTGAGGGGCAGATCCAGGGACCCAGGGACCCAGAGACAGTGGAGGATACAACTATCCATTGGATTTCAGGGAAACTCGATGGGAAAATCCAATGGAAAAACCGAGAAGCCATGTTTTTTCCCATGAAAAAAAAGGGGGGTTCTTGTAAATCATTCATTGGAAGGTATGAACCTCCATCTTTTAGTATCTTTTAGTTATTTTAGTTACCATCATCGATCCTCAATGTTATACATAACAGTCACGACAGGACACAACAATACCAATCATTTGTTCATGAACGTGGAGACAAAGCATCAATAGGCATCAATCACAACGAATCGCCGTTGTTGACCAACGAAACGCGGGTCAACCAAGCCACAAAAGATTGAGGAACCAAAACCAAACAAGGATCAAAACCTTCGTTGGAGACCCCATTAGCAACACCCAGTTAGAACCCCCTACTGGGATCAGGTAGGTTGATCCAAGTTGATCCATGTGTCCCTGGCCCCAGCAATCCATGGAATCCATGGGTGGAATCCATTGGACCTGGGATATTCACACTGGAACAGTGCCCCCAAAACAAACTGCGGGGGAAAAAAAAAACGCTTAGCCCTTAAAGGCCCCACCAACCAAATGATGCCCACATGAGGAAAAATCGGGCCACTTTGGTAGTGCAATAGAGCCAAAAGGATGTCAGTTACCATTGGGGTTCAAAAGACTAGGAACCAAGAAAGGGATTTCATGGATTGTGTCTACCACATTATACGTCATTGCCATTTATATACATAATGCCCTTTTTTCCCAAACCAGAATAATTAATTAGGTTTGTTACTACACACCTCTTTTGTCAATTGGGTTCGTTTTGAAGGAACATATGCAGGGTACTGTTTTTGCCCAGTAAAAATGACGGTTTCAACCGCACATTGTCCCTTCCAAGTCAGTTTTTGCGTTTTTCCCTCAACTTGAATAATTGGTTGGATCTCTGGCAATTTACTGCGATGAGAGAAAATACGGCATCATCAGTATCTATAAATGGCTGGTTGAGAACGGGATTCCCGTTGCATGGATTCGGATAATCCCGAAGTAATCTTGGTCAGTGTGATCCCCGAACCAAATATAGAGGTAAAATGACCCATTTATCCGCCTTTAGTTGTACTTCAGCTATAACAGGTTGGAAACCTGCTCAATTCACTGTCTCAACTCCAATATTGATTAGTATTATATACCAAGTGTCTTGATTAGTATATCCATTATATACCCCAAAAATATACCCATGACCTCCGATATGTAGACTATCTTTCCCCTATTATTGCTTATATCCAATATATCCCCTATCATAGTATAGAGGTATATTGTTTTCCTTTGTAATACAGGATTATCCTATAGATCATATCCATAGCGAAGTATTGCGAAACAATATACCACAGTATTACGTTAAGTAAATCCTACAGGTCCTAGAGGTATATTGCCCCTGTTTCATATATCCCAGAAAAAACATGTCCATTGATGTGGGTAAAACAATGTCATCAACCATCCCCTAATTTCACCATCATCACCATTTTTAAGGTGGTATGGTTACCATTCCCAGATGGATGGTTTATGACATTGTTTTACCCACATTATGTTTTTTCCTATAGATACATATCCAAAATATATCCTATAGATACATATCCATTATACATAACCATCATAGTTTTCCTATAGTTTTCCTGTAATATATCCTGTAATATATATCCTGTAATATGGAGGTGTCCTAAAATGGGGTTGCCCCGAAGCAACCAAAATTAGACCATTTTAGCATTGTAACACATGCTTTTGGGGTACCTCTATTCTAGGAAACCTCCATACAGGTCCATACATCCTGTAATATAATGTCAACTCCGGATTAATAGACCATGGTTTATTAATTAGGGGGGTATTCCCCCAATAGTCATGATTTGATACTCAAAGGGTACCTTCCCAATTAAACAGCCGTTTGGAGTTTATTAATCCAGGGTTGACATTATCCAAAATATATACCCTCTGGTCATTTAACATAGCTATGGAAAATGGCCCAGTTCTTGATGATAAACATGATGATTTACCTAGCTATTAGCTATGGTGATTTCCCAGTTCGCTACGTTAAACAACCAGAGGGTAATCCCATTAAATTCCATTAAATTCCATTACATTCCATTAGTTTCCATAATTGTCACTAGTAAAATCCAGTCAATCCCAATAAATTCCATCAATTTCCCTCTTAAATCCCAGTAAAAAAACCATTTTCTTCACCATCAACCATCACCAGAGGGTATGTAGCATAACTTCCTCCGGTGTCATCGGTCTCGATCAAGGCACTGCTGCGGTGCGTGCCCTCTGCGCCAGACCCTTGCCGCGGCCCTTGCCGCCGGGGCCGTAGACACCACGTCCGGCGCCGCGGCCCTGAGGTTTGACGGGAGAACAAGGCAAAAGATGGAGGAAAAACATGGAAAAAAACATGGAAAAAAAACCATGGAAGAAGCCAAGAATCATGGAAAAACCTATGGAAGAAGCCAAGAATCATGGAAATGAATGGATATGAATGGGAAAAACCACTGGAAAAAAAACTCGAATGTAAAATATGATTCTTATTTCCCAATTAAATGTTTGGGCGCGCTTTCGATCCACAAAGCCAGTTTCGCTTATTGGGTTGTGGTCCGCAATGGATCACTACAGAGACGGGACCAGCATCTCTGTGGTGTTTGTTTGGAGTTCCCCAAGTGCACTTTTGCAGGATCTACCACTACTCTTACTTGGTAATCTACTCTTGCAATGGTTCATAAAAATAGTAAAAATACTGGCCTTTCATGGATTTTCCCATTTCTGCTGGCCCATGTCGCAAACTCCATGTATTTGATCATTTGGATTCGTGTCTCATGCAAAACCATTCATTCCATTTCATTCCCCCATTAAAATCATTAAAGACTAGCAATTCTAGATGGGTATGGATCAATACCTATTAATACCATTTTTAGTGGGATGAACATCCATTTACCAGCTATTTTGATGTTCACCAGGGGTACAAGGTTTTGACACACTGCCAGATGACTTTTTTGGGGTCCCCCCGGATTTTGGAAAGTCCGGTCCGCACGGTCCCTAAATCGGTCAAGGGCCTTCTTCTTGAACATAGGGGCGTGTCGCAACATATCGGGCAGGATGAAGTATCGGATCTGCGACCCGCGCAGGTACACCTGCGTCATTGTGTACTAAACTGTACACCATTCAAAACCTATATGAATTACCCTCTGGTTATTTAACATAGCCATGGTATAGATGGCCCATTTATAGATTGTTTACCTATTGAAAATGGTGATTTTCCATGGCTATGTTAGTTTACCAGAGGGTAAAGGATGGGATTTAGAGTGGTTTTCCCCTCTGAAAAAAACACGAGTGCATGTTGACAAAGTTGTGATTGACTTTTGTAAAGACCATTTCTATTTTGGCAGTTGTGAATCAAATGATGGGTCATCTCACGCTCGCATGGTTGACAATCGGGTGCATCGATGGGTGATAATATCATGAGTGGTTGATCTTTATAGTTGTTCATTATTAACATAGGCTATGTTATCAACCAACATGATAACGACTGTATCATCCATATAATTATCCACAAAGATCCTATCATCCAACAAGGCTTATGTATTACCATAGTAGAGAGGCTTTAAGAAATAGATGTTCAAGGTAGATGGCTTTGTCTGCAAATGCCCAGGTATATCCCAAAAATCGCCATTGAATCAGTGACTGGGATCATCGTCCCATGGATTCGATGGTTGATTAAAAATCCGGCAGGCTGGGGGTTAACCATGGTTAACCATCAGCCAAGCAGGGCTTCTGGCAGCACTTCTGGCAGCACTGAGCAGCACCCACAAACTGACCTGTGTTTCCTAGGCTTTCTCATGTCGAAACAACGTAAGTTGAAGATCAATTCTTGGCAATATTGGATAACAAGTATTGCAATATGTAATTACATTCATTTATATATATATAGTGTATATATATATATATTATTCATATATGATTGCATTTATTATGTAATATTATATAATTATATATGATACATCATTCCGTTGAATGATGGCCCATTCAACCGGCTACGCGGCTACCAGTGGTCCACCAGCCATTCTTCTTCAACGCACCTGCTCCAAGTTCGTCACCTTGCCGTCGCGGCCGGTGACCGTCACACCTTCCAACATGGCGTTCATGTTGTCCTGCGGAGTCGGAAAAGACATGTGACATGATGTGATAGCTATGGCTATGGGAGACTAGTGGGATATGGATAAACATGGATAAACATGGAGAATAGGGCCAATATGGGCCAATGAATCCTGTCTTTAATCACCTGACTATAAGATACTATAAGTATCAGTATTAGCGATACTAGTGAGATAACAAGAAATATACCCTCTGGTAAATTAACATAGCTATGGAAAATCACCATTTTTAATGGGTAAATCCACTATAAATGGCCATTTTCAATAGCAAACTGTTAAATTACCAGAGGGTAAGTTGTGGGCTGGTTGGACTAAACTGACTATCCTCCCCAAGCAGCGAATCGGAACTGGCTCTGAGATTTCCCGGTTCAAAAATTTCGCGGCGACGGATGGCGTCCCGTTCTCCTTGATGGATGAATAGCCTTGATTGATGCTCTCTCGTTATTTAACACAGCGAACTGGAAAATGGATGAAAATGGCCCATTTACAAGGTTTTGCAGCCGATAGGGGGCCTTTGGAATTTGATTCTAGGGTGCTTGGTGATTTAGTTCTACCTCTGATTGTGTGATATATGCTTTCCATTATTTATTTCTTTATCTATCTTATCTATCAAGGTAGGTGGCCTGGGTGTATACTAGTGAAAATGATCCCAAAGGAAAGATCGTCTTGGGTTAGTGTCCCTTGGATGTTTCAATATATTGTTAATTCTTATCCGCCATTCGGTAATCATGCCAAGATGGGGATTGATAATTAGTGCCTCCATCCATTTACCCTTCTATTCGTGGCAGTGCCAGTCAGAACAAAGCATCACCATTCGATCGTAGTTCAAATAGGTTTTTTTGGGGTTGGGTACTTTGATAAAATATAGAATGTATTATCTATATATATATATATTACAGATCTGCAAAATTTACTTTAAATTCAAAACGGTTTCCTCGTCTTAAATCTACTTTTCCCCTCTGATTAAATCTTCAGTCCTCGCCTCGTTACATTCAAAACGGATTTCAGCCCTCGTCCCATTTCTTTCTCGACCGCAAGCCATTCGAACTAGTCCTCTGCCTCCTTTTGGGTTGAACTTTTTGAATTATCTTTGTCGTCGTTGCAGCAACGCTCTGGGCTCCAGAGGCTTGGGGATGCTGAAAAAACTTTTCAGGGCCTAAAAAGTTTTTTCCTGTTTCCGAGATGCCTCTTTTACAAGCGGATTTGCAGGGGCTCGATTCCCCCCAAATTCGACCCCAGAGAAGAGAAGCTGCAGCAGCAGCACCAAGATACCCTGCTACACCTCAAGCTTTAGCAATTTTAGAATCTAGTCGCGCTACCTGGGAAAGGTGAATAAGAACTATTGACCAAAATTTCAGGGTTCCCTAGGGTTCTTATTTCAATTAGCTGGTTGACAGAGTTGAATCCAGCAATCCAGCCCCTGAGGTTCTTAATGCAGTGGGTTCTTAAACAGTGGTTTCACTGTAGAACAAATACGGAAGTCCTGGAACAACCGGGCATGCCACCACAGGGCACTGACTGAAATTACGATAAAAAAACTTTTCGGGCTCCAGAAAGTTTTTTTTTCACGGGGTCTGAATGCACCCTTAATTTTCTATTTTTTTCACTCTGATGGGAACAAAAAAAAACTTTCTGGAGCCCGAAAAGTTTTTTTTCACTCGTTAGACATGCTTTGAAAGCAATTTCTGCCCACCTCGTTTTCTGAATTTAATTAATTCACCTCGCTTAAATTGCAAAGATTCACCTCGTACCTCGTCAGCCCTCGCTCTAAATTATGCAGACAGATGAATTTCCCAGCTATAATAGCTATAAACCTCCATTTATTTCATGGATTTTCCATAGCTATCTTAAATAACCATATGGTAAATCATCCAAGTTGGCTTAGAAGAAGATCAACAGCATGCTGGTTCAGTTCAGCCACAGAAATGGGCGACAGAAATGGCATGAGCAGAGATGGAAACTGAACAACAGGTGAAACATGGTAAACTCTAAGCAACCTACCTATAGAAAAGCCATCTTTAGACCGTCTATGCCCGTTTTAGGTCCTCAAGATATACAATTTTGTTCCACCACGGATAAAGACCAACTATGATGACATCTGCAATAGCAACCCCTGTTCACTTGAACAGGCATGACCCCCCCCCCGCTTGAGCGTGGGTGCACCACATCTGCTTCCAGCACTGGCTTGCTGCTGTAAGTTGCTTAGAAGGTTTTTCATCTTCAAAAATCACCGTTGACGATGGGGACATCATGCTAATCCACATTCTACATATAATACCCTCTGGTAATTTAACATAGCTATTGAAAATCACCATTTTTAATGGGTAAATCCACTATAAATGGCCATTTTCAATAGCAAACTGTTAAATTACCAGAGGGTACCTACATTCCAATCTTCATGAATCGACCTTTCCATCCTTTCCCAGCCACTGGGCGGCAGTCCTCACAGTTCATCAAGTGGCCTCGGTACATCTCTCCAGTCTTTAGCTCGCCTGGGCTTCGACGAAACTGGGGGGCAAATTCCTCTGAGAAATGCCGCCCGGGTTTCAGGGAAAGTTGTAGAACATCTACAGGAACTCTACAAAAAAAACATCTGTTTGGGAAATGGTTATGTTTCATCTAAGCTGGGAATCCTTTCCCCTTCTTGTCCAGCTCTTGGCGATGAATCACATGATGATAGGCAGTAACAAAAACACAGTGGTTCACGGGGTTAAACACGTGAAATCCCCATGTTATTTCTGGAAATGTGCGCTCTGAAATCCTGCAATTCCCAAACACAACGGGGCTTATCACCATAGAAAAATACCTCAAAAATCCCAAGCCATCCATCCAAAAAATTGGATGACGATGATGACGATGACGATGCTGATGCTGATGCCGGGCCAATGCCGATGAGGATGATGCTGATGATGATGATGATGATGATGGTAGGATTTTCTGATAGGGAATCCCTATATAATCTATTATAATCCAATATGTGCATATTTGAACTGTGTTCAAAAGGTCTTTTTCTTCTGAAGGCGCTAAGGGAATGCTTGCGCTGCAGCTTACGCCCTGCTTGCACGCCCGCAGTTTTAGCTTACATGCAGGTATAAATAGCTTACGCTGATGCTTACGCGGGCTTACACGCACCAAGGTTTTGCTTACGCAAGGTCCTTATTGCCACCCTCTTAGTAAAAATAAATAAGGGGGTTTTGGACGTGGCTCAATTGACACTCGCCCTTGGTTGATATCCTCCAGCGCAAAAATCTCCAGTGCGAGTCACATGTCACGGTGTGGCCAATGCCCTCATGTAGCAACTTCACCGGAATGCCCAGACCAGCCTCAAGAAACCAGCTGCCAGAGCAGTGAACCAGCAGAAGTTGATTGGAGGATACCTGTTAAGGAGGTTTTTAGAAAAGTTACAATAAATTACATTTGACCATTCAGAATGCATTTTATAAATCAACTGTAAACAATACTTAGAGGATGTGAAATGATCCAACAAAACAATGGAGGGTCTGAACAAACAAGAATGAAGATGACTCAGTAAATTTGACCAACAAGGACAGCAGGATATGACAAGGCTATCAACGTCAGAAAAAAAAAAAAAAACTCACAAATGGCAGTGTGTCAAAACCTTGTACCCCTGGTGAACATCAAAATAGCTGGTAAATGGATGTTCATCCCCCTAAAAATGGTATTAATAGGTATTGATCCATACCCAAATCATATAAACCCACAAATCATAAGAAGCGTCCTATTTCATACCCAATGACTTGACCCCATCCCAGTTTTTGTGTGCATTAGGAATCCCATTATCTAAAAGGAACCAGCAAGGCGGCTAGCCTTCCACCAGCAACCTGCAAGGAACAGCCCTTTTTTGCCAGGGCACCATCTGAGATGCTCTATGCTCGCCGCACGCGGGCTGTGAGATCAAGCTGCTACAGCCAAAAGGCTTGCGGATCCACAAAAAGATGGGGACTTGGTCCTTGAACTACTTACTGTGCCTAGTGATTCTGAGTTTTCTTTTTTTTGCATGTTCTCCCCCAAAAAAAAACCGGACAAAAATGCTATAACATATGGCAGTGTGTCAAAACCTTGTACCCCAGGTGAACATCAAAATAGCTGGTAAATGGATGTTCATCCCATTAAAAATGGTATCTATAGGTATTGACCCATACCCAAATGGCAAATGTTCTGGTCCTCACCAAACCACAACCTGCACAGACTTCCAAACCTTCAAGAGCCGCAGTTTGGGTGCCGAGCTCCAAGTTGCCATTGGTCATCTGGGACAACATCCAGAGTGCCTCCACGGAACAAAGTAAAACTCCTATGGTTTATCATATGTTTCCACATACAAAAAGAAAACATGCGGTTCATTTTCGCTTATCCACCTTTTCTGAAGAAATCCAATTCCGTGCAAGAATGGAAAAAAACAATTCTCCTCAGTCCACTGAGGTGGAAATTGGACCATCTTTGCCAAGATTTTGCTCAATTCTGGTCCAGAACTACCCTCTGATAATTTAACATAGCTATTGAAAATGACCATTTGTAGTGGATTTACCCATTGAAAATGGTGATTTTCCAAAGCTATGTAAACGTTTACCAGAGGGTACTCAAAGATGCCTCAAAAATGTGGTGCCCAAAATGGAGACCGCATTTTGACCGCAAGTTGGCAATGTCGAAAAATGGTCCAATTCAGTGGTTTCATCCTACTAATTGGGAGACTACTTGAACCCAAAAAAATTGAGCCTCAAAAGGCTGACTTGTAAGCTGAAATATTAGTTGATTTGGGGGGGAAGTCTCCCTTACTAATCTCAGAATCATCAAATTTGTGGATCCATATAGGGGTTTCCATAGTCATGGCTGGATGCTTTATAATGGAAAATCCATCTATAAATGGATGATTTGGGGGTACCCCTATTTTAGGAAACCTCCATATGGATCCATGGTTTCACCGTGATCAGCAACACCTGGCCGACCCCGTGACCAGCCTGTTGCCATTCCCCAGCAAGTGCGCAAGAACCTGGGCCGGATCAGCTTCGCTTGAGGTCATCCATGATGGACCAATCAGTTAATCTGCTTGGTGGTTGAGCCCAACCCCTCTGATCAATATGAAAGTCGGTTGGGATGATGAAATTCCCAATAAATGGAAAGTCATAAAATTCATGTTCCAGACCACCAACCGGTAATTGATGTAAATTGGAACTTCTAATGATGGTTCCAGACTAAAAATTGGCTGATTTATGCTGATTTTGAGGAGCTTAGCGAATCTAGTTGATTGAAGTACCCTCTGGTAAACTAACATAGCTATTGAAAATTGCCATAGAAATAGTGGATTTTTCCCATTAAAAATGGTGATTTTCCATAGCTATGTTAAATTACCAGAGGGTAAATTGGATGAAGATGACGAACCTTCTCATAATCCAAGGAAGAAACAGTCACAGAAAAGTTGGGGTTGTCCGAGAATAATGGGGTCAACCGTCCACTGGTTCAATATCATTGTCCCCATCTGAGATTTTTTTTGGTCTACCCCATTTTCAGACACACCCACATATGGTTAATCATGACTAATACCTGTTAATGATTCATAATGATGAATGACTCTGAATAACGCTTAACGCTGGTTAATAAATGTTAAGAATGGTCCAAGCGTTAATAATGTGTACATAATGATTATTACTAATGGTTAATAATGATGGTTAATGGTTAATGGTTAATAATGGTTGATAATGATGTTAATAATGAGTTATTCGTCATCAGTTAATAATGTGTACATAATGGTCTAAGCTCAGATCCTGAGAATCAAACGAATGGCGCTGTTGATGGTTATGCTGTTCCTCGGTGACACTCCACGCCGAAAAGCCGAAAAAGTCTTTCAGCCAAGTCTATCTGTGTAACTAGCATCTTCACATTGAAATCACTGAAACCAAAAATGGAAAATTTTGAGAGTCTTAAATAGTTAGAAGGTCACTTCTATGTTGCTTGGAAAAAGAATGATGGTCATACTAATGATGCTGGTTGTCACACCTTCTCTCAAGTCATCTTATCCAACACCATAAAATTTCAGCGCAGGCAAGTCGCTAAGTACGACCAAATTCATGGCCTGCTTCAACAGAAATCGTTTCAAAAAGCACGTAATTCACAAGAAACTGGTGCTGAATACCATGGTTTAAGTTTAAGTTTGTTGAGGCAATGGGTTTGTCTTGAAATAAAGTACTTATTCCATCTCACTGTTGATCATCATTTTTCCCATACAAATTGCCATAATTGGGATATTCCCCCATTTTTGGACCCAAATCTATGAAAACTCGGTTTTAAACTCGGTTTTCCCCAGGGCAAACTAAGTTAGATGTGGAAAACCCGTGGTTTCCTATTGGGAACATGATCTGCTTCTATGGTGTGTGCGGTTTTTCTCACCTATGTAAAACACGTTTACAAGAGGCTAAACTTCTTCAGATGATCTTAATTACTCTGAATTAAGTTAGTTCATCTGAATCATAATTAATTAACTAAGTTAGTTAACAGGGTAGTTTATGTGGGTTGTTGAATTAAGTGAATTCTGTTTAGCTTCCCTGTTAGACTACCCAAATTGGATGGTGATCTTTGCCAAGGGTCAATTCCAACATATTCCGCTGGGCATTGTGAAGCTCCTGCAGAGCCTCGATCAGCCCATGGCACGCTTGCCGGTTCAACCAATCAAACTTGCGGGGATTGATATAGTTTGGTTGGTAGAGTATAGGAAGATCTATATATAGATATATATATATAGAGATATATATATAGATATATATATATATAGATATATATATATAGAGATATATATATATAGAGATATATATATATATGTGGTTCAGATATTTTTTGTATATGCAGTACATGACAATGGTATGTTGTATGTGTACTATAATAGAAGTGCGGTATATAACAAATGGTACTCGCACTTGGGGGGCCAGTGGTGGAATCACTCATGTCCTCGCTGGGAAAGCAGTTTTTTTTTATCAACAAAAGGTATGTGTCAATTCTCAATGGTGAATATCATATATAGAATTATATAGATACATATATATATATATGATTATAATATCAATCGAATTTTGTCGCAATCTGACTCTTGTATTTGTGGTATACCTCAGCAAGAAGTAAATCTGTAGGTCCCCAGCAGTTTTGGAAGTTGTCTCACGCAAAAAAAAGTATGCACATCGCACATCGCACGGCGCCTCCTGCCATGCACTTCCCAAGACCTTGATGCATTTGGAAAGCTTCACCAGCCTTAGAATTGGAGCGTCAAGGCAATGTTTGGAACAGAATTGGAATGATGTTAGTATAGCAATCATGTATAGCGAAACCCATGTCTTGATGCTTTACACCCAAAAAAAAAGGACAAAATGGACAAGTTGGGGATGGTGGATCCTATTATTTTACTGACACAACACTTCAAACTTGAAACATGTTGAAACCACCAGCCATCCATGAGCCATCACTGTGGGGACTACATCTGCACTTCTTCGAATCTTTTCTCGACTCTGGGGTGCCGACTGCTCATGATGGGCCGCGGGAGCTATCATCCAATAAACGCTGCCCCCCACGCAGCGCGCGCATCGGCTTCGTTCTCATCTTGATCTGCTTCAATGGGGGGTAAAATATGCACCAAACTGGTCGACATTCACTAGGGATCACTAGGGTATGCCAAAAAGTGGGGCTGAGACTATCAACGACCAAGAGTTGCGCCCACTTGCATCTCAAATTTGAGGACGTTGATGCTCTAGAGCAGCTCTAGAAGTGTCTGGCTAGGTGTCAGAGGTGTCTAAAAGGTTTAAAGACACTGCAATCTTCCTTCTTGTCTTTAGTGTGGATTGGCTTTTTACTGGGCCCCAAAACAATGTAGCAATCGGTGGCATTCGCCTCTGCTGAAAGCCACTTGTGGCATCAGCGCGAAAGAGTTGGCATCACGTGACACCAATTCTTCGTTTTTTTATCAACGGGTTTCCTTGGGGCCTTGAAGAAAATATTCACACATCATCACACATGATCAATGGCCATTTCAGGAACCTAAATTGGAGGTAGCTACCATGTATAAGGCCTATTTTTCAGGCCTATAAAAGGGAACCTCCCATTGACATGACTCCCTATGCCAATTTTGGGATATGAGAGGAGAAGCAAGAACCCGCGCAGGGCCAAGTTGAGTATCTGGGCTTCACAATCCCATGCCGGGTGGTGCAGCTGCTCCTGGCTGTGGAAATACCTGCAGCAGATTTCGTGGTGGGGAAATGCCACATGGCCCAAAGTGCAGAAACCTAAATGTTGGATTCAAACTTAAGGTATGGAGGTTTCCTAAAATATGGGTACCCCAAAATCATCCATTTTAATTGCATGTTCCATTCTAAACTATCCATTTCGGGGGCCCCCATTTATGGAACCCCCCATATGTGACTGGGCTATGACTCTACAGGATCAAACTTCCTGGAAGCAGAGTTTGGCCCAGTGCCGCTTGTGCCGCAGATCTCGCATTGAGCGCAGTATCTGGAATGGCCCAAATTGCCTGTCACAAATATCATTCATTATCATGGTTACTATTGTTGTTATTGTTGATTTTACTCGTATTATTGTTATGATTCTATATATATATATATGTTACATGAATATAATAAGTTTAAAATGTTTTTTCAGATTCTTGAGTGGATCCAGCTGAATGTGCATCAAAATTTCTGGATGATGGGTTTGAACCTGGCTGCCATGCCACCAGCCCTCTGAGGTCCATGGCAGAAAATAGTTGCGATCACGATCCCAGTAGGTCGGGTATCCACCTCACACATGGCAGACAAGGGACTGTTGGGTGATTGGGCGCATCCTAGAAATCGTAAGTACTTAGTACGCCATATACGTATAGATATATATATATATAAATGTATATTTGTATGTATATATATATATGTATATCCCTCCTGTAACTAAGATAGATGTGAAAAACATTGCAAAACCCACTATTGGAAGATAAATTTCCTAGGAAACCATGGGTCTTCCACCATTTCTGATGGTTCTTCATGGTTTTCCATGTCTATATATATATATACGGATATATACGTATAAATATCACTGGGGCATAATCTTGTTGTTGCGCACTTACTGACTGGGATGCACATCCAAGGTTCAGCCCAGGGGAAACCGTTCAGCCCAACACGTTGCAACATGTTGAGGGCCTCTGATTCTTCGAAAGTGAAAGAAACTCCAAACACAGCTGTCAGGACTGAAGAAATTTTGTGAAATGGAGTTTAAAAAACCCACCATATCCCAACATCATCCAAAAGCCGTTCTGAAGTCCCATTTCAATGGGAAATCCTCATTGAAAAAACGAAAAATTCCAACGGCCAATTCTCCAACGGCCCGGTCCCTAGAGTTCGCCAGTCTCAACATCGGAGGTACAAGGGCATTCTTGAAGGGGGCTTTCCCCGCACCATGGTCACACACTTGTCTTGCTGTCCAGGCACAAAGGAGAATCTGATTGTTGAAATGAAAGGCCTCGAGAAAAAAAATTCTGGGCCAAAGAAATGGACTTAATTTGGATGATCTTCCAGAGCCTGTATGGGGGGGTTCAAGGCCAGATATTTGTTGGTGGTATTACTAAAAGCAATGGCATCAGAGCAATTTTTCCCATCTGCCAAGTTTTACAAAGATGTCGTGATCAAGCCATATTGGCTGTTGTGAGTGTGCATATTTACCCTCTGGTAAACTAACATAGCTACGGCAAATCACCATCTTTAGCAGGTAAATCAACTATTTTCATGGGCCATGGCTTCAATAACAAACTGTTACAGTAAATTACCAGGGAGAAACCGATACCCTCTGGTAATTTAACATAACTATGGAAAGTCACCATTTTTAATGGGAAAATCCACTATAACTGGCCAGTTTCAATAGCTACGTTAAATTACCAGAGGGTATCTTCTACCTTCCTTTACAGAACATCCCGGGGACCGCGCCTGATTCAGCTTGGCTATCCGAAAGCCGTCCAGGAGCAGGACAGATGGGAGATCTGTGGCTTGGAGGAGTGACAAGCCAAACTGGTGGATTCTCACATCCTACATCCTACAAGGGAGGTTTACCCAAGAGACATTGTGAAGTCAGAAACCATTGATTTTGATATATATATTTTTTTTTTTTTCATGGATTTTGCTTGATGAGTTGGTGACTAGGTCTTGGGCAGATACGACTGTATCATGATATACAGTTGTTTGGGTTGATATGGGCCTGGGTCAAAGTAGGCAGCTGGTATAGGTTTTGACCCATCTCCATATCAGATCGCCTGCATGTGCATAGCTCATCGCCGCAACTTGACGAATGATCCCAGTACTTCTGCAGAATCAGAAGTCGAACAGTCGAACCCTTTTGCTGACCAAAACTAACAAATGGGTATATATGCACATATATGCATAGACCAACGGCCAATTTGAGCCCTTAACCATAAAATATATACATATAATTATATATATATACATACACCATGTAGTAAAATCAAATATGGCAATCGAACATCCCACATTTCCAAATGGATGTTCCCATTAAAAGCTTCATTTCGTTTGGGTATATCCCAAATATTGGCGGCCGAGGTGTGCCCCGAGAGCGCACCTCCCCCAGGGACGGGCATTTGGTGAGCCTCGGTCTGAAGCAATGGGGAATGGTTCTTGCTGAGGCTATGAGTGTTCCAAGATGTGGTGGACCCCCACTAAACGCCTGATTGGTTGGAAATGGATCTGCTATGATCTGCTGAATGCCTGCTGATAACAGTCCTCTCTCAGGGCCCCTCTAGGGGCCCCTCTAAGCAATCGGGGCTGTTCAAGATGGGTTTCTAAGACCAACCAACAAGGCACCCCAGGCCCCAGCCTCAACCCAGCCTCAACCGACCGTTCACACCGAGGCCGCAGCCGCTGAAGGTGCCGGGAGCAACGACACCGGCGACTTTCCTGGTTCTGGGATCCAGGTGGAAAACCCAGAAATGTTGTAGATCATGTTCCAGGGAAACCATACCCATAGGATCCATGGTGCTGGTATATATGCTAACATAAAGGGGGTATATTGATGGTAAATGTTACCATATATAGCAGCACCATGGATCCTATGGGATATGGCAACCATATGTGTTTTCCATGGTTTATGTTAGTTTATCGCAGTGTACCAAATCATCCAACAGTTTTTGGAGATATTTTCTTGGGTCCATTCTGTCAATCCCTATCGTTGTCACCGAAATCCCCAATTTTTTCACAAAAGCCTCAGGTAGGCACCTGCTTCCCAGTGCGCTACATCATCACCTCGCCGGGTCTCAAAAACTATCAGGACCCCTCTTTTTTTGTGGCCGGAGAAGATGCAGCTGGTCTGGCAACCACCACTTTAGTGCTGCCAAATTTGCGGGACCCAGATTTTCTGACTCTGCTCATGTTTCTGGGCAGACCACGTTCTCGGCACTGGTCTGGGTACGTTTTTTCTACAAATCTCGGGACATCATCACACCTAAACATATATTGTGGTAACATATCATATGTTCTTTGATATTTGTTGGTTGGTAGTCTCTGATCATAAATCATGTCTGCAGGCACCTAAAGGACTAGCCTCTCCTGGAAATCCCGCCCAGTCATGACTTGGGGTCCCAGTCAGTGAGGCTACGAATCATATCGTCCTTGGGTGGGACTATATCCAGTTCTGTTTGTATTAGAAATGCATTGTATATATATATATACATTAATATGAATATATATGAATATATATGAATATGTATATATATATTAGTGCTAACACCATTGTATACAATATTATCTGGATATAATAAATGATTCGCCAGGCGGAAAACTTCGGCCATTTGGGGATAGTAACCCTAATCCTAAACATCATTTGCAGTGGCGTCGCAATGAGGTCGTTATACTTGACCCAAATTGTATCCCATCGTTCTATATATACCCCACATGCTCCAGTTTGCTTGGTTTACCCCCTAGTTTGGTTGGTTAACCCCGCATATGATGGTTCTTTGAATGCATTCCCATTATGCACCATGTTTGTTGGTTTAACTATTGGTTACCTATACAGTTCTGGTATCTGATGGAATGTTAACATTATCCTACATTCTACATGTTAACATTATTAATATGGATACTATTAGTTTCCTATATATATCAACAATAGTATCCAATATAACTATAACCTATATATAACAGTATCATTGGTTATCCAATAACATAAACAGTAACATATACCAATCATATCCATTATATATATAACTATAACAATAACCTATAACAATGACCATAACAATTAGTTTCCGAATATAGTTACTATTGGTTATATATTGGTTTCCTAGATGTTAACAATTTACATTAACTGGCTGGTGGTTTCGCAGTTTCAACCCCTCTGAAAAATATGAAAGTCAGTTGGGGTTATTATTCCCAATATATGGAAAACTACAAAATGTTCCAAACCACCAACCAGCTTGGAATCATCTGTATTAACTATATGGTTAACTATTGGTTATATAATGTTATATATTGGTTTCCTATTTGTTAACTATATCTGGTTGGTGGTATACCTACCCCTCTGAAAAATATGAGTTCGTCAGTTACCATTAACCTATAAGTTTATGGTTACTACTGGCATCAGCTGCACCTCCGGATGCCACACGCC